TGGATCTTGACATTAAATCCTTTGAACACATATGTACATACATATAACTTAGATTATTTCTGTTTATACTTTTAGATTTACCCTAATTAGGAGAAGTAAACAAAGAATTAAAGGAACAATTAGTTCAGCTTTTACTCTCACTAATGTTTAGATTGCTTACTTTGTTAAATTATTTAATTTTCCATTAAAAAAAATAAAACATCCTCGAACCGCCTAATTGTAATCGGCACACCGCAGAGACCGGTAGGCAGAAATTACGATTTTGGCAGCTGTTATATGAAATGCTTTTTGCGTCGTGTTGTTGTAAAGATGCGCAATTTATATCAGCGGCAGCAGCAACTACAATAACGTCTACAACAACAGCGGAAACAATAACAACGCATTATAAAAACAAAAACAAACAAATAGCGCACAACGTGCCACATCTGGCAACGTTGTTAAACCAACAAACATGACATCACTTTTTTGCGACTAACGAAAATGCAAAGTAATGGGAGAGTGTGCGCTAACTAACGCTCTCTCTTAGAGCTGCCCTCTCTATCACTCCCACTCTCCCATTCGCACTTGCTCTCTCTCTCCCTCTCTCAGGTAGTATTATACAGAAGCAGCAGCAGCCGATTATAGACAAAAATAAAATAATAACATGAAAAACATTAACACGTAACTACATAAAGGTACAGACGGACACACACATACATAGATACATACAAAATAATGTGAAGCTGATAATTGAGAGGAAATAAAATTCTGACGAAAAAGGGGAGCAGTCCAACGTGGGATATGGAAAAAGAGAAGGCGGGCGGTTGGTCGACCGGTCGGTCTGTTGAGTGTTTTAAATGTTTTTTATAGGGGGGGTTGGTTGGATGTCAGTGTTAATAAACAGGGTTACCACCAACTGCGTTGCCGCTGACAGAAAACCCTACCTTTGGCTAACTGTGGCACAATAACACAACCAACCACAAATGCAGCGAACGTCATCAGCAGAAGCATAAGCTTCAACGTCGGATGCTGATGCTGGTGCTGCTGCTGCTGAAAAACAATTGGGGACATTGTCGTCTATTGTTGCTGTCGCCGCCGTACAAACTATTTAGAACATACATACATACATACATATGCATGTACATACGTACAAACATAAATTTGTACATACACAATTATTTAGGTAATAGGGCTGACAGACGGATGGATGACAGACGGACTGGCTGAGAGCGCCAACGTACATATAGTATGTACTTACATACATACATGTGTAGGCATGCACTGTTGACCAGCGACGCAATTACCGTTAGCAGTACAACAATGTGACAATAGCAGCCCCTCTCCCCACTTCCTCCCATCCATTGACTGCCATATGCATGTCAAGTGTGCGCCTCACCATGCCGTGGGTACCGGAAAATCAATCGGCTGACTGACAGCTGAGATGTACATACGTACATACTCGTATGTACGTACGTATATGTATGTGCGTGTGTACATACATACATACTTTCACAATAGATACGGATCATACACACACACACACACGCAAGGTGCAGAGAGCTCGAACTTCCAGCACTCACTTGAAATAACGAAATCATGCCGGTCACCACAGCTACAACAATAAAAAGAAACCCCAAGAAAAGAAAAGCAAATGCATCCAACGTTAACTCTTAGGATTGCCCCTCAACCCATCAAACACACTCTCAAGTCCAGCCTCCTTACCTCTTCTGCTGAATCGATAGCAAATCGCTGTGTCAGCAACAACGTTTGCAACGGTGCCCCTTAAATGTTGTTATTGTTGGTATTATTGCCTTGGAGCTTTTTTGCTACAGCATTAACTGTAGAAAGAAAGTTCTACCACAACAACAACAAGAAGAAGAAAAAGCGGGTATGACATCACTGCTTACTTACGTGCAAAGCAACGGCGAACCGGCAAATTAAAACTGCTACAACAACAATCACAGAGATACAAAAACACACACACACACAATAAAGAGAGCGGGTACAAGCAAAAAGGTCACAAATTTGGAGCTTAATCAAACTAAAAGCGAAGGAAATAGGCACAAAGAAGAAAAGAAAAGAGCAATCAGCCAGCGCGACTTGCGTAAAGCAATGGCCTCAACCAAAAACTTAACCCATCACATCCCCGTGTAACACATCTAGAAACCAGTAACCCATCTGAAAAACTATCTAGCATAATGACGTTTCCGAATACACTCACTTTATGCGGAATAGACATTGTGTGTATTTAATTTCGAAATCAAATGAGTTGTGTGGCTTGAATCGTTTTATCTTAGAGCTAATCATTTACTCAATTAGTGAACTAATTAGGTCGAATTCGAAAATAGGAAGACTTGTATTTGATATATGTATATAGTAAACATTGATCCCTTTTTGTTCTCATATGCCAATCGAGCAACAGATAAAGTTCAACTCGATTTCTCTGTTAAGTTTACCAAACTTACATTCCACCTACGATGAAACCAAAAATATATACAAACTTTTATATAACTATAGTAGCTTCGTAATAGTCTAGGACATACTTGTATACTTGTATGTACCTGCCTCAATATGATTTTACTAGGCAACTATTTTAAGTATTTAATATCTACTATGTGGAGAGCATGTTTTTGTAGACTGTTGCAAAACCAAAATCTGATCATTTCAATGATATAAAAAAAAAATAATGATCATCTGCCAAAATTGAATGGCTACGAAATAGTATTGAACAACATGAAGTATGTATCTAATTACTCTGCCTTTTGAGTCGTAAATACTTACTACTATGTATAGTATATTATTCTAATATTTGGGCATTTGGCCACTGGGGACTTTTTTCCGTCTAAGAAAATCGCAACATTTCAAAGTATTTACAAAGTTCGCCATTGAGATCATAAGTTTAAAATTGTTGTTGTCTGGAAATCATAATAAAATCTAAAGTAGTTGGTTATCCAATGAGGAACATCATCAAATATGATAGCAAAATAATCAAGTTTTTTATACCAAAACCGTTTTTATAAGTTTAATTATATCTGGTATCGACATGCAGTATTGCCTGGAAGGAGTATGTAGGTACTATATGTTGCTATGAAATTGGTGTTACAAATGTAGTACTTCACTCCATTTTTGAGCCAGAGTTTATAAATAGAATAACAATAAAATAATAACCAAAATATAATTGAGATCACAAAAGGTCGAGGAATGCGTACATCGAGTCCAAAATATAAAAAAATATAAACAAAAAATTATCGATACGCCCTATCGATGGACACACTCTGGCTTTTTTGTTTTCTGTGCAGCGGCGACTTGAGGGACAAGAAGAGAATTTTCAAGCACACCCAGAAAGCATAGCTTGATTGTCGTCTAGGCGGTGCGTAGGCGTGGCACGCTTTATTAAAATTGAATTGCGGCGGACGCTGCATCGCAGTCAAACCAAGTAAAAAAAGATGTGGGTCAACAACCACCAATGAAGTTGACCTACATAATGCTTTAAAATGCACGCAACACTCACACACATAAGCCAGCAAACCCATACACATACACACACACACTTAAATATGTGTACACAAATGTGCGGTGCGGAGCCCGATTATGTAATAAAACATTAACAACAACAGCGACAGGGCTGTGAGTATATCTTGGGCGCAGTACTCCAGCGAAGTTTAACGGTATTTGCAGTGCTGCTGAGAACTCGCAACATATGCGCCGGCGCGCACATAAAAAACAGTTACACTCCAATTGGAGTTGCCGTTGCTGTTGAATCAAATTGGTGGTAGTTGGACACATGCATAATATTTTCGAATTGGAGCATCGCCACACATCTGCACAGTGCTGCCCATTTGTGAAAAATTCTGACACCACATCTGAGAGAGTGCCAGAGCGACTGAGAAAGAGCACGCGTCTCTTCCAAGTAAACAGAGCATGTTATCAAAAAAAATGGGAAGTTTTAAGCCCAAAAACAGCAGGCTTAATTATCGATTTAAAATCTTGTGGTATGAGGGTTGCTGTTTGTTTTGGGTGTCGAATTCTATGAGAGGGGATGTGGGTGTGTTTGCCTAAAATCTGTGACTCAAAACAAAATAGCACAGAGTTCATTGAATGCAATTTGGGTTAAGCAAAGCCTGAAGGCTTAGGCTTAGGGTCAGATCCGACTAAGCCGTTAGATTCATAAGGCTGGTGGGGAAGGCGAGGGGCTTATTTATCTATTTATGGATTAGACTAAAAGTGAAAGTAAAAAGCGAGAATTGCGCCACCGACTTAAGTAGCAGCTTAACTGCCAAAATGCGTGCAGTTATTCGAAGTAAAAGCTCTGACAAGCACAGATGAAAGTTACAGGTCGCGTACGTAATGAAGATTTTTAATGTTTGCGGAGAAAAGGGGGGAAAAAGGAGTGGGGTGCAAATGTAAATTACAACGGTATGATTAAAAAAGATAAAACAAAAAAAAAAACGAAAAGAAAACGAGCAACAATCGCAGTGGGTCATTAACTTCCGATCGCATTACATGGCGATACTTGAGTCGCTGTTGTGAGGGGAAATCCCTCAAACAGACAGACAGAAAGGCAGAGAGCACAGGGAAGAGCCATATATGAATGGACAATGTCAAAAAGATCCGGTTAGCGGCTCTATAAAGCCTCTGTTCAGTGAATCTAATCCTTTGATTTAAGTCGCGGTTTTTAATTATCATACAAATCTGTTAGATGATGGTCCTTATTGGACCACCTATGAACACCCCATTGAAGTAAAGTATAATACCAGGATTAAATAGGCCTGTAAATTATTAAGTTCTCTTAGTTTGACCAAATATGTCTAAATATAGGAGGAAAAAGCAAGAAATGAATTGAGAAAATATCTTTTTGTACAAATCAAAGTCAATTTGTAAGCCAAATCGATTTAGAAGCATTTGATCGAAATCAGAAACGGTATTAGCTTGTTTGTGTACGAGTAAATTAGACTTTGTGGAAAGAAATTGAAAAACAGAAATTATCTTTAATAGCTATAATGATAATGGGTAGTACTCACTCTTCCTGAACTTCAATGCCACTATCGTCCATATTTACTTTTGCGTAGTCATTGTAAGTGACTAGCGGTAAATGCGACGGTGGCTGCTGTTGACCAGCAGCAGCAGCGGTAGCGGATGCGGCCGAGACAGTGGCAGCATCAAAGCCAAAAGTCGGCTCCACATGTTCCGAGAGTGGCGTGGGTGTCTCGAAGACCAATGTCTCGACCATAGAACCTTTGGAGGAGCCAAAGGAGACACTGCAAATAGAGTTGAAGAGTGAAGAGGGACACATTACTACACTGTCCAGACGAGTTCGAGACGCTTGGCACACACCGTTTCAGTCCGACACTCTTCGTGCCCAGCTTACTGAGCTTGGGCTTCTTCTGATTCGTATGCGGGCGGGGGAATTTATCACTTAGATCTGAGGAATCGGCTGCACCGGCTGTGGTGGCTGTCTCCTCAGACAAATCATCCACATCAACCTCAACAGTTGGATCGATGGCGATGGAGATGCTGTCGTTATTATTGTTCGACATTGTGGTGCTGATGTTGGCGTTTGCAGCTGAGACGCCATTGATCACATCGGCATTGTTATTATTATTATTGGGGTTGTTGTTGTTGCTGTTACTGTTTCTGTTGATGGCGTGGTGGGACGGATGCGTCGTGTGCACAAGTGGCAATGTGGTAGGCGGTGTTGGCGTTGGCATTGGAGACACCTCCACAAGCGCAGGTGGAGGCGTAGGGGTGTTGCTCAGCAGGCGTGTCCGCTCATCGCAAGTATCCACAGCGGTGGAGGGGACGATGGTGGCGGCGCCAGAGCTGGCGGCACCGGAACCCGACGTTGAGGGCACGTTAGCGAGCATTACAGACTGCGGTTGCGTTTGACGTTGGGGTTTAGCAAAAGTTTCGTCGTTACTGGCGAGATTTAGAGTAGATGTCGGCACTGGCATAACATGTTGTCTGATTGATGGTGATAGTGGCTTTAGTGGCGCCTCTGGAATCTTTCTATTGACTGAGACTGAAACTGTAGCTGTGGTGGTGATGGTGGTTGTGGGTCTATCGAAGGCCAGCATGTGCGTGAGTTGAATGCACTCACTCACCACTCACGCGTCCATGCACTCACGTCGTATTTGACGAAATAACGGCACACAGAATAATGCAGAAGAGCAACTAGACAGCAAGTACACGACCACGAACTGGGGACACTGGGACGGGGACACGGCACGCAGACGACAACAATTTTGTATATCTATGAGGCGGCAGCATTGGCAACGTTTTGTGTGCTTTATTTCTTTTGCCGCTTGATTGGATTTAAACCGGACGCAGCGACGGCAACGGCATATAATGACGACAATTCTTGCATACGAATAATACTTTTGCGTCTGACTGCGGCAACGGCTGTGGCTGCCGCTAACTGCGCCTTTTTTGTTCCACCTTTTCTTTCACAAACACACACACATTCACATAGTATATAGACATGTAGTGCGGTGCGTCTCAATTTCCGCAACAGCAACACAATACAAAAAAAAAAAACACGAAAGAAATGATTTTTACACAAATTGTTAACACATTAGTACCAAAGATCGCCGCACTCACTTAACCACTTCGCATGCCGTATTAGCGAATTAACACGCTTGTTGTTAACACTTTGAAAAAAATAAATAAATGTGCATTTGTTGTAATTAGCTGTTTATTTCTCTTCCGCCGTGTGTGTGAATTTCTGCCACGGTTTTGACTGGTTAATGCGAGGCCGAAGCTGCCACATGGTTGAACAGTTGGATTTATTTATTTAATTTGCCAATGCCAATATGGCAGCCCTAGAGTGTTGTTCAGTGCTAGCAGGTTAACAGCTGTCGCAGCACATATGTATGCATTGAATTTGCAGGGCCTGTGATTCAAACTAGACTTGATAACAATAGGACTAATACAGTTTTTAAGAAGCGATCTGGGACCCAATATCTTTATGCTTAAAAGCAACTAAAAGAGCTTCCCTGACTAATTAGATGATACTATCCATTAAACCATTGAATAGTAGGAAAATGTGTTGCTCTAAGGCATGGTAATATAAAAACTTTCTGGGTTACCTTCGGCGGCAGCAGCAGAGCAATCGTTAAGGCCAAGTGTTGGCAAATTTCACATTGTGCCTATTAAAATGGTTCCATAAAACGTAAACAAATCGCCAGCGCTGCCAGATACAATAAATACGAACGCCACCCAGTGACGTGGAATGATTTGTTATTCCGTCGTGCTATACTGTAGGATTTTCTAGTAAAATGTTAGATTTTGTGGTAATATTTACGAAAGGCGGCATTGTACTTTGGAATTCGAATTCCTCCGGAAAGAATTTCGCATCATGCATCAACAGTTTAATACGAGGCGTCATCCTGGAGGTAAATTCCACAGTTCCAACTGAATTATGAGCATGTGTCTTTGACAAATTAACATAAACAAACCTCCCTCGAACAGGAGCGAAATACCGAGTCCAAATACTTCGAGGAGGACCAACTGGCGGTGCAGTTTAAATTGGACAATGAGCTCGATCTCGTGTACGCGGCCGTCTTCCAAAAAGTAATCAAACTTAACTACCTAGATGTGTTCCTCAGCGACATGCAATTGGCGTTTAAGGAGAAATTCGGCGATATTTCAGCCATAGAACGTCTTGCGTTCAATTATGACTTCGATCAAGAGTTCCAAAGTGTTCTCAGTTCTGCCGAGCAGGCTTCAGCAAAGCAAAACAAGGCGCCCAAGACGATGCGCTCATACAACGAATCGCAGAAATCAAAGAAGACTGTCGCCTCCATGATCCAAGACGACAAGAAACCGTCAGAGACAGTGAAACGTGTTAACATTCAGGAGAATGCGGGCGCATCGAGATCAGAACCCTCATCGCCTCCACGATCCTCCGAAGATATTATTGCGGAGAATAGGCGCAAGCTGCGCGAGAAACTGACGCCGACCAAAAAGCCAGTAGCTGAAGTAAAAGCCAATAAACCGAATGCCTCGGGCAAAAAACCCAGAGTCTGGGATCTAGGGGGCAATTCAAAAGACGCCGAGGTGCTGGATCGTTCGAGGGATAAGCCGGAAGATGTTCAGTTACAAAACATAAATAACGATGTAAGTGCTGTGCTCAAATATATTACAGACCTTGACTTAAAGTAATGGCTCCTCTGATTACAGTTGGTGGGAACCATGCAAGGAGTTATACGTGACTTGGATGTGGAGAGTGAGAACGAGGACAGCGACTACAATAACGATGAAGATGACAATGACAACGACAATGACAATGAGCAGCTACTTAAGACGAACTATGCGTCTCAAAAGAAAGCGAAGCGTTCGGGTGGTGGCGGTCTTCTATCCTATTTCAAGGGCATTGTGGGGGCCAAAACAATGGGACGTGGCGATTTGCAACCGGCGCTAGACAAGATGCGTGATCATTTGATATCGAAAAATGTTGCAGCTGAAATTGCAGCCAAGCTTTGCGACTCTGTGGCTACCAGCCTGGAGGGCAAGACCATGGGCACCTTTGACTCTATTGCTAATTTGGTAAAGGACGCCCTAACGCAGTCCCTGGTACGTATTCTGTCGCCTAAACGACGCATAGACATCATTCGTGATGCGTTGGAATCGAAGCGCAGTGGCAAGCCCTATACAATAATTTTCTGTGGCGTCAATGGAGTGGGCAAATCAACCAATCTGGCCAAGATCTGCTTCTGGCTAATAGAGAACGACTTTAACGTACTGATAGCGGCCTGTGATACATTTCGAGCGGGCGCTGTGGAGCAGCTACGCACGCATACACGCTACTTGAACGCACTGCATCCAGCTACGAAGCATAATAACCGCACCATGGTGCAGCTATACGAGAAGGGCTATGGTAAAGATGCGGCTGGCATTGCCATGGAGGCGATTAAGTTTGCCCACGACACCAATGTCGATATCGTGCTGGTGGACACGGCTGGACGCATGCAGGATAATGAGCCGTTGATGCGCTCACTCTCTAAGCTCATCAAAGTTAACAATCCAGATTTGGTGCTTTTCGTTGGCGAGGCCCTGGTGGGCAATGAGGCCGTCGACCAGCTGGTCAAGTTCAATCAGTCCCTGGCCGATTTCTCATCAAATGAGAATCCTCATATTATTGATGGCATTGTACTGACCAAATTCGACACCATTGATGATAAAGTAGGCGCTGCCATATCCATGACGTACATTACGGGCCAGCCGATTGTGTTTGTTGGAACCGGTCAGACCTATACAGATCTGAAGGCCATCAATGTTAATGCCGTGGTTAATTCGTTGATGAAGTGATGTGGAAATTCAGGAACTCGTCGTCTATTACTTTGCTTGCTTAGTTTTTGGTTAAATTTTTTGTACTGTTTTAATTCAAAAAAGAATAAAATACTTAAAAACATCTGTCGTTGCTGGATGATCGATTCGATAATGATCCATTTAATTACTTTTATTTGAATTAATGGGAATACAACTTGCGTACAAACGAGGTTATTACGAAAAAAAAAAACTTATTTATAAAACTCGTGCTCTTGTTCGTCTTTCTTGATGTTGTTCTTGTAGCCCTTCTCGAAGTCCTTGGCAAGCACAATGTAACGATTTTCACGTACAGCATGCATGCCAGCCTCCTGACAGATAGCATTGATATCAGCACCAGAAATTTTATCAGGACGGGCCACGAACTCTTCTAGGTCGACATCCTCACTGAGGTTCATCTTCGAGGTGATGGTAGAGAAGACCAGACGTTTCTGGCGGCGATCAGGGAGTGGGAATTCAATTTTACGATCCAAACGACCGGGACGCAGGAGGGCGGGATCAAGCGTGTCGGCGCGATTCGTCGCCATTATGACCTTGACATTGGTGGTCTGGTCGAAGCCATCCATTTGATTTAGGAGTTCCAGCAGAATACGCTGTACCTCACGATCTGCTCCAGTTTGGGCATCGAAACGTTTTGTGGCAATGGCGTCGATCTCATCTATGAAAATAATGGCCGGTGCATTCTCTTTGGCCAGACGGAAGACGTCGCGCACCATGCGTGGACCTTCACCTAGGTACTTTTGCACAAACTCCGAGCCCACTACACGTATAAAGGAGGCAGTTGTGTGATGGGCGACTGCCTTGGCCAACATGGTCTTGCCACAGCCTGGTGGGCCATACATGAGTACTCCGCGTGGTGGATCAATGCCTATCTGTTTGTACAGCTCAAAGTGGGTTAGCGGCAGCTCCACAGCTTCTCGTATTTCTTGCTTTTGCATGTCCATGCCACCAATGTCTGCATAACAAACATCTGGTTTTTCATCTGGCTGCAACATTGATATTGAACTGTCGGCCTCGGGTGGCAGGACATCGACCAAAGCATTGCTGTGCTTGTGTAGTGCCACGGAGGCTGATGGCTTCAACAATTCACGATCGATGGTAGATAGAATGCGCACATAGTAGTTCGAGCCTGTCGTTGAGCCCACAATTCCAGTGTTCTGGTCGACAGCTTCGAGGAATTGTCCAATTACTAGAGGCACAGATTGAATGCGCTTAACTTCCTCCTGAGCATGCAAATATTCCTTTTTCAGGTTGCGCTGCTCATCCTTGATATACTCCTCTTGTACCTCGATGAACTCCAAAGTCTTTTGCAGTTTCTGGAAACAAAAAGTGCATGTCATTGTGAGAGCAACACCCTCCTTTGTGCAAATGCACTAATATTTACCTTATAGCGCACATAAAGATCATCAATGTCCAGTTCATCCAGTGAACTGTGCGCATCTTTTAGTTTGTACTCATTGATGTCGTCCTGCAATGAAACATGCTATTTGCCAATTAATATACAACTTCGCAAATATCCCACCTTACCTTTTCAGGCTGTATTAATATGTCCATGCTGTATTTGTTACTGTTATTTAATTATTATTATCTATTTTTACACGCCTGCACGCCAACGATTCTTTCTGGTGCTGCAATATTTGGACAGAAAAAGTAAATGACTCGTCAAAAACAATGCGTAGTGCTGTATAATATCTTTGGATATGTGCCTTCTGAGCGGCTTTTTTAAGTGTTGGCAAATTAGTACGCATAAATCGTCACACGATAGAAGAGAGTGTTAGAGAAATCGATACCATTGGCGAAACATCCGACATTTTGACGAAGTTGTACTTGTACTCGTTTCGATTTTTTATCAACCGAGTACTTCTCATAAGAAAAACACATTTATTTTGAGAATCTAATATGTATGCGTGTTGTGCGATGATTTTGTGTGAAGATAAATTAGTGAAATATTAGATTAGCCCATTCATTTGGGATAGCGAAGAAATGTTTTACCCGAATACGCTTGTGCAAGAGAAAAATCGTTCAGCGCTGCTGCTTTCCTCGCCCGTCGCTGTGTCCTGCTGCTTCTGCCACTGTTCTGCTCTACGCACGCATCGATTTGGGCTAAACGTTAGATACCTCCTAACGCAGTTGTTAGGGTGGAAAAATAAGTACATAATAATAATGAAATGCCGTTCGTTTGTAAATTAAGACAACATTCTTAACATTCGGAATTGGAATTCGGAATTAAAATAAGTGCAATACCAACTGCAGGCGACAGCAACGCCATAAATAACTAAAGCCATTCAACATAGTAAAAAAAACCGAATATCAAAAACAAGGGGAGAAATAAACTGCAAGGCAGAGCTAGTTACAAAGCAGCGGCAACGGCAAACGACGGGCAAAACGAATTACAAACGGTGGAACGGGCACGGGTGAGTTTTTTTTTTCAACTTCATTTTTTTCGTCTTTTTTTTGTTGGAGGGAGCGCATCAAAATGTTTATTGTATAATTAATATTATGTATGTTTTGAAGTGTGTATGTATTTGTGTGTGTGCATGCGTTCGTATGTATGTACATGTGTGTGTATGTGTAGTTTTGTTTATATGCCGTTTTTGTTGTTGTGGTCTAGTCAACAAATGTAATGCCATCATAATTTGTTTATGTCTCTCCCTTTATTAATCATTCATAGTATTTTGATTTTGCTACTGATGCTGCATGCAATGTAGGCATATTAAATGACCGCTGGGTGTAGACGATATTTCAATTGTTCACGCACACACAGATACAGAGAAGCACACACACGCACACACCACTTTAACGCAACCACACACACACACAGAAACAGAGGCTAACAAACATATGCACATACATACATACATTTGTATAAGATTATATGCGGTGCATGTGCGATACGTAAAGTTTCAACCTGCAATTACATACATACATAGATATACGTAGTATATATGTACATACATTCATACAATTACATATGCGAAATGTGTGTTTTTATTTTGTTTCTTTCAGATATCATATACACACCAATTCACCAATACACTTCAACGAATCTTACTGAGAGAGCAACGATATCTTCTAAATGAAGACAATGTCGCGCTTCGGCTTACGCCGCGGCTTCAAATTGTCAGAGGAGCAGCAATTTAATGGCAAGAAGAGCAGCAACAATAACAGCACCAACAGTAATAGCAGCAGCAGCAGTCACAGCAACAGTAACAGGAATAGTAACAGGAGCAGCAGCAGTCCATCTTGCACCAACACAGTACCAAGTGCGTTGCCAATTGGAACGCATGCAAAAAATCCATCATCGCGTAAGAAGCGTAATCATAATTTTCAGAGCGATGCTGCTGACGATGTTGTCACTTCAGCAGCCATAGCTGCTACCGACGAGGATGGCGAGGACTATGCGCAACCGTCATTTGCCTCATGCTCAGTTGCTGCGGTGTCCTTGGTCTGTAGCTTGCCCCTGGATCGGCTGCCACGCCTCGTTGAGAAGCTGCAGCTAATGACCAACAAGCCATGTAAACTGGAGAAGTCATTAGTGGAGCAGCAGCAACAACTGGATGATGAGGAGCGCTCTCTTGATGACTGTGCGGCGGCGGCAGCTTTTATAAAAGTATTGTGTTTGTACTGTGATAAGAAGTTCGCTTCCAATAAGATGCAAATAAAGCATGTGGAGAAATTTCATACGGAGCGCAAGGAGCGGCGCTGCAGTGGACGCAACGTCCAGTTGCCCACCACAAACGTGAATGCCGGTAGCAGTTTACAGGCCCGTAATTTTCCCGGTTGTATGCATTGTTGCTCCACAAAATTCAAGCAATCGCTGAACCAGCAACAACAGCCACATCAACAACAAAATCAGCAGCAGCAACAACATCAACAGCAGAAAGTCTGCTTGCCGGCCAAGCATTTAGAGGAATTATTTTTGCATATGACGGAGCGACATGCGGACAAATATTTTGGCTGCAAGCTATGCATGCTGCGGTTTCAGGACAATGAGCAGTTGGTCAAGCACAAGCACAAGATGCATGCGGATGAGGTTCTTAAACGCAATAGCTGCAGTCCAGCCAACAATAATGAGGAAGATAGCTATTCCCTTGCCAACAGCAACAACAACGAACGTAAATCGGAGCGACGCGCCAAACTGCGTCTGCAGAAAAGCAACAGCAGCAGTAATAGCTCCGATGCGTGTAACAACAACAGCTGCAGCAACAGTAGCAACAATCAGGCGTCAAATTGCAATGCCATGATTGGTGCCGATGAGCCAGTGCTGTTACGTTTGGGTCTCACCCAGAATCGATTGCCGAATAATCGCAGTCGTAGTGCGAGGCTGCGTCGCGAAAGCAAGGCCAATTGTGCCATATCGGACATGCTTCTTAAGTCCAAGCATGAGGCAGCTGTGGCTGCAGCCGCCGCTGCAGCAGCAGCAGCAGCAGCAGCAACATCAGCATCATCATCCACAATAGCAACATCATCAGCAGTCGTTGGCAATTTACTCAATTGTAAGCCACGCAGCAGTAGTCGCGCGTCTTCGATGCGTCAGTCGCAGCTCCAAATGCAGCAACAGCTGCAGCAGCCCCACCAGCAGCACCAACAGCCTGCACAGTCACTGCATCAACAGCTGGAACAGCAACAAAGCAACAATAACGATGCCATGTTCCGTATGCCCACCAGATCGGATGTACTATCCTATATATTCGATGATAATTTCTACAAGGATGTTGTCCTCAATGTGCGCAACAATCTACAGCATTATCTTGACGGAAAGTTGCGTGTGCATTGCGAGGACTCCGCGAGCACAACATCCACCCTAATGCTGGCCAAATATGTAAAATATCAGACGACCAGCTTGGAAGGTAACGCCAACTTTGATACTGCCATACATGCGGCCACAAATTTGGCCATCAATACCGCTTATCCCACACTGCTCACTGCCGAGCAGTATGGCAATGTAGAGACACTGCCGTTAGCCAAATACCGACGTCCGCATACGAAGCATTCCTGGAAATGGAAATGGGACTATGTGAAAAAATTCAAATTAGTCAATGAGGGTGGCAAAATGGTTAAGAAAATTAAGCAACCGTTTGTCGGTCTGAGAGATCTGTCGAAGTTGGACATGTGGACGCAATTGACCATGCGGCAAAAGTTTGATATGCATCGAAGCATTTGCACAACAGCAACATCTACTGTAACAACAGCAACAGCAGCAAGCGCAGCTGCGGTGGCCGTAGCGACCTGTTCCACATCCTTTGAACAGCGCACGCGTGAGGAGAAGCAACGCCTGATGGACCAGTTGAATTTAATATTGGACTTTCGTCTGCTGCCGCATATTATACTGGAGCAGAACGAGCAGGCTATCATTAAGTGTGAAAGCGATGAGTTTGGCGAGCCGAATGCTAATCGTGAGCTCCTCGACGGCGATAACAGCTCCATGGGCGACCTAATGACGCAGAGTTTCGCCGACGAGAGTTTTCTGTCGTTACTGCAGCTTCAGCCACGCGCTCAAGCGACACAGCCAATACGTAAGATCGTTCTGAGTGGGGAGTGGGCACGTCCACGTTGCTATCTATGTGTCTGTTGTGGCGCCAAGTTTGATAAGCTTAAGTCTTTAGAGGAGCACAAGATGTTTCGACACTCGCACATCTATTCAACACACTACGAGGTTGTGGGACGGGAGCTACTTGCGGGAAATCTATTGCGTCACCTGTTCATACCCAAGCGAGCGTTGAAACGCTACGATGCAGACCACAGCTACAGTTCATCGGCCATGTATGGTCAGACAAATGCTGCCGGGTGGCCGCACAAGCAAGAGCGTAGTGTGGCAGAGGAAGAGTCGTCGGATAGCGTGCAATCGCTTTCCAATAGTTGTCGATTGAAATCCTTTGATCACGGCATGGGCACACCGCCGGCGGTTAGCTGCTCACCGTGCTCCACCTGCTCACCCGTGGCAGCGGGTCTGACGCCAACGCTTAATGCCAGCAGCTCGCCTGATGATGGAGACACCACAGATACAAAGGTGGGCGCATTGGTGGAGCTACAGAATGCCTCGCCATCACATAGCATGCCCTGGAGCAGCAGCAGCTCGTCAACGAGCACGCCGCGTTCCCGTTCCATGCAACAGCAGGTAAAGCATGAGCAAGAACGGGATCGAGAGCAGGAAACGCAACGCAGTCAGAGCAACTGCAGCAATAGCAACAGTAGCAGCACCAACACGAGCACCACTACCACCAAGGAGCCACTGCAGCAACATAGTCAGCAGCAGCAATCTGCCAGTTCCTGCTCCTCTTCTTCGAACTCGCAGTCCACAACCTCCGGCAACACATCGTCCAGCTGCACGAAATGCGGACGCAAATGCAGCGGCCTCATGGATCTCTATCGTCATATGCTTGACTGCTCCGGTGATTACATTTGGTCACTAGCCAAGAAGCGCAAATATCGCTACTATTGCGGCTCCAAAAAACGACGGCCGTGCAATAAACACTTTGCCGTGCTGCGAAAGGCCAAAAAGTGTGTCAAATCCATGCCTCTCAACGAGCATCATCAGCATCAGTTGTCCAACGACACCGAGGAGAGTGGCTCCAACTTCTCCAAGACTAAGACGCCGCCGCGTCAGCGACCTAGTGATGGTAAGTGTAATTTGTAAATAGGGTTGCAAAAATAATAAAAAGGGAAACCACACGGTCCCACGCCAAAGAAGAATTACTTTCCTCAAACCTAGGTTTCGATTTTGCAATTACAAGATTTCCGAGGCCGAAGTATTTAACAAATGTAAGAATCCTAATTTATATAGATATAGGATACCCAATTTTTTCAAAAGTTTGTCCAACTTTAAGATCTGTTTTTTGTGAGATCTACAACATATCCAATGTTAGGAGGTGAAAGACTTCTGGTATATAGAGCACATCGAATTTATATTAATGTGCCATATTGTGAATTCTAAAACTATTGATTGGGTTATACATACCCTCCATAGTCGCATCTGGCCAATCATCAGTTCGATTAACAATCACATGATTACAGAAACTACTTCGGTCACGGCCATCAACCTGGCGGCGGACCATCCTTCAGATATTATCCACACAGCTAGACAGACGGCTAGAAATAGAGTTAGTTGGGAAGTTCTTGTAGTTCTTGTAGGTCTTGTAGTGGCAGCTTAGGGCTTGCCAAGTGGATTAAAAAAATATTTAATATGAAGGCCTGGAAAAATTAAGTAATACGTAGTATTTTTTTAAGGGGGTTTATCTGCAAGACTATAACGAGCTAAGGTCAGCACACTTTGCAGGACCATCTGATGTGGATATATGTACATACTACATATCCTTCACTGTCGTTACAGAACGTTTCTTTTCTTGCTGCCTGTATTATGAATGTCTGCTCGAGTTTAATAAATGAAATCACGTCTTTACTTTTTAATTTTCTTTGCAGCCGAATCCATACGAAAAATGCTGGAAAACCTGCCAGCCAAGCGTGTTTGCAAGAAAATCTTTCCAACCGACACCAAGGCTAAGAAGGCGAAAAAATCGAAGAAAAACAAGTTGGTAGTGGCACGTGGAGGTAGCACCACCAGCAGCAGTAGCTCCAAAAAGCTATACAATCAACATGTGCTACGCACCACTCGTGCTCGCCAAGTTTCCCAAGCGCTTTTGGTTCGTAGCGCCAAGGTTCGTGTACAGCAAAAGAAGCAACAGGAACTGGCCAATCCACAACAGAAGCAGCAGCAAAGGCACAGGCGAGCTCAGCAGCAGCTGTCGAGTCGTAAGAAGAGCGAACTGCTCACAAGTACCACCAACACGTTCAGGACCACCTCAACCTTAACTTCAAACGCAAACACAAATGCCAACAAGTCTTCCACAGAGATTTCCGCTAAAGATGAGGGGGCTGGGGCGGATGCAGCCGCTGCAATCGCAGCCCGGCCCGGTGTTAACAGCCACAACACCAATCCATCGACCAAGGAGAGAGACGCTAAGAGTAATGATCCCAAATCAAGCACTGCCGGCATTGGCGCCGCCATCAAGGCGTCACCCAGATCTCCCAAAGAAAATTCACAGCCAGCACCAGCACTAGCACCAGCGCCAGGACCACTACCATCATCGAATACTCTCATAGATCAGGACAATGTTGATGGCGTTGGCATGGCCATAACTCGCATGCAGCAGCGCCGCGCGGCCGATGAGCATAAGCAGCATGGGGCGGCAAAACAGGTTGCCACAGAGCCGGCATCGCCGAACAAAAATCTAATGCCGACACCACCGACCACGCCAGCACCAGCCTCTGCACCGACCACGAACACGACCACACCCATCAACAGTGGCCTTGCCAGTCGGACTCCCATCGTGCCGACACCACCCAGCACCGGCGTGAAGCGCAGCAAGCGCATCAGCGACTGCATTGCCATGTTAACTGGCAAACTGGAGGAGAAACTTAAGACTGAGCAGCCGAAGCAGCCAGCCCCACAGCTTGTTGCATGCAACCTCGAGTTCAACTTGAACCACGACTTGACGCCTGAGCCCCTAAAAGAGCAACCAAAGCCAACGCTGCCGCACCTGGAGCCCGCAGATCAGCATCCCAAGACGCCAAAACGCAAAGCCATATCGAGACGCATTATCAAACTGGATGCTCCCGCAACTGACCCTGGTGAACAGGTGAAGCCTTCAATCGAGCAATTACCGGAGTCCAAGCAGCCGCTCCTTACTCCCACAAAGGAGCCGCCGATAGTAGCGGTTGTGCCTGTGCCACTGCCTGTTGTGGCTGCTACGCCTACCAGGCGCACTACAACCAAAGCGGCGGCGAAGCAGATGGTGGTTCCACTACCTCAGACACCCACAACTTCAGCCACGGCGGCACCGGCCTTAATGCAGCTAAAACATACGGCGGTCTCGCTCGCGGCTCTCAAGCAATATCCAACCGTGGCCGCCATCCCAACCACCGTTGGGGCTGACCAGCTGACCCCAGCTTTGGCTAGTGGCCTATCCAAAAAATCTTCTGCGGCAGGGGGGACTATGCCTGCAGTGCCTGTTGTTCCTGTTGCGTTGCCTATACCCACCGTGCCATCGGTACCAGTCGCCATGCCCCTGCCTGCTCAAGCACCCGCGCCAGTGGCCGTTCCGATGAATCTTATGCCAAAGCTGCCATTATATTTGCCAGCTGCTGCTGCTGCTGCAGCCACTTCTGCGCATTTGAATCTGCCGTCTATGCAATTGCCACCGTTGTCCTTTGATAAATTGAACATGTCAACTAACGCCGGAGGCAGTACCGCCTCAGCACCGAGTGTGGCGCTCACTTCCCTGCCTGGAGCAGCACCAGCAGCTGCCCCTCATGTGCCATTAAACCAAACAGTGGGCGCACATGTGTTGGCACCACCACTGCCGCCACCACTATCACAGGCGACTCCTCCCACAGTCCTGGCGCCTCCTACAGCCATCAGTGCAGCTAACTATGGCATGGAGCCGTTGAATTTGACCAGCAATAGAAACGTACGTAAACAACCACCAGGGGCAGACACGGCGGGAGTCGCCCAAACGCGGTCCAACATGCCAGCGCGTCGTCAGACCATCTGTGGTTTCGAGGCGCGTAATTTGCTTATCCTGGACGAAATGGAGCCACTGGATTTGTCAAAAAAGTCAACGCAGCGCAAGCCTGTCGTGGCAACTTCCGCTTCCTCTACCACCAGTGCTGGAATGGGGCTGCCGCCGCAGCCAGCGCCCGTTATGAACCTGGCACAGGATATGCCACTGCCACTGGTGCGTGGAGAGCCTGTGGTACCGTCTCTTCCCTCGTCCGGGGCTCTTCTGTCCGCCTCGGAATCACTGCTCAGCAAACACTTTTACTCCAATCTGGACCTGCTGAAGATACCGCAGGTACGCAATCCGGTTGTATTTGTACCACCTGCCTCGTCACATGGCAACGAAGGCATGTCTTCTACCCCTGCACAATTGGCGACGGTGGCTTCAGGAGCGGCTACATCGGCTGTGGTGCCTTTACCATTGGTTCCCGTTGCGGCTTCCGCGCCAGTTGTTACAGCCAAAAACCCGGCAAAGAAACGAGCTGGAAGCAGCAACAAAACGCAACAACAGCAACAGGAGGCGCAGACTGGCAAGGAGATAGCCAGCAAGAAGGACGGCAGTGCAAAACATTCGGTTAAATCCTGCCCCAAAATGGATGAGGTCATTAACAACCACATTGACGACGCCATCAATTCAGTGATTTTGGCTGTACAGGCAAGCTTGCCGGACGACGATGAGGATGGGGTGGTGCCCAGTAATATAGATGTAGCGCCCACAAAATGCGCAATCACGGTGCGGGAAATTCCTCCGACCCCGGCAACTGCTCCCCTTAAACATATGACACGGAACAATTGCATCGCAAGCACGGACACGACAGGAATGCCTTTCTCCTCCGTTATTTCCGAGCAACCACCACCACTGCAACCACAACAGCCTACAGGACAACAACCTGCACCACAGTTGCCTATAGCTATGCCTGCTACTACTGTCTTAGAGCAGGTACCACCGGTGGCATTCTCCAAGAATTTAACACCAAAGAAGCGTAATATGCGCTCCAAGACCATTGATTGCCGCTCGGCCCTGCTCATTGCCGAGGTGGCACCCAGTGTAGTGCAGGTCCCCTTGCAGCCAATGGATGTGTTGACGCCGTGCATAAAAATGCCAGACATGGACAATAACCAAGGTGTTGCTGCAACAGCAATGAACGCGAACTTAGTTCAAGAACCGACGTTGGAACAACCGCCGGAAAAATTGGCCACAGTTCCCACAGTTCCTGTCACGGCAACCAAGCCGGTGTTGCAACCATCTTTGGATGCGCCGCAACCGGAGCACTCTAGTCAACATAAGGAGGCAACACCACCACCAGCTATGTCCAAGCAAGTCGAAATTGAACCCAGTGCGCCACAGCCAACCACTGAAGCGATTCACGAACTGCCGCCCGCATCCGCACCATCGGTGGCTGTGTCCGTCATTTCGGTAGCGCCCGCTGTAGCGCCTCGCAGCAGCACGCCTGCGGTGCCGCCGACAGAGTGCAGCAGTCTAAGCGACAGTACCACCGCCGTCTGCACACAGGCAGACTTACCGACCAAGGAGGGGCCTACCATGCAAGAGACAAACTGCAGCTCCTTATGTGAGGAGCACAGCAGCAATCTCAACAACAACACCAGTTCTGGTTTTCATAGCCTGGCACAGTCGGAGAATGTGGCGCCAACTGCTGCATCTGGTCTAGTTGCGACAACCACCGAACAACCCCAGTCCCACGATGCAGAGGTCAGCAGTGCCACAGCGAGCAGCATCAGTGCCAGTGTGGCTAGCGCCGTTAGTGACCCCAAGAAAAAGCAGCGTCGCCGACGCAAGAACGAACTGGCTGCGATCGTAGCCGATCAACTGCTAGAGAGTTTTAAGATCGACAATGCACGTCGTGATAACTTAAAGAAGCTAGAGAATTTGGCATACGAAAAAAGCGAAGATCTTCTGCTCACGGGCATGCTGCTTATGTCTAGTACAAAGCGAAATGCTGCGCTGGCCCCACAGGCGAGTGCTGCGAAAGCTAGCGATACGAAGCGCAGCAAAGGTGAGCTCAAGGCCCAGGAAGAATCTGTTTTGACGACCACACCTACAAGCACGCGCGGCAGACCCAAGCGGAGGCAGAGCGCCTACTATAGGCGAGGACGTGGCAAGTCCGCAACGCTGGCCAACGAGAATATAAGCTTGTTGAAATCGTCACTAGAGTCCTTCTCCATTGGCATAGAAAAGCAGTTGAAGGCCAAAAGCATGGGCGGGTCCAAAACGGAGAAGGCCGGTGTGGCTGCAAATAGCACACCTATTTTGCGCCCCAGCATACTGGCCACAGCGGCCAAGGAGCAGCAGGCCTCAAAATCGGCTCTTGCCAACGAGGGAACATCAACGGCTGCGACACCGACTACGGCAACCACGGCAGTTGCGGCAGCACCCACCTATAGCCGTGATCCGCGACTCAATAAGAATATACATAAGGAGGAACGACAGGCAACGACAGCGACATCAGCGAAAGCAACAACGGCTCCTGCAAAGGGTGCTGATAAGACGGAAATTGGCGATCTGGAGGAGGACAACTATCTCACTGAAATCGCCAAGAATGTAAATGAAAAGATCATGTCGGCTGACAATGAAGACTTTGAGTTTGCCAACGATGAATTCGAATTGGATCAGGAGCATGACCAGGATGATTCGAACAGCAAATTCTATCGTCCACCTACCTCTATGAGCGTTCGCAGTGCGCCGAATCTCAACGATGATCACTCAAACTTTGGCTCTATCTGCGATGAAAACACTAACACCGAGGTAATGGACATGGATCTGGACGATGAAATGAGCGTGTATACAAGCTACTCCCAAGACTTGGGCCGTGGCGGTCGTGGCAGGCGTCGACGAAGACGCCGCAGTGTATTGCTCACCAGACGACCTAAAAAGCGCTCGACACGACGTGTCGGTGACTTGGAGAGCGAGAAATTCGAGTGTGAGCTGTGTAAAAAGACCTTCTTTACGGCCACGTCGTTATCCAAGCACAATATGACCTTGGCCCACGTCTCCAAGCTGTCGGAACAGGAGTATTTGCAGAGCAAAAGTAATCAGCATATGCCAACAACAATGCCGATAACGGCGACCTCATCCCCGTTGGGTGCCAAGACAGCTTCCCCATCGCCTGCCACACCTACCACGCCCGTTGTGAACAATTGCTATGTGAGTATGACGCCCATATCAAACATTAAGCAGAACCGCGCCTCGGTCCTAATGCAATCGACATTGCGCCGTCGCTCCAAGTCCATGTCACCGACTCCAGCTGAAGCAATTGCCCAACCACAGGCCCAGGGCGCACATGTCATAACCGAGGCCAGTTTGCGGCTCCACGACAGCCAACAGCAGCAGCAGCAACAACAACAACAGCAGCAGCAATCCCATCAAACAGGCAACAAAGATGTAAGCCAGCTGAGTTCGCGTCTGAACCTCAATCCGGATGAGCGTCTTTTCTACGAGTGCTGCAATATCTTAAAGAGCGCAGAGACGCCCCGTCTCAACCTGCCCCCGGCAACGCCACAGCTGGAGGACCCGTTGCACAACGAGATATATCCATCAACTTCTGTGCCAACCACACCGGCGGAGCCCGCAACACCAATACCCCCAGTCGTCGAAAGTGTGCTCAAGCCGCCAACTGTGATCGTAAATGCTACACGCAAGCTTGTGCGCCCAGCTTCCGATCACTTTGTACCCATTGAGCAGGAAACGATAGCTGCTATCAAGCCAACAGTGTTTCATGCACAAAACCCGCAGACACCGTCGCCGCAATCGCCACCTTCGTCACCTCCTTCATCACCACCTCCACCGCCCGCCCAAAACGTTTCGCATCAGCCAGTCATTCAGCAGAACAGCAGTGCCAACGATTTTCGCAATCCATCCACCATGCATACGCCATTTAACAAGCCCACGGTGGGGCCTCCACCACAACCACCGCCATCAATGCCATTGGTCAATGCCGAAAAGTAAGTAAACACGTTTGAATTAGTTGATTATAAGAATGGGGTTGTTAGAGTGCAGACTCATCGTCAGAAAGACAATACAACCTGATAACAGAACAGTTGCAAAACATTTGAGAATATTAAGAAACATGCTTTCATTACTCAAAGATCATCCTAGACTACACTTTTAGAAACATTCAACAGCTGTCCTACGTCTCGGGTCAAGCCTCTTATAACTCGCAAAAAAAAGGAAATGCATATGTACTTGTATATTGAATATCTTCCTTTTTAATCAAGGAATTTTATAGTATTCATGAGAACACTTTTAGAAACATTCAACAGCATTCCTAATCTCGGATCAAGTGTTTTACCACTCACAAAGAAAAGGAAATGCATATTTATATTGAATATCTCTCTATTGAATCGAGGAACCTCACCACTTCCTTAGATGCCTTATTTACTTAAAGATTAGAGCTAGAGCTTTTTGTATACAATGTCCTTTAAAACGGTGTCATAACCAATATTTTTCTCACTTATTATACCTTGCAGCAATAATCGTCTATCTCCCAACTATTCTGCCTTATCTCAATTTTCTGCTGTAACCAACATAACGACCACAACGTCCCGCTTTAAGACCAAGGCGGCCATGAAAGGCTATGAGAATGTGAACATTGATCTGACCATACAACGCGAGCTGGAGACCAAATCGCGTGCCGTTTGCAAACTTACAGAGCTCGCAGACATTGCGCTGGGCAGCGAGAAACCAAATTCGCGTGAATTTATCCCGATTACGGATGCCACACCGACACCGGCTACGCCGCAAACAGCCGTAACGCCAACGACCTCGGAGCAGCACAATGAAAAGCGAGCGCATCCCAATGAGTATGCGTCAACGCCGGCGCTGAGCAAACCCAACGAGAATCAAAGCTCCACCTCATCGAAAACCATCATGCATGCTTCGATGATTAAGGCGACGGCAACAGCGGCTGCAGCAAGCAGCGTCTTGCTTCATAGTTCGGCACCACAAAATAAAATCATCATACCAGAGCGGCCATTCAAGAATATTGGACTCGAGGAGAAGGAGACCATCACGTTCCAGAAGCCCAAGGCGAGCATCAATCTGCTGACGGACGACAACAATAGCGTGTCCACCGCCAGTTACTCGGATCGCGACGACTACGACTTCGGCACCTTGAGCTGTGACGATGAAAACAGCGTGAAGTTGAGCAACGAAAAGCTGGCCACCAAACATTCCTCATCCAGCAGCTCTTCTTCGGAGCACAGCAGCAACAGCAGCAGTACCAGCAACTCCAGTCGCGCCACAGCCAAGACATTTGAGAACAAATCCCTAATCATGGGCAGAATCTTCAAGAATGCCAGTACCAAGGCCAAGAGCAGTGGAGCCGGTCTGGGCGTTAGTGTCGGCATGGCATCTACCGGCGTCATGAGCGCTGTTAAGTTAAAGGGCGTCGGTATATCCAGGGAACAACAACAGCAACCAAACCTCATGCCTCCAGCCCCTCCCAAGGCAAATCTCGATCAGATCTTTGATGAGTTGCGTGGCGGCGGTGTTGGAGCAACACCAACCACTGCCCCAACTACGTCGACAGTGCGTGCCAAGCAATTCACGGACTTTGAGCCCGTATTAGCGCCTGAGAATGAAAACTGGCAGCACACCCCAGAAGGGGTCATTAATGTCAGCAACAAGCTTGTGCCGCCTCCAGTGCCCGCTGTAAGCGCAGCGGCTGCCGCCGCTGCTGCAGCCGCTGCTGCAGCCGCTGCAACAGCAGCAACGCTGGCCATGCCTGCGCCGCCTGTACCGCCGTCACCGCATGTGGCCTCCTCCGCTAAGGGATCTGGCAAGGCAACAAAGAGTCGAGCCGCGGCCACAGGGCGTAAGTCCTCGGCGAAAACGCAACAAAACAAAAATGCCAATACAAAGCCAGGCAAAGACATTTCCAAGCTCCAAACAGAGCTGGGCATGAGTCCTGAGGAAATCGAGAAGCTTATTGATGAGGGTCAGCGCAAATCGAAGCGTCGCTGTGCCACCAATCGACCCAAGAAACTGGTAGAGACATGGAGCTCCGATGAATATGAGGAGTTTTTGTCCACCAAGGACATTATTGCGCTCATTGAGGAGAAGGAGCAGCAGGAGAAGCGACGCAAACGTAAGACGAGCACAAATCTCTCAAACACCAGTGATAGCCATGAGCCAGCAATGGCCACAGCTAATAAGAAACCCGATGTCAATAGTCGAGCACGCGATAAATCTGCCGGTGCTGGTGAAAAGGCTAAGACCACAGGAGCCAACAAGAGAAAGAGCACGAGAGAACCCAGTCAGGCTCGCAAAAGTCGAGCTGAAAAGTCCGCCAATGTCAATGTTAAGGGAAGACAGCGAGCTCCAGCAAAGAGCGTAAACGTGCCGGAACAGGTGGTGGAGCACGTTTCAAAGGGCAGGCAACGCGGGATGACGCAATCGACAGAGAGTTCTGTTGTTAATGAGGCTCCGGCAACTGAGAAGAAAGCGAAAGCGAAAGCGGAAGCAAAGCGTGCCAAACAAAATCGTGGCGGAGCTGCTGCCAAGGCAAATCGTCCGTTGGAACCGATGCAAAAGGTGTCTGTAGAACCGGAACTAGATTTCGAGCCAGAACCACATCACCATCGTTCGACCTCACGGCGCAAGCGGAACAAGGAGCAGGCCAACCCGCTACCCAGTCCCCATGGAAGCCTCACGGATGTAAGCGAGCGACTTACCGATGGAGCCACTGCGGAGCAACAGCATCGAGAGACGAGTTTCGAAGGCACGGACATTACCCAGAATTATCTGAACAAGGCACGGAATAGTCAAAGAACCCGAAGGGGACGACAACAGCAGCATCCAGCACGTAGAGGAGCTGCAACTGGCGGCGACAGCAGTCGCACCCAATCCGAATCCTATGCGACGGATGCTGGCACGTCTGTTACGGAGGAACTTAAGCCCGCGACAAATCATTACAATAGCCTGAGCTCCTCAATTCCCATCGGCGGCACCAGCAGCGAACCGCAGCTGGCCGAGATTCCAGCCCCTGTGGCGGGTGGTGGGGGTGGCTTTGGCAATTCCGCCCATTTGTCCGCCAAACTGAAGCGGCCCACTGCCAATGTCGGTGGTGGTGCTGGCCTAGTTCCTGTAGCTGGCAGCAGCAAGGGGGGAAACAACAACAATAACAACAACAATATCAGCAGCAGCAACAAAAATCTAAAATGTAAACGAAAATCTCAAGCGAATCGTCAATCGCCGGCACGTCGCAAACGGCCTGCGACTGAGAAACAACTCTACTATTGGTCCTCGTCCAGCGATGATGACTTTGGTCGAATCGATGCTGCGGCCCAAGGGGAACAGGAACAAGAGAAGGACTTCGATGACAGCGAGCAGTATCAGAAGCACGGCTGGATCGTGGGCGATTCGCACAAGAAGCTGGTCAAGCTATTGGCCATTGCCAAGGGTAGCAAAAAGGTGGACAATTGTGGCGTTAAGAGGCGTACACCCAAACGCAAGTGCTAGTAGGAGCTACAGGGGTCAGTGGCGGCGCGGGCAGCCGCCTCTGGCCCACCAATGGACGAGGACTACAAGCACGTCCACGAAAATCAGAAGCAACATCCACATTCTCATCCACATCCACAGTCACACTCGCAGTCATAGGCACTGGAACTTCCAGTCGACTTCAGTTAATCATCGAAATTACCAGCTGGTTAGCACTACATGGTTGGTTAGCTTCTCTGGTTGTTAATTTCACTTACGCATATATACAAGAAAATATTTTTCTTTCTTTTAAATATACATAAACTACGTGTTACATTATTTAGGTTTTTTTTATTAAATGTATTTATAATTAATAAAAGAAAAAGAAAAATCTTACAAAAACAACAAAACCAACAACAAATAAAGCAAATTTGAGCACAATACCCATAGACAGGCTATTTGATTATAAATGCGGGCGGAACGGGGAGGGGCTATTCTCAATTTCAATTGAGAATTCTTTTCTACTTGGCGACTTATACTTACTCTAAGTATATCTATATTAGGGAGATGTTGCTCTTTCAGTTTCGGTGCGCCTTTCTCAATATCGGTGCAGAACAATAGTTCCGTCCCGCTCGCACTCATGCGGGAACAATATCGGCCCATTAAAAGGAAACACCTTACTTTAAAAATCCGAAAAACAGTAATTTTCATGCATTTAAGACGTACGGAGATGGTTCAGAGCTTCCAATCACCTTTTTCAAAATCAGCGACATTTAAAAATTATACTCTTCCCCAATTTGTTGGGAGAGAACGCTTCTGGGTTCCCAATTTGAAGAAGGCGATAACTACAGCAGATAGTAAAGTTTAAAATGAACATTTCTTCGATATAAACCTTTGAGGATTCCACCAAACCTGGACCTTGCAGCCAACCTAGCAATATATTTACAATATTATTGTTATCGTATTTCCCACGCTAAATGACACAATTTTGTAAAGCCCTCTATGGATCATCAAATACTTGAAAATCGAGAACTCAATATGAATTTGAAGCATTTTAACATTTCATAGTAAATAATATTTTTTGTAGTGTTTTTTTTTGTCCAACTAATAGATGGCCAAGATAAGATTATTATCATAGATAGGAAATTCGGAATAATTGCTTAGAACTGGCCAATTTTTTTTCAAAGACAAAAAGTTTATATTATTTATGGGTTTATGTTATCACACTAAATATATTTAAATCACACTATTAACCGCTACAATAGATATTGATTTTTATATTCCAAGCTAAAATTTGCCTACTATTTGGAATACATCTCTTGCATATATTAAGAATAGAACAAGAATATTACTGTAAGATTGTATTTAGAACAGATTATAAGTAGTTTACACTTCTACCTGGAATCATTTGTTACTAATTGAATAAAACAGAGCTTTTCTATTGGAATCCGAACAAAATCTTACATCAAAGCTGATTATTGATTGCAGGTAATAATATAGCTTGAAACGTTTCTAGAAACTCGAACAGCATTTGTTAATTTCCTTCAACAAGTTAAAAAAATAATTGAGAATGTAAATAAATGTACTGGACTGGTTTTGTATATATGTGTATTTATTATTATATAACTAACGTAATTTCATTTACATATATAACATGTAAAAATAGCATTAAGGAATAGTTAAAAAAAATGAGCACACAATGCAAGGGACAGGATATGCTTAGACGAGTGAACGCGGGCGGGCACACACATCCAAAAATTGTTAGGAAGAGGCGCAGCAGCTCTTTGTGAACTGAAGAATGAGTGTATGATGATATTGGGAGGAGCGTGTGCGCCATTTTCTAAAGTCTAAACGACTGGATATGCACCGAAATAAGAGATATTGGTGGGCTTGCCTCAAATTCAGTTGCGGTCGTCTTGTAGCGAGCATAGAACCCGCCCGTGTGCATTATGACTTAAACACTTAGAAATGGTCAATGGTGTGAATAGTGTGGCGGGATGGATTTACATCATTCCACCCATGCCTCCCATGCCACCCATACCGCCCATACCACCCATGCCGCCCATGCCAGGAGCAGCGTCCTCCTTGGGAATTTCAGTCACAACGGCTTCAGCAGTGGTCAGCAGCGAGGCGACACCCGATGCATCGGTGATGGCGGTACGGACAACCTTGGTGGGATCGATGATACCCTTTTCAATCAGATTGCCGTATTCACCCTTCAGCGCATCGTAGCCGTAATCACCAGACTGGGTCTCAACCTTGGCCACAACCATGGCGCCATCAACGCCAGCGTTCTTAGCAATGGTTAGGCAAGGCATACGCAGAGCACGACGTACGATATCAACGCCAAGGTTCTGCAAGCAAATGAAGAGAAATACCACAAATCAGAGAGTTCATTGGCTGGGTTGTTACTCAAGTGCCCCTTACCTGGTCCTCGTTCTGGGTGGCCACGGTGTCGAGTTTCTGAATGCAACGCAACAGGGCAGTACCACCACCGGGAACAATGCCTTCCTCGACGGCAGCACGCGTGGCATTGAGTGCATCATGGACGCGATCCTTCTTTTCGTTCACCTCCACCTCGCTGGAGCCACCGACGCGGAGCAGGGCAACACCAGAGGCCAGACGAGCCAGGCGCTCCTGCAGTTTCTCCTTCTCGTACTCGGAAGTAGTGTCTGTAATTTGATCCTTGATTTGGTCGACGCGACGTGTAATGTCCTCCTTCTTGCCTTTGCCCTTCAGCAGCAACGTGTCATCCTTGGTGATGACCACCTCGCCAACCTGACCCAAATCACTGACCTTCACATCTTCAAGCTTGACCAAATCAGCATCATCGCCAAACACAATACCGCCAGAGGCGATAGCCATGTCGGTCAGGGTGGATTTGCGATTGTCACCGAAGCCGGGGGCTTTGACAGCGGCCACCTGGAGGCCAATCTTCAGGCGATTCACTACCAGAGTGCTCAAAGCCTCACCATCAATATCCTCGGCAATGATAACCAAAGGCTTGCGCTGAGCATTGGCCAACTCTAAGGCTGGAATGATGCTCTGCACAGATGAGATCTTCTTCTCGGAAAGCAGCAATAGGGCATCCTGGAACTCGACCTTTGCACCCTTCGACGAGTTGATGAAATAGGGTGAGATGTAGCCGCGATCGAACTTCATACCCTCAATGACTTCGAGCTCATCAGTCAGGGTCTTGCCATCCTTGACCGTGATGACGCCATCACGTCCAACCTTCTTCATGGCCTCGCTGATCAGATTGCCAATGGCCTTGTCACCGTTAGCCGAGATGGTGGCCACCTGTGCAATTTCTTCTGGCGTGCTTACCGGACGCGACATTGTCTTCAAGTTGTCCTTGACTACGTCAACGGCCAACATGACACCGCGGCGAATCTCAACGGGGTTAGCGCCCTTCGAGATCTTCTCGAAACCCTCCTTAGCAATGGCACGTGCCAAAACAGTGGCTGTGGTGGTGCCATCACCAGCTTCCTCATTGGTGTTATTGGCCACATCCTGCACCAGCCTTGCGCCAATATTCTGAAACTTGTCCTTCAGTTCAATCGACTTGGCTACAGTGACACCGTCCTTGGTGATCTTGGGCGAGCCCCACGACTGCTCGATGATCACATTGCGACCCTTAGGTCCCATTGTAACAGCGACTGCATCGGCGAGCACGTCAACACCCTGCAGCATCATGGCGCGCACCTCAGGACCAAACTTGACATCTTTGGCATAGCTGCGCATTGCCAGCTGGCGACTGATGTTGGTGCGTGCGAGTGAAATTGGCAAGCGGAACATCTGAAAACAAGTTGGACAAAGAATATAATTAAATGTGCATAAGTATGTATGCATTCCTATACACAAACAAACACTTATATACTGATATGTACAAATGGTACACACATATTTATATGTTGACAAACACGTGCTATAGCACGAAATGCATATGTTTTCTTGTCTAGTAGTTCTTCATGAGCATAGTTTAAAGTACATCCACACCAGTTGAGGGAAAACTCGAATGTTTTCTTTTTTCGGTCAATAGATAAGACGAAGCGCACATGGTAGGCATCGACCCCCAGCGCTCGCTGATAGTAATGGCCAAAGCATCGACGAGCATTCCAGAAAAAATCATTTATGTAACCAAGGCAAGCCAGCATTTCCATCTTACACGTTACGAAATCGAAATATGAACAATTGGCCTATCTTTAGCATAGACACACACACGCCCGCTTTCACTTTCCACATTACATTTTCTCCCAATTAGAAACATGAAATTTACCATCAATTTGTGAAATACGCCGGTGAACCGAAAAACATGTGCGCGTGCACTTGTATGTGTGTGTACGATTTATGAAAATACTATTTGTAAGCTATCCGCCAACATAAATGCATAAACGATTGAGATCATGGGTTAGCTGAAACCTTACATAAGGAATATATGGTGTCTGTATTCATTAACTTTGTCCTTGATTAGAGAAAAACTAGGACAGAAGTTTCTGGAATCAAGCTTGCCGGCTAACATGACAAGACAATTCTTATGTAACGAGCGCACATATGAAAACTTAAAAATGCACAACGCGAATGAAATACATTTAAAGTTTAAGAAATAAATAAATACACTTACTTTGATATTTGTTTAGGCTTAGGCTGCAATAAGCTTCAAAACTATAGCTTCCGATTTAATTGATGTAAAACACAAGCTCACTCGCTCGAATTGTGCCACCGACGGACTTCTAACCTTCACGGAATATCGTGTGGTGTGTGAATGTGAGTAAAAATTCCTACGTTGTTCTTTCGATGCTTGTGAATCTAGTACTTACTACTCGATGACTGTATATCAATATAAGCGACAGCGCTACCAGATGTGTGATATAGGATCAAAAATGTGGCAGCGCCGATGGCACAATAAGCATTTTTGTGCGCTACGTTTCAGTTTGCGTTTATGCATGGGATTCTAAAAATGATTTCCAACACAATTTGTTGAACAGCTTATCCATACAAATTGTGCAGCGCGACAAAAGAAGTTTCACAAAATATGAACAACAACTTTATTAGTATGGGATTTTGTAGAACAAAATTATTTGGCGACTACATTTAACAACCAAAGTTCCTTTTCAAATTTTGTTTTATTTGCTCACTTTTTAAAATGGTAATTTCATGGACTGATTAAAATTTGTAGCACTCCATAATCTATTGCTAATCAAAACCAGTTCCAGGAATTCGACTATGTTACAAACTGAATTCTTTTCTCTAATCCAATAGTGACAGGTCCAACCGAATCTAAATAGTCCATAAACGCAGTCAAATCCAGGGGTCCAGTTCTGGAATAAACTTGCAGTTATAAGTACGCATAGAAATAAGCTTACATAATGTACCACTGACTCTATGTCTTTGGCATTGTCTTGAATCAAAGCATTTCCGTTTTTCCCATTTACAAGATATTCCATAACGACTATGCGATAGTCTTTGTCCACGTCTAGGGGCTTGTACCGAGGTACTTCACAATCGGCGCAACGTGTATAAACACTTACAGTTCGTTTGCCGTCAGATGCAGTTAGTTTGTAGATAATGCGAAGGCCTGAAACTTGGAGAAATCTTGAGCTCGATGGTCTGGTCAGACTTGCATTCATATTCGCGACACTATTCTCCAGGACATCCAACAAAGTTTGACCAGACAATGTCAAGGCATACACTCTATTCTCCCACGGGCACATTGCAACAAGTTTTTTATAGGTTATGTCTGCAAACGATCCAGGTATTAAACTATAAGCTGTGTAGCTGTGTAGGGATTATACGTACTACCCACTGGTATAGGCACACGAAAAGTGCCTTGGGTGGTCAGGCCAATTGTAACATTGCTCCAGTTGGATGCTGAAGGCGACGCATTTTTAACAAACTAAAAAAATAGGCATTTTTATGGCAGTTTTTAAAATATACATATACTCTTACGCACAGCATGAACCATGGCGTCCGTAAACAAATTTCCCAAGTTACACTCCCCTTTGGAACACTCCGCTTGTTGTAAATAGACAAGAGTGCTGCCCACAACTTTATTACCAACTTCATCGATCGCGGTTTGCCAAGGTTTCATGGCCAAAATAACGGCATTATCTATAATAAATAGAGAAACATGTTGGATTCTTTAGGAACTATAGCTTAATTTTGATGCAATAACATATTCAGAGCATTGAGTATGCTCCGTCACTTTGTTAATTGAGATATTAAAATCAAACTTGTATAACATTCGATTATTCAGCATCACAACACCAATGACAAAACAAATGCGACTGGTTAACCGACAGATATTAATACGAACATGGAATACGAACACATATAGTATATAGATTTTTCTCTTTCTTGCATATAAATAACAATTAAATAGTTATACCCCACTTTCCATAGGCATCACTAATATATTTAAAGGATATTAAAGCTGAAAAAAAACGTAATTATTATTAAATGCCTATATTCGGGGGAAAAATGAAAAACAAATTGTCCACTTGATTTTTAACATTTGTTAATATTGTTCGAATAATTGCCAATAATGATTCAGATAAAATTAAAAATGCACTTAAACGTTCCATAAACAAACAAATAATAACGTATTGAAGAAACTACAATTTGTGCGTTCTTGTATATTTAAATTTCTCTGATTGAACGGAAACGGAAGTAGACTTTCTCTATGTCTGAAACAGAAATGCGGGAAAACCTTTAACTCACATTGTTAAGGCAGAACTTATATACATAGTTCTTTATGATTAAATATTCAAAAATTAGTTGGGACTCTTTTGTACTTAAGATAAGAAACGGATTTACTTGTATTATCGATTTTATTTTTGAAACATTTATTTTTAGATTTTTCCAATTATTAACTGCAATGAAATTTTGTTTGCCCTTCCCTGAAAAGTGAAGTGAAAATTGAAACAATGTTCGCTCATTTATGTTACAAATTGAATTCTCTTCTCCAGTCCATTAGTGATAGGTCCAACGGCATCTAAATAGTCCATAAGTGCTGTCAGAGCAAGTGGTCCAATCCTGGAATCAATTCGTAATTGTAAGTTAAATTTGTATAACTATTAATATGTACTTGTAGCACTGACTCTATATCTTTCGCATTGTCTTTAATCAAAGCGGTTCCATTTGTCCCCTTTACGAGATATTCCAAAACGGCTATGCGATAGTCTTTGTTAACGTCTAGGGGCTTGTACTGGAGCTCTCCAGAATCGATGCAGCGAGTGTGGACGCTTACAATTCGATTGCCGGCAGATTCAGTTAGGTTGTAGATAACGCGAAGACCAGAGACCTGGAAGAACTGTGATCTCGACGGGCCGGTCTGCCTTGCTTTCATATCTGCCACACTGCTCTCCAGAACGTCCAACAAAATCTGACCTGGCAGCGTCAAGGCATACACTCTATCCGCCCATGGACACATGCCGACAAGTTTTTTATAGGTTATGTCTGCAGATGATTTTCAGGTATAGAGCTTATCGTGACTGTGTTTGGAATATACGTACCACCCACTGGAAGGGACTCCAGGGTAAAAGTGACCTGATTAGCCAGGCCAATAGTACTTTTGCTCCAATGGGATGCTGACGCCGACGAATTTTTAATAAACTGAAAAAGATGAATGGTTTTAGGTCTGTATCGGTATGGAGAGAGGTATTAATATTACGCACAGCATGCACCATGGCGTCTGTATATAGGTCTCCCAAGTTACACTGGGCTCTGGAACACTCGGCTTGTTGTAAAGAGACAAGAGTGCTGCCCACAACTTGGTTACCAACTTCATCAATCCCGACTTGCCATTGTTTCAGGGCCATTAGTACTTCATTATCTTCGATGAATAAAGAAAAAGTGTTAAATATTTTGGGAACTACATCTTCTTACTATTCTATTTTATAACTTCATATATACTCCGTTAAAAAGAAACTAAGATGCACACTTCTTGAACTCAAGATTTATTGGAAAACTGAAGGTAATGTATGCTTAGCTTATTAAAAATTTGGATGGTATGACAAAGCGTGTGACGTGGCTCAGTTCAGTACAGTTATGCGCCCCTCGCGACCCACAAAAATGGGGTCTATATTTTCCGTGTACGAGATAAGTGCTTCCAAGTCAGTTAAAGAATACCTAAAATTAGATGAGTCAACATATTGAAATACTTGTATGTATGCCGTGCTTTGAAGCAGACTTACTGCACATCCGTGCCATGTTCATAGAACATTTTGAAGCCATCACCGCCTTTTTGAAGGAAATCTGGCATAGCAACTCGGTACAGTTTAGAAGTGTCTAGAGGTTCGTATCGCGGCACCTCGCAATCGGCACATCGAGCCTCCACCGTCACGACACGAGAATTAACTGGCTTGCTATAGTCGTAGGTTACTTTCAAGCCCGACACCTGCAGGTAAATGGCCGAGCTCCTCACATTGTTCTCTAGATCAATCTTAGAGACTCCGAATTCCAATGCCTCAACCAGTTTATCGCCTCGCAAGTTCAGAGCAGCAATTTTATTCTCAAAAGGCGACATTGTAACCATATGCGAATAGGTTAGATCTGCCCAGAAGAAAGCAACACGATCAGAACGCCTATCCTATATGGATTACCAATCTGAGTACTCACTGCCTCTGCTGAGTGGCACGCGTAGGGCTCCAGTGCCTACCACAGCAATTGATACGTTAGACCACGCTGTTTGGTCGTATGGCGTGAGTCCAGTGAACTATTTTTGGGGCAATAATCGTATATTGAGATTGCTTTGTTTTTGGCCCTTTGACTTACCGTATGAACCAAGGAATCGCAGAAAAAGTTCCCCAAATTGCATTCCTCACTGCTGCAGTCGCTTTTGGTCAACTCGACCTTACTTTTCCCAATTATCACATTGCCCCTTTCGTCCACCGTTTCCTTCCATGGCTGAATGGCGGCCAACACATCCTCGTCTATAAAATTTGATTACTCAGTGTGGGATCACAAAACCGACACCACCGACAAGGACAATTACAACGACAACGACAACGACAACAAACACGACCGGTTAACCGACAAACACTGATCCGAACAGAGAAGACACATACAAGTAGTAAGACAAACATCGCACATTTGAGCAAATGGTGATGGATCGAAAACTTAATTTACATTTTAATCAATTCATTAATTTATATATTACCTAAAACGCTGCATATTTATAAGATATCTACGCTATTTTCCAAAAAAATAAAGGGTATGTAGTACATTAAACAGTCCAAGGAACGAAAATATTTGAGATATAGTATTCTTTATTTAAATGAATTAAGTACCTTAAAATGTGTATGGATCTATCTCAAATCCAAAATGGATCCCAATGGTCCTAAAGAACTGCCCTGCTGGAGATTCTTCAACCCGTTCTTCATTCATGCAAAGTTTTTTTTAAATATATTATTCAGAAGACTTATTCACACCTGATTTGGAACTATTTAGTTAAATGAGCTAACTAAGATTATCTCCAATCTGAGTTATTTCCCGCAATTTATATTTTCGATTTTAGTCTTAAAAAAAACATCCATATCATTTTTTACAGAACACATTAAGACAATGAAGGGTATATAGCTTCGGCACAGCCGAATTCAAATCCTTATCTGTATAAAATGTATCTAAATGTATTTAAATTAAAAAGTTATTTATATATGTTTTCATAATTGAAAATGTCTGATTTAAAGGAAGTGAAATGAGATTGGATTTTCGTTGATAACTGAGGAAATGATTTGTCAAGTGGACTATTTTAACATATACCTAGTAATGGTGATGTCTGGAGCTGCTGATAAGATAACTGGAGGTGCACTCGAACCAAGGAATAGAATGACTTACCCTGGGGAACATCGCTGCTCATGTAGATGGGGGCGCCCTCGTAATCGACCACATTTCCCTCGTCATCGAAGTAGACTGTAATATTGCCCACATACCTGGCATAGGAGGATGCCTGGACAATGAGGAGTCTGTGCCCATTCCCGTGCACATGCTCAGTGGGATAGTCGCCAGCTGGCGTATCCGGACCAGGTGGTGTGCCCGTGTACAGGAATGTGTGCGAGTGGGCGCCCACTATGACATCGACGATGTCGCCAGCCTGCCTCGCAATCTCCTTATCGACATCGTATCCGCAATGGGAAATAACTATAATGATATCGGCACCTTCTTTTTGCAATTCCACGGCCTCTTCACGAATAGCTTCACTCTCGTTTTGGAATATCAGTTTTCCCGTATTGGCCAGATCCTAGAACAACACGTGTCTTTACATTTCCCCATTATATTATCATAATCACTTACATATGTGGTCTCCAGTATGACGCCAATGAGACCAATTTTTCGTCCGCTCCGTTCTAAGATGGTCGACTTCTTAAACTTGCCTTCTAACGTGGGCTCATGGGAGGCGTCCATGTTGGCCACCAGCATCTGAGTGTCAATAGTTTCCAAAAATGGCACAAGACCTTCCACACCATGATCGAACTCATGGTTGCCTAGGGTCTGCATTGAATAAATGGAGATTATGATTGATTGTCGAGAAGTGGAAATATATCTCTGCGTTAAGCTATGACGAGATGAGAATGAGATCAGGCCACTATGTAATATCAAGGGCGTAGGCAGGGGGGCCGTTGCCCTATTTAATCAACATTTTAATTTTTTGGCCCCCCCTTTGATAAAAGCTGCCCACGCCTTTGTGTAATATAGTTTCCATAGATAGATAGATAGATTTATAGATCTCTCAGCTCATACAACCCAAAAAACCTACTTGGTTTGCGATTTATAGCCCATTTCTCAAATTAAACAAATTTCTGAGAAAATTACTTGGCAAATCGATCGAAGTTTGAGTAAAGAATGTAAATACAGTGAAAACTCTCTTGGCGGGACACTCACGCTCGGCCAATTTTTGTTCATCCAGGGGGCGCACCCACTTAAAGAGATACTTAAATACTTTATACACCGATGGAATGTCTAAGAAAAAGAGAGAGTGTCAGAATAAAAGAGGTGTCCATTAAGGAAGTTTCCACTGTAATCTGTATCCCCTTTATTAGCGTGCACCTGAAGGGCTTGAAATGTATTTTAGATTTATGAAAAATATGTTACAGAGAGAGGCGCTGATGGAAGCATCTCTGACCCCATAGAGTATACATATATATCAGGAAAAAAAAACAAATCTATCCAGACATCCACCCGTGTCTCCATATATTTACTAGACTTGATAACTAAACACACGTAATTTAGGTGAAGTCCGCCAGAAGATTAAGGTCTTGCGAAATCCGTATATATTTTTCCCCACTCTGTACTAGCCCCGATTATGAGCTTACCATTGCATCCGCTGGGACCATATTCAGAAACTGTTGCGTCACATTCCAACGGCCGATGTTGTACCAAAGCGTTCCCTGGAAACTGTCACCGGCATTTATGAAGATGGGATTCTGGTCCTTCTGCTCGTCCAGCAGACGCTTCACTGTGTATGCGGTGCGTGCATAGCCGCCAATGCACTGCTCCCCCTCGTCACATGTGCCTCCACTGGTGTCCGTTGGCTCGAACCTGTGCGAAAGCCCATGGTCAAATCTCTTATCTCAACTTCTACGTGTACTCGTAGATATACATATACAAGTAGTATGTATAAAGCATGAATGTATGGCATGAATGAATAAGCAATTGAAAATAAGTACGCTCCCAGATAAGTATTTTGATTAAAGGCTTGATTGTGCGTATTATATGGTGAATTATAATCTATATCAGGCCGATAATGGTACAATATGGCTGCTTAAATGCTTTCGATACGGATCTCCCATATATTGGTACTCGTACGTATAATTCGACATACGTATGTAGACTGTATAGTTTCAATTAACGCGCACTTGCCTGGCATGGAAATCATTAATGTGTATTATAGATATTGGAAATCGATCTTGTGCCTGGGAAAATTGGATACAAAGTGTTGTCAGCACCAGTAGGAGAACATAGAACTTTTCCATAATGGTATCCTAATTAAAAATATAGGCACTCAGCTACGTTTCGGTTCGAGCGAAGGCAATAACGCGACTGATGGGTTCGCAAAATAAAATGAAAATCGCCATCGAAATCAGCGAACACTAGCCGTGTTATTTTAGGCTTAGTGATATATGGCTTTGTGAGTCTATTGCTTCGCCTATTCAACTTCCACACACGCTGATCAGTAGTTGAGCCCCGTCGGTTGACGATTCACAGTGGGGTGGGCAGCCCCGTTTCTGTAACAAATTTTTAGCAAAAAAAAAAAAAAAAATAGAAACTACTTTGGAGTCGGAAAAAAATTGTTAGTACGGTAACTGTTCTTCCAGATGGACTACTAGAGAAAAATACAAATAAACAGATGACTCATGGACCGAATGGAACCAGTGCATCTAGTCTAATCTAATCTAGATGGAAAAAAAAACTTGTTACGATAACGTCAAACTATTTTGTTGAATCTGCCACTACCTTCCAAATTTGAATTTGAGAAGTCCGATGTTTTTTGGGTTGGTTGCGCGACTGGAGAAAGCGATTACTATGAGAGTTTAGAGCGGAATTAAGATAATAATTTTATAAAATAACTAAAATTCTGCGTGTTTTCTTAAACACTTCAATAAATAAATATGAATCATTTTTCAAGATGAGATATTCATTCAATTCACATATCGTGTTAGATAGCTACTCTATATATTTAAGTGACCCATATCGATAACATTTTGTGTTATACTTGTACCGATTCCAGCCATTCCAATATATGTAAGATATAGATGAGATGATACTGACGTAAAAAAAGTAAAAGGAAAAATCCAACAAAAATATATAAAATCAAACGATAATATAAAAAAATGCCACCGACTGGGGAAATTTTAGTTACCAATCATGATTGTCAACTACTAAAATAATAAAAGCTTAGAACAATTTTCTCGGGTATTTAAATATATTTCCAAAATATCAGTTTTCCAATTATGTCTAAAATTGGTGTCCTTCAACCCACTATGCGAGGTTCGTCAGACCAGAGAGGGAAATTACAAGGCATAAATTGAAAATACACTGGGCTGGGTGTGTAATATACACCTTCTACACATACGAGTAGTTATGTAAGTATGGGTGATATGATAAGATCCAGAATGTAGGAATTATAGCTTTCTATTGCGAAACGCTTCAATTTAGTTACTATCGCATACGTGATAATATACACTCTTTTATACCCTGTACCCGAAGGGTAGAATGGCTATACTATGTATACAGGAAGAAGGAAACATTTCCGTCCCCATAATGTACATATATATATTCTTAATCAGCATGAAGAGAGAAACCGATCAAGACATGTCCGTCTGTCTGTATGAACGTCTAGATTTTGGAAACGGCTGCGCCCATATTCACCAAAATTGATATTTAGACTCTCCTTGTCCCCAGGCAACACGAGTTTGGTTTTTAACTTCATTCAAATCGGTTTATCTTAAGAAAAGTTTTTAGTTATTATGTAACTGAGCACTGGGCGTTTTTATTTTGGTAGAGTGTATTTCTCTGTCGGACTTGCCCGACTCTATTGTTAAGTGGAGGAACCCGTATAATCTTAAAAAAAACGTGTGCAGTTATATACTTACTCATAAATCTCTAAGGCGCAACTTAATAATCTCGATTCTATTAAGACTGGGAATAGCAGGGAGGGGGTAGTGAAATAATGGTCGAGTGTACAATATATTAGTAATATGTATACTAAAGTGCAGCATACCGCTGACGCTGCTCAGCTTATTATAAAGGTAACCAGTTTATCTATGTACGCAAAATACGAATACTTTTACAATAATATTTAATCCAAACTCTCTCCTACAGCTGTATTCCATACTGAAATCATTCTTATCTTAGTTTGTATTCATTAAGTATGCTTGCATCGTAAAATAATTATAGCTTTTTGGTTTCCAAAATCTAAATAAATTAATTGAAACCTGTTTTTGCTTCAAAGATTAAGAAATTGTTGACATGTTTTTGTCACGTCTAGTGTCCAAAATTTATCTAAGAGATGTGCTAATAAAAAACTTCTATGCTTATAAAATATAAATACAAAATCTGGTTCCTCACCTAAAGAAGTTACTTATTTATAGCCCGTTAAAAATTTTACAGGTAAACTCCCTAAAGTAAAGCTAACAATCAAGTCAATGGAGAAACGCCATTTAAAACTCGGATTCAGTGCTAACATCGTTAATTATTAAATGGAGGGTTTTTCTGTAATTATACATGATTTTAATATTTTTCTGTCAATTTTAACGTTGGTGACTTGGGTGATATTTCTTTATTCCAAGTTAAATTTTAATTACAAATATTTTCTAGCATTCTGTTATTGGAATTTTGTCTTCTAATTGGCCTGCCATTTGGGAAGAGTGACTGTCGATCCAATTAAGATCTGGGCTACTTTGTAGTTTTTCCAGGTAGTACCTAAGTATGATATGCAAATACGTCAGATCGCAGTCGCGCGCTAAGATCAATTAGGAACCAGTTGTCGATTTATGCACCTAGACTTTTAGAATTGAATATGATGATGTCGTAAAAAGTATAGTAATATACTTATATCGGTTAATAGATTTTCATTTTAAGAAAAGCATTACATAATACTTGAAAAATGTAGTAAATAAATGGATATCGATATTGTTATGCATATGTTCATGTTGTATGTATTTCATATAAAATAGTACAATTTTATTGACAATAGAATTTAGAGCTCTTCATTAAGTATAAAGCACAATATGTTTATGTATAAGAGACTGCCTGTCTCGTAAGTATTTGTATATAAATATAATATGCTTGTGTATGTATATATTATAATATATTGTATGTATATTTGTATGTGTATATTGTGTGTATGTTAATTAATTGCTTAGCTTAAAGCACAGAGAATTTTGATATGAGAATGAGTGGAACATCCTGCGTTCGGTGTGTTCGAGGCAATCGCCAGGCGTGAGGGGTCCACTCAATAAAGTGAGCTGGACACTGAGGTTCATGAGATCGATCATAATGCGCAAGCCATGAAGAACATCAACAACCAGAAGCAAACAAAATATATAAATGACTAGAAAAACCTATTAAAAAAATGTTAAAATTTTAACTCCCTGATCTGAAAGTTATTTTGATTTGTCTGCACTGGTGTTGTGTATGAGCGACTGAGGTTGGTTTAGGGGTTGTTTAGTGTTTTAGTGAAAGACATCCATAAATGGGAAGTATGCCTGCTCGGGTTCCAGTAGATCCACCAAGAAGCAGACGGTGCCAGCCACACCTTCGTACAGACTGTGCGGACGATCGGGTACGCGAGCGCGTTGCTTAAACTCTGAATTGGTGAGCAATTCCATGAACTTGTGCGCACGGTACAGGTACTTCATTTCGTTTGTTAAGCGGAACATTAACAGAAAGACATAGCCGTTGCCAGCCACACCATGACAGATACCAGGTCCCTTGCGGAGAAATCCCTTTTTCCACACCAAGTCAGCGGCACGTCGTAGCGATGTCAAATATTTCTCCTCCTTGAATATTAAGTAGGCTTTGGCCAGCAAATAGACAGCACCAGGAGCGCCATGACACCAATGCACCAGACGCTTGTCACGACCCGACCGCAAGTCCTCCAGGGCAACCGGAAAGTTGCCATCTGAATCTTGCAGCTCCAAAAAGAAGTCAATGGAGCGCTTGATGTCGCGCAGCTCAGCTGCAGGCGCCGAAATGGGCACTGTACGGAACCATGGACTGTCTAGCAGCATATGTAGGATGGCACACAGACCGTGGGCAGCGCCCAGATATTCAGTGCCATGGTATTGATACATCAACGGCAAAGGTGAGTTGTTCATTTTACTGTACTCACGTCCACTGGTTATGATCAGTTGGCATATCGATACTAGATCGTCGTCGGTGATCTTCTTTTCTGGCAACACATCGTTTAGCCAATAGCAACCAGACAGGAAGCCGGCACGACCGACCAATACTTCATCACAGCCGTATTTGGTGTGCATGTACTCCTTGCTCGATGGTATGCCGGACTTAAAGTTGGCCAAATCATTGGACAGCTCCTCGGTATCCTTGGCAGCTTGTGAGATAGCTGCCGATACGGCATAAATGCCTGCATTGCCACACAGGAACGAATAACGCTCCGATGAGCGCTTCTTGTAGCGCTTTGCATTCGCCTTGGCATTACGAATAAACGCGGCAGCATGCTCAAGCGCTGGATACAAGTCGCGTGTCTGCTCACAGCTGGATAGCTTCCAGAACATATAGGCAATGCCTGCATTGCCTACATACAAGTCGCCACGATTGTCCTCTTCGTCGTTATTGGGGTGGCAATGCTCCAATATGGCATCGACATAGGTGCAAATAAGATTCTTAATGTGCTCCTCATCGCTGGCCAGTGGAGTGTTTTCTCCGCCAGCAAAGTCGGGATACGGATTCTTAAGGTAACGGCGCTCCATCTCGTTAGCGTCAGTGTCGTCTTCGTCTGGCTGGGTCAATTGGCCCGTCTCCTTCTGCTCAACCGTCTGCGGAGCGAGATTAGCAATTGTGCCTGCAACAAACCGATTGCAAAGAGTTTATTTGAATTATTATCCTTTCCACTACACTTCGCCGCAATCGATTTGCCGGCACAGGGTGCGGTCGTGGGCGGCCTAAACGTCTGCAAGCCGGTAAAAGCAACAGACACCTACAAACTTATTATGTGGTTGTGCTTACTTACCTGTTTCAGGTATATGCCGTGAACCAGAGCCTGATGACGAGTGAGAATATTTCCTTGTAATATTTTGGGTCTGTGGAGTGTTTTAGTTTAGTTTTATACTTTTAAAATTATTCAAAATATTCTGTTTGAGATGTTGCCCTGAGCTGAATTAAGTCAGAACTGATGGAAATGTAAATAATGTCTTGACACCTACGGCAATGCAGAGCGTACTTATATATGTGTATATAAATGAATATCCTATTGATATTACTTTAACTTCAGTTGCGTCGTGCCTTTCAAGCTGTGTAAGAACCCATTGTCCTTACAAAGTTTACAACGTTGCGTACGCTGGTCGATGACAATTACTAAGCTTTTGGGGTGTGTTGGGTATCGATAGTCCATACATTTGTTAGGGCATCGAGTCATCGGTTTTTAGATGTAGCGGTTAACACTAACTGACGATGTTTTGGGACAGTTCTAACTCTTTAATGACTACAAAACGAAACCACAACGACAACTACAATTAAAGTCGATTATAATTTATTTAAAGAAAATGTTCTTTGCTTCATCACATGTTTGTGGCTTATATATAATATACATATGCATGATAAATCTATTTTCTATTCCTGGACCCAGACATTATGGTGGCAATCCGGATGAATATATTCAATACGTCGAGATAGATGGACATCGAACTGGAAATATATTAACCATAAGTATCTTAACTCATCAATGGAAGTTGTAGCTTTAAATGACTTACGCATTGATGGGATCGAAGGGTGCCATGGTGTATTGAGGATAGACCTCGGCCTTGCGTACAAGACGTTGAGTGTCGTACAGCAAAAATCCACTAAAGAGAAGCAGACCACCATATAGGGACATAGAAGCCAGGCCTACAAAATATCAAAAAACAAATAGTACATACAAGATTTTAATCAAAAAACGGATAAAACGCTACTCACCAGCACCCAGAGCTGTTGTAGGCGGTAACCACATAGATGCTAATGATGAAGCAAAGACGACACCAAGACCAATAGCCAGGGGGCCACCCATATACAAGAATTTATCATTTGGAGCACAGACCGCTATTGTGGAGAGGCCGCCGACAATGCCTCCAGTGTAAATTGCAGCGCGTGTTAGAATCGGACCGCCTATAAAACAGAGGGGGGCAATCACAGCGCCCATGATGGCACAATGCGCGACCCAGGCCAGATGTTTGGGACCAAAGCCCGGCTGATATTCAATAGATCTTGCGACGGCACCACTGCCAATAACAAGAGCAAGCGAAGCGAATGTCCACTGCGATAATAAAGCCATATTTGTATGAGCATCATGTGTACAGAACTATCTCAGTATGCATTTTTTCCACTCACCAATAGACCACCACGCGAAGCCAAGGAAAGGAGGCGCGGTGTTCGGAAAACAGCAGCTGCAGATGCAGCTGTTACAATACACGAAGCGCCAAAGAAGCCATAAGTCGAGTGAATGCGATCCTTCACGTACTGTGGCCAAAGCCTGCAAGAAATTGAGTATTCAATATGAAGTCCACAAAGTGGAGTATTATTCGCACTTACATGGAGTTGTTGGCGATGCTATTTTCCTTGCCCAGGCCAATTCCATAGTAGCAGAGCGCACCCATACCCACAACAGCGGCACCAGCTGCAGCACCCTTGCCCAATGAATAAGCTAGAAATAAATTTCATGATATTATATTATTGGTTAGTTATAGGGGGGCAGGGAAATTTTTAAGACTTACCATTGGCACTAGGGGGTGCCATCAGCTTCTCCTTGAGCGTTTGAGGACGTGCCGGCTGCTGTCCAACAATAGTCCGGGTACGCACAGGTCCTCGTGCATAGTTGCGCACGACCATGGGCGACTTCCATTTCACAACCGCTTGGGAATTTGGGCCCAGGACGCCCGATAGACGAGAAATCAATATAGTTTTATTTAGTTGCATCCACATTTTGGAGTTTCTTACGCAATACGTGTTGGTCGATCGAAATACTATATAACTTAATCTGCTCGAGCGATTTTATAAAATTTCTAGAAACGAGTACTTTTTACATCACTTTCAATGTTGACAGTACGACGCAGCACTAAAGGTATCGTACAATCTCATTATATCGATACATTGTGCTGGAGTTGCCACCCAGAAGTAGCCTTGCTAAATGGCTGGCTACCAAAAAACCTCTGACAACTTTTTAAAACAGTATTTTGGTTTATGTGTATTAAATACATATGTTACATACATACAAGCACACAATTAAAAATAAATGCAATTGCATCTAACAACTAGCTATGTCTAATTAACAGGAAGAACACTAAACAGGAAATTTAAATTCGATTCAAATATAACGGTCGATATTGCCAGTGGGCTCCCGTAGTGGTTGTGAGGATGCTTGATTGTCCAGACGTCGTGGTTCCTTGTTCATAACTATCACTTCAGCCATATTTGATCTACGCAGATTTCCATAATGATCGTATGTATTCGTTAGCTCCAATTCACTGAAATCATTTCTTCTGTATGTTTTGCATTCGTACATTGGGCAGCATTTGGGATAATCGAGATTCAAGTCGGTCGGTTGTACGGGGGCACAATCTCCTTTGAGCGACTTCGGAACTTGACAGCTGAAAAGAGCACCGAAAAAACGTTGGTAAGCCAGTTGTGAATGCTACATTATGCTAACTCACTTGTCCTCCCACAGTTCTAGAGTGCCCAGGCATTGAACACGCGTGCATTGACCAGGACGTGTGATTACTTCACCAACGTACAGCTCGCGTCCGGTTTGTGCATCCTTGCAGTACTGAGTGAAAAGATAGTTGCCTGCAGTTGGATTCCAAATGTACCATATGATACGTATTGAATAAATATGCATGTACATATGTATGTATGTATGGACTTACGACTGCGGTATGGAACCGCTGTGTGACCCTTGCAGACCCACAGCAAGAGCTGCAATACTAGGCCAAGGCATGCCAATGATTCCATTTTGTGACAGTAATTAATATTTAATATCTGGGATGGATTGACGTTTTCAACGTTTTGAACATTAAGCGACAAAACTGGAACGGTTTGAAAGAACAGAGCGCTAGTTAAAAGGGCAGCGACGAGAATGCGACCTGCGCGTTAATCTTACTTCATTTTTATATTAAAAAACAGAGGAATGTGTGTATATACATATGTATGCACATACATACATATGTGGGAATGTAATTGCTTACATACATACATATGCTTTCTCTATAATGAATTAAACAATTCTATAAGTATACCTATGCATGTATGAGCATATGTAAATACATACATATGTACGTAATTTGCGCTGTTGTTTATGTGCTTATCGCGCGAGGAGTAGAAAAGTACTACAAAATCGGCGCAATATGCAAAAAATCTCAGCTAGCTACTCACGCATACGTACATACAAACACATACATATGTATGTTTGTATGTATGCATTTATATGTACGTAAATACATACATATACATATGTATGTGTGTATTTTTATAATCTGTGAGTCGGCCTGTCTATCAATCGATGTGTACATTTTGCTCTTTGATGTTAAATGCTACGAATTTGTTTATGTTTTGCAGTTTGGCCATTTCTTTTTTTTTTAGCACCATAATCTTTGAAAAAACAAAAAGAAATATATTGTTTATGCACACACACACGCATAAATATAGGTGAGCACTGGAACTAAACATAAATATGAGTCATTCCGCTTAGGATGATGTGTTTCCGGCAATTCTCGGGACTTTCCAACTTTCGAAATGGTTTGAACAAGCTATGCATTTTCTAGAAGCGCGTGTTGCTGGCGCTCTCTACGTATGTACATACATATGTACATATGTATGTATGTATGTGTGTATATACATCCATATCAATATAAATAGGTGGAAAAGCTAATGCCGAAAGCCCTGACTTTTAAATACTCTGTACCTGAATAAAATGATTACAAAATTTAAAAAAATAAATAAAAAAACAATAGAAATTGTAATACAATTTTTTGTTTGATATCTACACTGGTCGGCACAATTATTTTGACGAACTGTACTCACGACTATCGGTGCTGGTTGTTTTTAGTTTCAAGGAATAACGGTACAATTTTCATACGGGATATAGAGTTCATAGCAACAACAATATGTAGGCAAAATATTTTGTCTATTACTCTTCACACCTTCTTTCTACAAATGACAATGTGAGTTGACTGCGGATTCAGGCACGGCATAAGTATTTTGACCAAATCTTTGTCGCCGTTTTCGCGCACGTTTTGTCAAGTGATACTAAAATAACTTTGCTGTAACCATTTTTGTTGACCTTTCAACATTAAATTCATTCAAATTTGATTGAAAAGTTATAAATACAATGGGAAAAACAGCAGAATTAAATTATGTTGTTAGAGCCTCAATAGTGGCGAAGTTTAATGCCGGCGTAAAACCAAAAGACATTGCAAATGAATATAATTTGTCGCGGCAAACAGTCCACTATCAAATTAACAAATATAAGACCCACAATGACGTCAAAAACTTGCCTAGTTCAGGTGCTAACCGCAAAACAACACCCATTGAAGATCGAGTCCTATTGCGGGAATTTAAAAAAAATATTCATTTAAATCCGCAAGCTGCTGCAGATCAATGGAATAAGTCGACCAAGACTCCAATCAGTGAGCGTACTGTTCGGCGACGCCTAAAAGAAGAAGATTTTAAGACATACAAAGCGAAGGACATACCTTACATATCAAAGGTGAACAAGCTCAAAAGATTGGCTTTTGCAAAGGAGCATCTGCATAAGCCAAAAGAGTTTTGGAGAAGCGTTCTATGGACAGATGAAAGCTCCTTTGAATATAATTCATCAAAAACAAAGATTTTTGTAAGGCTCCCACAGTTTCAAAGACAAAAAAATATCCCCGTATGTCAAAAAGTGAGCCATGGCGGAGGCTCAGTCATGTTCTGGGGATGCATTGCGTACAATGGGTTAGGTGATTTCGTTCCCATCATCGGCTCAATTAACCAGCAACAATATTTGAGTACCCTTAACGAAAACGCATTCCCTTCCGGTGACAGGCTGATTGGAGAATCATTTATCCTGCAACAGGATAACGCCCCATGCCACAAAAGCAAAATGATAAGAGCATTTTTAACCGATGTTGGTGTTACTACTCTGGATTGGCCACCACAAAGTCCGGACTTAAACGTTATTGAGAATGTGTGGTCTCTTGTAAAACGTAAAAGAAATGCGTCTTTGCATAAAACCGAAGAAGAAACTATTTCCGAAGTCACTTCTCTTTGGAAAGAGATACCATTAGAGGTCCTTCAAAATTTAGTGGACTCAGTTACAAGACGTCTTCAAAAAGTTATCGAAGCCAAAGGCGGGTATACATTTTATTAATCTACCATCAATTTCTTATGTTTTGTTTAGTATTAAGCTTTGTTTTTTTTGTTTATATCCATTGTCAAAATACTTATGCCAACCCATGAAAATTACCTTGATTTATAATTTTAAAAGTTCTTATAAAAATATATCCTTTGAATTATTTTTAAGTTTGTAATACCAATATGGAATTGAGAAAAAAAGTTTCCTTTGATATCTTAAACCAATAACCAGTTATTGACAAAAATGTATGATTTTCTTCTCGTCAAAATAATTGTGCCGACCAGTGTACTTCTTTCAAGAATTATGAGTGTTATGGAAACTAGTGGAGTGGGGAGAGGAGGAAATTTTTAAATTACACTAATACTGCGTACATACATATGTACATAATGGCAGTTGTGCTCAAAATTTGGTGTCTAGCTTTCATAGTCTCTAAGATCTACGTGTTAATGCGGACGGGCAGACAGACAGATAGGGCTCTGTCGACTCGTCCTGTTATGCTGATTAAAAAAAGAAAAGCTCTTGACGACGATATGTAGAAACTTAATGGAGAAAGTATTTCAGCTTGGTCCGATTTTTTATTTCGTTTAACTTCGATCGAAACTTTAACAACTTCAAGAGCTCGAAATAAGTTGTAATATTAGAGTGATGTGCTGACACCATTTCCTGGTGCTTTCGCTACTACATGGACTTCCATTTATGGTGCTTTATAGGGCTTTATGCAATCCATTATCTTTTAGTATTGATGAGCTCGTTCATTAGTACCTCCTTATCAAAACGAATTGGTTGCACAACTGACAACGTCAGGGTCAGGGTCAGGGTTAGCAGTACCAGCACCAACACCAGCCCCTTGGCTTCAGATTGACTAGCCGAATTGAAACCAAACTGACTGTAGAGATTTCCGTATGGCCATCAGCATGTGACAATGCGAGAATGTGGGAACATGCGTCCGATAGACGCACGAGTGAAATTTTAAATTTCCGCCATCATTTCCTGAGAAAATCTATAAAGTTGCTGCAGTGCCGGGGTGGCCCTGTCAAACTTTTGCTATTACGGCTGCTGCACGGAAACGGAAATTGTCACAAATTCTTAATAAGCCGTCTAAATGAAGTGTGGACGGGGCTGGCCATTGTGGCCTAGACTGGAGTTCAATCATTTATTTCTTAGCTGCAAAAAAATGTGTACAATGCTATAGCTGCGCTGGCCCGTCTCTTGCATACTCTATTCTTGCCACTCTTCCACAGTCTTGCAATTCTTTTAATTTCTATTGCAGGGTCCTTTGGGGCCCATAGAAGAAAAATAAAGCTGTGCACAAATGGTTTGTAATAAGCATGATCACACGCTCTAATGTTCATATGAACTGCCGAATAGATGGACATTATCGTTTCGTCTCAACAGGCTGATCATTTATATACCATTTATATATACATTCGGGTAGATGTGTATAAGAATCTTGTGCCAGACTTAAAATGAGCATGGACACATAGGACACAGAAAACCGGTCTTTTGAGCGTCTCATACCCTTTAATACTCTCAGAAGTCGTATCATATCTTTTTTATGAAACAATAGTTCCCATCAGTGGTCGGATTTAAAACAAATGGATCATTAAGTTCATTCTCTATCACAGAAATACATTGTTTCAAGTGACCATTTAAATTATAAATATATTTATAAACATATATATTTGGCTTGCTAGTCTCTTACCAAGAATATACTATAAATACACTCAAATTATGTCCAAATTAAACAAACTTCTTTATTTTTGATTAGTGTATTTGTTCGGTAAGCCTTCAGTAGAGTAATTGAAGCTATACCGAAAGCTGATGAAAAACTTAAGTCTAAAGCACTCTCCCATAGGTGTTAATTCGTGTAATATCTGGTAATATCTCTGGCTGGGCGCCTATACTGTGTTTCGTGATGTAGGAATATATTAGTGTGTTAGACGTGCTTCTTAGTTTTTGATGTCAGCTAGCTCGAAATGCACTTTTAATTTGTTGAAGAGTTTATGAAAGTGTTCAATCTTCTTGACCTCAGTATTCATTTTAACATCTTCATAGTCTTCGGTGGAGATGTGGGCGCTGTCAATGGAGCCGGTTTTGACGACTTCCTTGCGAGAACAAATGCGATGCTCCTCCGCACATCCCTCAAGCACATTCCCTCAAGCTCCGTTCCCCTATCGATAAAGCAGAAATTGTTAGACATCACCATCAACAGTGGAGCCGCAAACACGGACGATGGAAACCGGAAAAAGGGCGAAGTTAGCTGCCGTCATAAAAGCCTTTGCTTGACACTTCTACACAGTGGGCCGACGCCGGCAAATAAATGTGCTTCTTATCAGTATTGCTAAACTATTTTCAATGCGGACTTTCAATGCCTTGGAGCTTTTAAAACAGCTCGATCGATCTTCTCGTTTAATACAGTTGCACAAAGCGAGGCAAGAGGAAGAATTAATACAATGAAACCGGAACATCAAAAAATAAAACAAGAGTGATGGGGGGAAAGAGCATCTACATACCAAGTTTGGTAAATGAGTGCTTAGCCGTTTCCAGATGTACGGACAGAGAGATTTAAGATATAAGAGATTTTTGTAATTATATGTTATTAATTAGTCGTCTTGTTTTTGTTTTTATCGCATTTTCATATAGTCATATTGATTATGCACCCTACATTTGATCGATCTGACAAATTTTATAACACAAACTTTTAATTTGCAAAAAAGTGAAGAACATTTAAAGCTCCAATAATTCAGGCTCTCAGAAAAGTTTAAAAAACCAAGTATGCAGTTTATTTTGTATTCTTATTGGGAGTATACAACCCAAATTTGATGATCGGTGGAAATTCGCAGATATTTCAAACCAAACTATGAGCTCATTTTCCCCCCTTCGGAGTTAGAGTTTTCCAAAACCGCTTATTAGTGCTCATTTACACAATTAATAACAGAACTTCAATTAAAATTTCCCCTTATTTTTAGTGAAGCGGTGGTTTAAGGGAGCAAAGTAAGAGCAGTCAAAACTATGGATTTTATTCGCAAATTTATTTTATTAGGTCGTCTTGTTCACAATGTCATTCAATTCCTACTACTTTGCTTACCAGGGTAGCAAGATAACAAAAATATATATGTAATACATTTAAATTTATATGCAATGTTCAGCGACACGCTGTTATTAATAAATTAAAATTCTACGTGTAATAAAAAAAATTATTATTATCGAAAATTAAATGATTTCTGAACTCCTAGTCTACTGTCATCAGAAGAGATCTATTAAATCAGGCAAAGAGTCGACCGTTTCGTTATCTGTAAGCCCATTTAATAGGCTTAGTACTCCATTTGGTTTCAGATGCCACATATTTTAGAGGATATAGTATATGCATATGTATATGTAGTTATAGCTGCGAGATTAAGGAGCTTCTGTGCAAAGCAGAGCCTTCATTCGATTTCTGGCACATTTTTATCATCGATATGGTATATCATATTTCAACGATCTTTTAGATATTCGGTTGTGATTCTAGGGCTTTCCATTGTGAGGCCTTTATGAACTCGAAGATGGCCAAGGGACTTGGACAATCCTTTTATCTGCACTGATAATGTTGGTTTATGTTGGAACAATTCCAAAGGAATGTTTCCAAACCCAAAGTAGCTAATGAATGGATCCCTATTTGCTTGGTGAATGGTGGCTACAGCAATTATGCCAAAGCTATTTAAGTTATGGATACACCTTCGTTTTCCTTCACGAAAAGTTCGCATAAAGCTCGTTTGTTTTCTTCTTGCCTCTAGAATAACGCTTCCAATTGCTCATATCGTAGCGATCGGGGATCAGAGCCCATTGTGTATGAAACAGAACGAAAGCATGCGATTTGTCGGACTTGTTTGGTGGTGCTTCTGCTGCGATATGGTTGTTGTTGCTGTTGTTGTTCTTAATAATGCTACTGGGGTTGCTGCTGCTGTTGTTGGTGTTGTTGGTGTTGTATCTGAAGCCGTTGTTGCTGTCACTCTCGATGGCCGAGCGCGCGCTCAACGACGATGACAGAGACGGCCGGCGTTCCGGTCATCAGTTGTGTTTCGATCGTGGCACGGTGAAGTACAGCGATATATATGCGATATATAGAAATAAGAAACGAACGCGTCGCGAAAGCTAAGATACAATTCTATATTTCGTAAGTTCTATGAAAAGTACTTGCTGTGGGATTTGTATTAAGGGCTTAGTTTATCCATGGCAAGTAGTTGCGGCATTTGAAACAACAACAACAACAATAACAATGAAATGCAATTAAGTTGCTCAAATCAATTACAACAAATTGAATTAAAGCGCGTAAACTACATTTAACAACTGCGACAACAACAGCAGCAGCAACAAGAATAACCAAACACGTATAGAATGCTATGGTGGAGTGCTCTCAACCGACCATGATTTACCCTTTAGTGTCATTTCATAATAAACATATACATATAGTATGTAGTCTATGTTTAAATTTACTTACGATATAAAACACTTTTTAAAACTTGCTGTGGTTAACCTTGAAAAGTTATTATTTTTACTTCAATACCGACTTTAATCGATCTACCTACCATGCCTCTATATGAACATATTTCGATTAGAAAACATAATGTTATTTCCATAGTAAATTAGAGATTTAAATCTTTAAATTTTGAAAAGTGTTTTCAAAATGAAATTACCTAACGACAATAAACATATTTCAAAACCAGTTTTCAATGGTAGATTTGCATTTGACGGCTCCTTCTTCAGATTTCCTATAAATATTTTGAAATAAATTATCAAAATATTGTGTGAATACATCAAATACAGAACGAAAAAATAAGTACTGGGTGTTTCCATCGTTTCCGCTGCTGCAGGTATTGTGAAGCTGTCTGGATTTGTTCAAATTAGGGTATTTACAGACATAGTGCAGATATTTGAAATGGGAAAAAATCTCCTAAGAAACAAAGTATTTTTCAAACTGGATAGTCTATATGGATCGATCGCTCCTACAAAAGCTGTACTATATACTTTGCGAATATAAGAAAAAAACTGGTTTTGGTAAAGCATTGAAACAGAGATTGGGACGTTCATGCAGTCAGATAGATATGCAATAAGACAAGTATAGCTTCATTAAATCAGCTCTCTGATCCATGTGGTGTATAGAACATGGTGTGCCCTTCGCCTGCAGGGTATAAAAACATACGACAAGTGTCAACAACAACAGCAACAGCAACAACAACGAATGTGGGTGACGACTGTGATGGGCAACCGGCCGGCTAGGTCGGCTTGGACTGCACAGGTCTGTCTGTTTGTCCGTGCGCTCGTTAGTTCATCACCAGCAGGCCAGAGAGTAGGAGAGCCATGTACAAACATGCATACATATGTACATACATATATGCACGTACATATAGATATGTACAAGTATGAATCTATGTAGCACAATTGTATCGCATAGAACTAATTAATGCAAGCGCTGACTGGCAACATTTGCATAAAAGATATGAGCAACTTTTATTCAATTATTTGTGTGTGCGTTTGTTAATGTTTTAAAAACTTTGTTCGTTCATTTATTTCATTTTTTGTTGTTTTTTCATATTAGTAATTGTGTTTGTGTGTGTGTGTGTGTATTTTTTTATGATGCTGAGCAATTCAATTAACATTTGTTTATGCACTTTTGTTGCAGTTATTAAGTTGTTAATTACTTAAAAATTAAATTGCAGTTGCATTTATCTCCGTGTGCTATCCGTCTGTCTGTGAGTCTGCATATCTGTGTGTGCGTGTGTATAAAAGGAATGTATTTTAAAAAATACTTGTCTGGCAAATTTGTTGTTGATGAAATTCAATCTTAACGTATTGGACATCGATCGTTGCACAGTCGTTGCTGCTTTTTAGATCCATTTCTTAATTAACATCAATTATATACATATACAATGAAATATATGAGTATACAGTACATAGAACAATCTTAACGCTACTTAGGAATTATTAACTTAATGTCTAACTTTTTAATATAAAAAATAGTATGCTATTGCGAATTTCTATAGATTTGTGTAATGACTTACATATGTACATATATATTATTAGTAGACCGAAAGTAGTTCTCGCAATCCTTATATACTGTATAATAGTTGTTAAATTTTTTATAATATTGCTCGGATTGAAGCTAAGCCTGTAATTTAAAATGCATTTGTGCTTCTGTAAACCGAATTTTAAGCAGATACCTCTATGATGGACTCAACTGATTTTGATTGTTTTCCCATTTTTTAAATGCAATTTAACTGGGAAACAAGAATCTAAGCGAATTATGGCTTAAGAATGTTCAGTATGAACATTTTCAGAACAATTCAAATGTGGATAATTAAAAAGTAAAAGTTAAATATTTAGGCAAAAAATGGAGATCGATAAGAATATTTAGAGCATTTAGACGCACAATATGGGGGGCCGCCAAAGGTCATGCCCAAACAAAATCACGCGCGCGATTTCAGAGCGTTCAGTCAACTTTGCATTTGTATTAATGGCAGAGCAAATTCTTCTTTTTAAAAGTATTTAGGTATTTCTGTTGTTGTTGTTGGTGCTGTTGCTGTCGTCTTTTCATTTGCATAACATGTAAATAAACTTATGCACTTTGAGTGATTTTGACTTTGATTTTAAATTTGGTTTCGTTTTTTCTTGTTTCCAGTAAATGCTGGCAAAAAATGTAAATTTACGCGCGCTGCCGAACAAGAACGAGAACGGGAACAAACTGTGAGTGTCTTCTAAAGTGTTGTTGTTGACAATATAAACAACAATAACAACAGCGACGACAACGACAACGACGACGACGACGACGACAATAATACTAACAATAGAAACAAGTGCGCAACAAATTAGAACAAGCCCAGCTTATAGCTCGGGCACAAGACCAGCCCCAAAATTAACAAATATAATAGCTGGTCGGGCGTGGTTAGTGAGTGTGGAGGGGGGCTACCACTTTGACCTTTACCCTTAATTGCTATTTAGGAATACATTTTCTTGACTATGATTTGGCGCCAAAATGGAGCAGAGCAAAGAGATGAACAGCAACAACAGAAGCTCAAGCCACAGCAGCAACAACTTCAGCAACAAGAGCACCCGAAACGCATGAACTTCAGTTTCAATGTCAAAATCGCCGTCAATGTGCACACAAAAATGTCTACAACGCATATAAATAGTAATCAGCAACAGCAACAGCAACAACAACAACGATCGAAGAGTACCGTAAAGCGGCATACGATCGATGTGGGCGCCAGCGTCTTGGCTGCAATCCGCAAACACTTCACCGAACTGGGGCGCCAGCTGCGCAGCTTTAATATCGTTAATGGTAATGGCGGCATCTCAACGATTGTTATTGTTAATCTATTGATGTTGTTGCTGCTGTCGCTCTGCTGCGACGTCTGTCGTTCCCACGACGGGCAGGCCCAGCTCCAGCCCCAGCTCCAGCCTCAGGCCCAGCACCAGCACCAACACCAGCCACTCAACTACTCCATCCAACCAAGGGTTGCCATGTTGCCGAAACTGGACAGCGATGTGGTGGAGAAGGTGGCCGTTTGGCATAAGCACGCAGCAGCAGCGCCTCCTAGCGTCGCGGAAGGCATCGCCATTAGCAGTGGCGTGACGTATGAGAAGCCAGCAGACTCTTTCGAGACAACACAGACCACTGATCCTCATCCCGGCCAGCCAACAACTGGTCTTGATGAACGCATCGCCTTGGAAAGCGTCACACGCGACTGTGTACAACGTTGCATTGTTGAGGTGAGTGTGAAAGATATGGGAGATTTACATACATACATATTCGGGGAAGCATACTACATATGTATATGTACATCTACAAATGCTCGACTGATTGCACTTTTTATACCCTTTTTTTTTTTGCTTTTTTGCTGCAAAAGTTCGTCTGGCCTAGTAGGAATAAGCCGACGAATCCAAATCGCATAGTTTGTCTGTATGTCTATTTTTCCAATTGTTTGTTTCCTCCCACAGCTATATCAATCAATCAGATAGCTTCTATAGATTAATATGATTAAAAGAAAGAATGTTTTCAAATGAAAGTTTGGATTCGGATATTATATAGTTTGCAGAAAATGATCATTGGAGAAAAAGGATTTATAATTTATTAAAAACTCATTTAACATACAATTTTAAAATATCTTAATAAGCCAAAAAGATTTTTACCAAATTTGATTTCTCTACCGATTGTACCTATTTTCTAAATTTTGTTTGTTTGGAAATTCAGTGTTGCTGATTCATTCAGTCTATAGTATGGAGCTCTTCTTAATTTACGTTTCGCGTCGTTCTTACTTGTATATTCAAAATATATCACGGGACTACTTACAGATTTTCAAACGCTTCAGCAATCTGTGTGTGCTGCTTGCCAATTACATTATTTTCTTACAATTACAATTAGTTTCAATTAATATTATTTTTATTATTGATAGGTATGCATTATTTTCTTTCAGTTACAATTAAGCTAATATTACTTTTATTAATAATAGGTTCTTATAGTGTTCTTGCTTCTCGTTTTATGGTATGTGCGGTATCTTGAAAAACATCCGAACTGAAGAATCTGCTAGATCAGCACAGCAATAAAAACATCAGCAGTTGCTGCATTACATTCAAACTTTTCAATGGCACTTAAACATTTCTTTCAGCACGTAGACCAAACCAAAACCAACCCAGAAGAAAATAAAATAAACGAATAAAACGGTTCGAAGTTCAAAGTGGCCGTAAAATCAAACTCAAGAAACTGCCCGTCATGTTGTGTGCAACGTGCAGTTTGTTTGGCAGTCGGGCTGTCTGAATTAACTTACTCTGTGAGTCATGTTAGGCCATGGAAACATGTTCATTAAATGCCCAGCTCGAAATGGGAATACTTGTAATGCTTGTGTGTTACACTTAATCACATAGAATTACGCCTAATTATATAATTTACAATATGCACACATACATACTACTTACGAGTATGTGTCCACATTCTCGAACCTATTTAGTTTCATGCTCAAATGTATCACATTAAGATTGGATGCCCACGCTTTGTGCTAGTTTTATATTTCAATTGGGCATGGTTAGAGCTCGGAGCAGTCGTACAAATCTTTAGAAAAAGTTGGCTCTGATTATAGCTATTTGGGTTAGATTACTTGTAGTGTTTTTTCAATTAGCAAAGATGCTAAATTTGCATATGGAGGGCGCTGTCACATATCGTACGGCTTGTCTCGAGTGTGGCTCGCGTTGCATCTGTTCCAAATGGAATAAACATTTTGTGGAGCAGTTCTCTAAAGCTAAACAATTAAAATGCATGCAATTGTGAAAATGTAACAATTGTTGCAAAAGTTCCATTTGTTTTATTTGCCAATTGCCAATTTTTTTTAGTTGGAATGTGGCTTAGGGTCTTTCTTCATACGCTATCAGTTAAAATGACCTGGGTTTTCCAGTTAGTAAAAAATAAATTAGGTGGTCAACGTTTCGCAATGTCCGAGGCAGTGACTAATACATTTGTTTGGGGTAGAGCTCCGATATTGCTTAGAGCTGTTGAGCAGGGACATAAAAGCTAAAGAACTTCATGACTGTTTAAGCCGACATGCTGATGCATTCGATCCTTTTTTCAGATCCACTTTATAATACATACATAAATACATACATACCCACACAAGTATGTACAAACATTTGCATTGGTAAATTCGTAAACGAGTAATCAACATATAATTCGATATCTGTTAGATTTTGCATATGAAATATGAAACTTGCATTACAATATCATATTATGGTTTATCCTGCAGTCGGGTGCGCCGTATTGGCGTTCTCTCAATTGGTTATTATAAATTAATGCCATTTGATTCACTGTCAAGTCGTGCAACATTTTGTAGCAATAATGCAGATGACAGCAAACATATTTAGTTCACATATGTATGTATTTATTTTGATGTTACATTTGTAAATAGGATATGTGCATAAAATAGTATTTGTTTTTGTGCCGTCGCTTTTAATTAATTTTCACTTGACATTCTGAACGAACGCGTAATTAAAAATGTATTTTTGGTATTAACTCGTATGTGCTTGTGTTGGTTGTTACATTTTGTCTTTGTTTATTGTTTTGTGCAATTCGCCAGGGTATGCACAATATGAGATTTAGATTAAATTGTTTCATTTTATCACATTGTACAGAACGGTGTACAAAAGATGGGGCTATTGTGCATGCATACTCGCACTGTTCGTGTTGCAAGCGAACAAAAGACTTTATAAACAATAACTCTGCCTATATACTATATAGTAGTAACAACATACACATGTATGTAAATAATGGTTGTAGTTGAATTGACAGCAGCTCTAATAATAAAACAAGAGCCATTTGTGGGTGGCAACCTGACTCTTTAGGCATTTTTTCTCTTCAAAATTCAATTCAACAGCTCACTTGGCATTCCAGCTCATTCATTAAGGCATACAAACAGCAGGCCATGTTCGTCGGTCAATGGTTTCGCTAACGCTATCATAGTGCCTACAATTGTGACTGAATCAATTTAAACTAATCATACAGCAGCGGAGTGTTTAATTGCTGTAAATGAGCGTCGGACAGACATCAGTTGCTGGAATCCTCGACAGAGATTGCGACGCTTAATTGAACCTTATCACATGGTCGCCTAATTGTAGCCGAATGATTCCCAAATGCCGAGCCTTTATAAAGGCGCAAATCCACTTCAATTTGGGACAAATGTAACCCTCGGATTCATATATGTATGTACATACATGTGTTACATATGTTACATATCTACTTATTTGTATGTATGTATGTATGTACAGGGCGACTTAGACTTGTGATAGATCGCGTGTGGCCTTCACGCTTATGTACTCGTATGCTGGAAAGGCTGGACAGGCATTTGCAATAAATCGCTTCTAACCAGACAAATCCACAACAAACTCATCAAATGGGGCTTACAAACCAGAGACGGACGAGTGAGTAGGCGACAAAAGAAATGCCATTAAAATGTATTGCCATTGCGCCTCCTTTTCTTTGCAAAATGTTTAGCTAATTTATTTTCGCTTCTAGTAGACGAGGCTACAACAAAATTGTGTCAATAACACACTCCTCGCATGTCTCTGTTTCTGTTTCTGCCTCGGCCTCTGTCTCTGTGTGCGTTGTTGTGTGTGTATGTGTGTGTGTGTGTGTATTAATGTAATAGAAATTGTACAACAAAAGAAGCGCAATGACGACACGAAAACCCCCAACGCCAATTAGTCGCCAGTAGTCGCCCCCAAAGCAAAGTCAGTGAGGCAGCCAGAGGCAGAGACAGAGACACAGAATCTGAGACTGAGGTGAGGGCAGAGACGGGGATGGAGGTGGAGGCGGAGGCCTTCAGCCTTGCTCTCAGTTTATACGCAGCGAGTTGTGAAAAAGCCAATCAAGCTAAATTAATAAAATATTACGTTGTATTATAAATTAAATTGAAGCATGTGCGAAACACCAAACATGAACCAAAACCCAAATACAAAACGTACTAGTTACTTTTTTGAAAAGAACAAAAGAGCACTTTAGATCTGTTTAGTTAAAGTTGTGGATGGAACGCAATTTTACATGCTTATAGTATGTGTAAATAAATCTGTAATCAAGCAAACAAGACAGTTGTTAAGTTGTTAGTTGAGTTGAGCTCAAAGACCTTTTTCGACTTTGAATATGCTTGTAGATAGCGCCACCAGGGGGCGCTAGATGCAAAAAGTCCTGTTAACTTTCGAACGCACCTTGTACAGGGTGCGCCATCTTTTATGCCGGTGTGTAAACATTGAATATCTTTGAAAATAAACAACCGATTTTCAAGTATGAGATATTCTTATTTAATTTGGTTCTGTACAATTTCTTGAACTGAGGTTTTCAACACTGGTCTACTCAAGTCAATCGGTTCACTAATGACAAAGTTATTCAATATTTACATACCGACATAAAAGATGGCGCACCCTGTATAGCATTTAAAAGGTAAACCTAATTGAATGCAACTTTCTGTAGAACCTCATTAGCGTCTTTGAAAATGCGTCGAGGCAATGTATAGTAACCATGTGAAGAGAATTTCGTAAATATTATAAAAACATACATATAATATATGACGCACAGAATCGTCACTCGTCTTGTGTATATTAATTTTCCAGCTTCAACTATTCTGTGTTCTTTTGGGCACCCAGTGTGTTTACAAAAGCTCTCATCATCCAATCAATGACCCCTTTTTAATATAAAAAATATATATTTTGCTTGGCTGTACAATGTGCGGCGACAAGCTACCTTCTATTTTTAGCTTCGAATTCCAAGCTTCATATTTATGAAAAGTCCGAAAGTGTTAGAGTGCCATTCGTTTAGTGATACAGACTCGTATGTGAAAATTGTTTATAGGTTTCGGTGAAAAGGGGCGCAGGCTTTTAAAAAGTTGATTTAGTTTAGAAATATAGCTTAATTAAAAGAGTTTACTTAAAACATACTTTATATATATTAATTCTATAAGAATTAAGATCGATATGCTGCCACCAGACGTGCATATTTAGTTCTAGCACAAAGAATTCGAAAACAACGTTTGCACATCCGGAATAGAATTCATGTACATATTTAAAATTTGGCACTTAACAATTTGATATTTGAAACCGCCTATCAAAACTTTTTGCACCAAAAGTCAAAAGTAATGAACAAAAACAAGTTTTTCTAAGTAACAAATTGTTATACATTAGATATTTAAGTATCCTTGCCCGCCAGGGATCTCATTCGTATATCAACCTGAATTCTCCATCGCCCACAAACAAACTTTTACTTTTAGTGATAAATATTCCATTCTCTTAAAACTCTCATCTAATCTTATCGAAACTATTTACTCTACTTTTCATAAGCGTGTCTATTCAATCATCTTCCCGTCTCCGATGTATGTGGGCTGTGAGTCGTGTCATAGCTAATAGTATATATGGTTCCCACCCAGTCGGCGATGTTTTCTATTTTAAAATGTTTATTACTTAGCAATTAACTAGAGTAAAGTTTCCTTATTCTATTAATTCATTTATGGGGTAATTCCAATTATTAATTATTGCTTGTTAGGCCAATTAATGCCTCACCTTTGGCTGTGAAGTGGGGAATGCCAAATAAATATCATTCAATTTTCTGGTGGTGGTTTATATTTTTAATATTTTGTGGGCTATTTAATCGAAATTATAGCGTATATATCTGGTTGGCGACTTAATAAATACATGTACTTAAACTCTCTAATTTATGATGTTTTGTAAATTTCCAATGCATTATCTTACATACTGTTTTTTGTTTGTCTGTTCCAGTTTACCTTTTGTTGTAAAACCTCCTGACTCTCGCTCTCCTCCACTCCCACAACCTAATGCTAATCTTATTTGATTTGCCCGGTGTAAAGTTGCTTATAAATATTTCAAATGGATCACGTGCCAGAACTGGTTTCGAGCCCTCGAGTCGTGCACGCTTCTATCGCCATTCGACTCTCTTCTATTTAACATTTTGCTAAAGAAAAACAATAATTTGTTAAAAAAATATACATATACTTGTATTCTCGGAACTAAGCCCAATGCAAAAATATAGTTATAAATAATAGATAAAGCAAGTCATTGGTATATAACTTGTATAATGTGCAATTCGCCCTTTGTAAATGTTAACTAAAAAAAAAAAACATTGACACTGAAGCAAATTTTTCTCAGGCTATTCATTGGTGCGACACTTCCGCTCTTTCGTTTTTTCACACACCACCCCGAAGTCAGAAGTCAAAAGGCTTTTGTGCTAATAGCATTGTATTTTTTTTCCAGGAGGATCTGTTTCTGGACGAGTTTGGCATCAAATGTGAAAAGGCCGACAGCAGCGAGAAGTGTTACAAAACGCGCGTAAGTTAAAGGGGGAGCGAGCGAACGGTACTTGACATCCATTGGACAGCCCTACGGGCACATTGTAAAAAAAAAGAAACAAGAAAGAGGAGTACGATATGGCGTAATTCGAAACCACTTGGTAACAGTCATACTGTTGACCACACCAACAAAACTTGACCACTTGTTAAAAGCTTTTGCGTATTATGGTTGTGACCGGTTGTTGATAGTTTGGTCCGGCCATGACCGCAATGATTGTATTTTATTTAAGAAGGCTATAAAAATACAACGAAGTTGCACTGCAAATTCAGACCTACAGGTTGACAATTAACCACTGTAAATACGGTTTTGTATCTTGTTGTTATTAGGGCATTTGTTTTTTGACAAAATTAAAACAAGTTGGTCTTTAAGATGAATTCCAAATAAATATACTTGTACTCTTCAGAAGCTAGCAATTAACAGTAGGTTTTATCACAAGTATTGGATTAGTTAATATGGTTTATATATATATATTCGTGCAAATTGGTCTCAATGTCTTATAGAATTTAATAGCTTATTAGCCACTGAGATGGGTTGTTTTGTTGTCTCATTACTAAGAATAGTGCAATCGAATTAAAGGCAAGCATACGAGTCCTCTCATCTTAACCGATTTTGTTGCTAATGTTCAGCTATCTGTTTTATTGACGTTGAATTATAAAATTTTTGAAGCACAAATTAGATACCTACATACTTATAATAAGCCAAAACATTTCTGGAAAAAACAATTTGATGAAAGGCTGAAACTTGTCGCTATTTTTGCACTACTATTGCAACATTTGGGCTTTTTCACTCAATTATTGCACCTACTAATTGCTAGTAGCATTATAGCGAGCTATAGATAGGGAGTTATGACATTTATAGGAAAAAATATCTTTGCTACCAGATCAGAACTGTGACTTAGAGTCTGCAGTTATTTGCAAAAAATTCAATAATCAAAAACACCAAATATCTTCGCGCTAGGCTCCAGAAACACTACCAATATGTAACTGACAAATAGAAAACGCTATAATGATTTTTTCGTGGAAACAGACAGACTTTTTTGTCCATTTGTGCATCTTAGTGGTAAAATGCGCTTTGTTGCATCAGTGGCTTAGTACTTTTAAGGTTCTTGTATTATTTTGAAAGCTTTTTGTAAGCCACTGCTCTATTTCCAAACAGTGCACCAAAGGATGCGCGCAATGGTATCGCGCACTGAAGGAATTTGAGCCGTGCCAGGAGGCTTGTGTAAGTGAATGGGAAAACCTAACAGCTTGCAATTTAATACATTTTGTGAAAATTGTTGCAGTCCTCGGCACAGTTCTTTGGTTATGATATGCCTTGTATTGGAGCCTGCGAAATGGCTCAGCGCAATTATTGGCACCTTCAACGTCTGGCCATGGGTGAGCTGGTTCAGAGCACACAACCTCAGCTCTTAGAACTGCCGGATGATCAGAAGACAGGTCAAGCGACGCCGTTGACCATTCAATGGGGTATACAATTTCCAGAAAACTATTTTGCCAGTCGCCCATTTAATATACAATACCAGTATGTGAAGCAGGAGAAGCACGACGGACAGGATCATCATAATACTAGTCGTCCTGATGCTTGGTTTAATCTCGCCGACTACGATTGTGATGAATACTTTGCGTGTCAAATTTTGGAGGCTCTAATGCCATATACCCAATATAGGGTATGTTCATTTTTTTGTTGCACTACTTAGAAATAACGTAAATTGTCAACAGTTTCGCTTTGAGATACCTTTTGGCGAAAGTAGCGACGAAGTGCTTTACTCCCCGGCCACTTCAAACTATCAGACACCCGCTGAGGGCGCACCGATCTCGGCACCAATCATCAAAGACTTCATTGCATTGGATGATAGTCATGTCGTCGTGCACTGGCAGGCGGGCCGCTTTAGTTGTGGACCTATTGTGAGCTATCGCGTAAAGCTGGAGCCCGTGCAGCAGCCGCAAAGGGAGAATAGCAGTCGCGAGCAGGTGTGAAAGACACGAATTCCACACCATACCACACCACACTGAGATAACTCTGTTTTATAGGTGCTGCCTGCGAACAGGCAAAGCTTCATCTTTACAGGCTTGCAACAGCTGACCAACTATAGCGTGCAGGTGATCATGGTCAATGAGCAAGGCGAGGGTCCCCCGACTACCGCCACCACAGTCACTCTAGCCCGACAGGCTAGCAAGGCGAAGGAGCAAATCAATAGTGTGCTCTTGCGCGGGGAATATAGTATTGTGTGGAAGTCACTGGAGCCGTCGGGCGAGACGCGTATCATCTACCACAGCGAGCAGTTGCTCAGCGATTTCGCTTTAGAGCAGACCGAGCAACGACTATGGGTGCTCGATGTACAGGGACAGTTGAAAAGGTTGGAGCGAATGTTTAATTTTGAGAGTGTCCCTATTGTTTTGATATGTTTTATAGTTTTTTATTGGATCATGCGGCGAGCTTGAAGTCCTTTCAACTGGCACGAAATGGTTCCCAGCTAAGAGCTACAAAAATCACTCTAGATTGGCTGCATAGGCGTTTTTATATGGCTGTGGAGGTAAGTTTATGTTTATTTGAAATAATAATATCGTACACTCATCCCTCTCTATTTCTACAGCACAATCCGCAGAGCTATAGTCTGCTGAGCTGCGATCTCTATGGAAATAACATAGAAGATTTTAATCAGCTGCAACGTCTGCCCGTCGAACAGTTGGAGCTAGATCCACTCAATGGCTGGCTTTTCTGGAGTGATGTGGAAAATCTCTGGCGCTTGGACTTGGCGACTAAGAAAATCAGAGCACTTTCGCAATCATTCTACCCTGCTCGTTTTGCGTATAATCCACAGCACTGGCTGCTCTACCTGTTCGATCGAGGCGTTGGACAGATGGAGGAGCTGAGCTATGATGGCGAACATAGAGCACTGACAAATTTATTGCCAGTAGCCCTCGCAACCGGCGACTGGCAGAGCTTCAGCCACGATGTGGCGAGCTCAACGTTGTTACTGGCCAATGGGTCACAGCTTGTGCGGCACAATTATCGTACCAATGTCACAGATGCGTGGCCAATGCGTGACCTGGAATGGGTCTCGGCGCTATTACCAATTGGGCGTAGTCGCCAGCCCTCAGCACTGCGGCCAGGACAGCCACAAATGTTGCGAGCGCTACTGGGTGCACAAACGGCTCAAATCTCTTGGCAGGTGCCTGCCTTGAGTCCCTACCAGTCCGCAGCGTCTGGCGCACGAAATTGGAGCTACGAATTGGAGGTACTTGACGTCGCCAGTCAGAGTGTCTATGACATACGCAACATACGAACGCAGCACTATGGAGTGGAAAAACTGCAGGCAGATAACCGCTACCAGCTGAGGGTGCGTGCCATAAGTGCGGCGGGTGTGGCGGGTGAATGGACAGTGCCGTACGACACACGAACCTGGCCGTTGGGTGAGCATCGTTTGCGCTGGGCAACAGCAGCGGGTGCATTGTACGAGACTGATGAATTGGGCGCTCATAAAAAGACGCTCACTACTCTGCAATTGGGACCAGAGCCGGGTGTCCTAACCACTATTAATGGCAGTGAGGCGTACTATGTGAATGCAACAGGAGCACTGCATTGCATTAATCTGCTGCACGTGGAGCTTAACTGCAGTGCTGATGTCGGGGATGTTGTGCAGCCAGTTGGCAGTGTGGCTTACGATTGGCGCGGCGGGCGTCTCTACTGGTCTGATCTGGCACGCGACTGTGTGGTGCGAATGGATCCAGTGAATGGTGAACGCGAGCTGTTGCCTATTTTCGGAGCTCGCCAGCTGGCCCTGGACTCCGCTCAGGGACACATCTACTATACAACAGTAGGCCGCTTAGCGCGACGGACGCTCAACGGTCAGCTAGCTCGGGACGAGCTGGAATACTATCATGTGAATGGCCTGGCCGGACGTATTGCAGCCTTCACACTAGACCTGGTGCAGCGTCATATCTACTGGCTTGTGGATGTGCGCCAGCCTACAGGCCAGGCTGTGCGTCTCTATCGCGCCCCATTGGCTGTGGGTGCGCAGCAGGCGTTGCTATTGCACAGCACTTTGGCGAATGTGGACGCATACCCGCATACTCTACAGCATGTACGTCCCTTGGAGGCACTTCTCTGGCTAGCGGCGGACGGCACAAATGCTTGGTTGGCACGCACAGCTACACCGGAGCAGGCTATGAAGATTGTGCCGACCGCTGTACCAACACCCTTTACCGCAGTACAACTGTGGGATGAGTTCCCGCCACCTACTCCAGATCCGAGTGTTGTACCCCAGGCGGTGGCACCGGAGAGTGTGCGCATCGATGATGGCTACTGGGATGATTTTCATGTGCGCTGGCAACCGGTCCGTACGGCAGAGAACCACAGCATGCATTATAAGGTGCTGCTGGAGCACACAGGGATTGGCGGTGGCTCCGGACGGTTGCAGACCTTTGAGCTAAGCACACCTTTTGTGCGAATTACTGACATGCAGCAGGCACAGCTCAGCCTGCGCATTGCAATTACACCCCACACTGCATGGCGAGCGGGACCGACGACACAAGTGACTCTGGCGACGCCCGCGGCAGCTCCGACGCAACCCAAGCGACTGCGTGTGTTCGTGGAACGGCGTGCGGCGCCATTGCAGGCGGCAAACATCAGTGCGCTCATTCGCTGGGACATGCCGGAGCATGCGCATGCATTGGCTGATGGTGGAGCAGTTACAAGCCATCAGTTGGCATATCGTGTCTACTGCTGGCGCGGCGAAGAGCTGCATGCAGAGCTTCTGCACAACCAGAGCACCACCGAGCACCCGCTGGAGCTGCGTGTGGATGACCTACAGCCAGATGAGACTTATACATTCCAAGTGCAGGCCTTTATAGCAAGCACAGGTGCCAGTACGGGCGCTGCTACGGCTACCCATGCTGTGCATATAGCGCCCGAAGTACAATCAGTTCCGCGTGTGCTTTACGCCACCGCAGAATATATTGGGGAGCTGGATCTGGATACACGCACGAGAAAGCGCCTTGTTCACACAGCCAGCGTAGTGGAGCATCTAGCACTGGTCCAGGGAGAACAGCGCTTGCTGTGGGTCAATGAGAATGTGGAGCTGATGACGCATGTGCCAGGAACAGCGCCAGCTAAGCTAGCGCGCATGCGTGCCGAGGTTCTGGCACTCACTGTTGATTGGGTTTCACGTATCGTTTACTGGGCTGAATTGAATGCAGACGAGCCCCAGTCTGCAGTCATTTATCGTCTGGAGCTTTGCCAGTTCGAGGGTCGCATCCTGCATGGCGAGCGTTTATGGCACACACCTCGTGGTCGGCTATTGCGCGATCTCATTGCATTGCCACATGCTCAGGCATTGCTATGGCTAGAGTACGACTTGGGCGCACGCAACGCCACACTCGTGGGTCGAAACTTAAGCGATGGTGGCGCTCTCAACTTTCGCGTACAGACACCACTATGGCGGATGTTCGAAGGCAATTTAGAAGCGGAGGCAGAAACCCTGAATCTGGTGGATCATGCGGGACGTCTGTGCGCCTATGATGTCGCACGTCAGCTCTGCACTGCTCTGCGAGCCCACTTCAATGTGCTCAGCGATGACATTGCTGAGGTGGCCCGGGATGCTGGCTACCTTTATGCCTTGCGCAACAATAGCGTGCGCGCCTATAGTAGACGCAAGCAGCAGCTCGAATATCTGGTGGATGTGGCTGAGGTGCGTCTTCTGCGAGCCTATAACTACCAAGCCTATCCACCACGACGTTGTTTGCTATTACCATCGGTACCAGCGCTGGAGCCGCTGCTGCCAACTGCGCCCATGTTTAGCTGTGAAGAGATGCAGTGCACCGTGAATCTTCCGACGCTGCATGCAGCAGATGATTGTTACTTGCCCGTGCCAGGCTTGCGATATGCTCTCAACTTGACAGAAATGGAAGATCGGGAGGAGGATCAGCTGCAGCAACTTGTTGATCCTGCGGCCGCGGGAACCTCGCTTAACATGACTGGACTGCAGCCCTATACCACCTATGAACTACAGTTGCGGGTCAGCTGTTACTACCAGCAGCGTCTTGGCCTTATGCCAATCCACCTACCGTCTTTGGAGTTGCAAACGGCACCAGCTACGCCTTCGGCGCCCCGCAATTTCAGCGTCCGTGTGCTTAGTCCCAGTTCTATCGAAGTCTCATGGCTGCCACCCTTGCGTGTGCTGAGTGAGCGCGTGTGGTATACACTTCATTGGCAGCAGGAGCAATTAAGCAGCGGCGCAGAGCTGCGTCTAGAGGAGCCCCCCAATCATAAGCACATTTTGACAGGTTTGCAGCCGGACAGCGGCTATGACTTGTGGCTGCATGTCCATGCCACGCCCACAAAATTCAATCAGAGCGTTACAATTAGTGTGCGAACCTATTCTGAGGTGCCTCCGCTGCAGGTGCTTGAAACAGCCGCCTACAACCTGACGCTTAGCTGGGCAGGCACGCCAGATAATTTATCAGCATTAGCTTTGGAGTGCGTGGCGCCGATGACACAGCCACCGGAGCAATTTAGTTTGGATGTAGCTTCCAATTACACGCACATTCTTCTCCAGTCGTTGCAGCCAAAAACGCGCTACGAATGCCAGTTGGCACTAAGCTATGCCAATACTCCGAATGCGTCTATGTATAGGGGCGAGCGATTGGTGTGCGACACTCTAGGTGACAGCCCCAGTGCGCCGGGGCGTCCACAGATCGAGCACATTGCCGGAGAGATCTTCAAGGTGAGCTGGACTGCGGCACGGGATAATGGCGCAGCTATTGTGAGCTATAATCTGGAGGCTCTGCAGGCACGTCGTGCCCGGCGAAGACGTCGACGTGAGGCGCATATGGCAATGCTGCCATGGGCGGAGGAGCCCACAGCAATTGAGGATCAGTGGTTGGACTTCTGCAATACCACAGAACTGAGTTGCATTGTGCGTGAGCTGCACTCGCGTCGCCTCCTGCTATTTAGAGTGAGGGCGCGCAATGAACCCTACGGCTGGGGTCCCTATAGTGAAGATAGCGAACGTGTGGCGGAACCATTGGTGTCGCCAGAGAAGCGTGGCTCCCTAGTTTTAGCCATTATTGCGCCCGCGGCCATAGTGTCGAGCTGTGTGCTAGCTCTAGTACTGGTTCGCAAGGGTAAGACAATTACGATCCTACTTTTTGCAAGTGTTATTGTCTTCAATGTTTGGTTTGCTTTCTTGTTGCAGTGCAAAAACGGCGGGTCCGCGCCAAGAAGCTGCTGGAAAAGGGACGTCCCAGCATTTGGAGCAATATGTCCACGTTGCAGACACAACAACAGTTTCTCGAAGCTCGCAACCGTGCCTTCTCGATGACTAGTCATAGCACATTATATACGGGCGGACCCTTGAGTGATGCGGATATTGCACTACTTCCGCAGATCAGTTGGAATCAGCTGACATTGCTGCGCTTTTTGGGAAGCGGCGCTTTTGGCGAGGTCTACGAGGGTCAGCTTCAATACGAGGACGAGCCAGAGCCACAGCGTGTAGCCATTAAGGTGAGTGGAGTGGAGACTATTGCACTCTCATGATTATATTCCTGATAAAAGGCTTTCCAAACTGATTAAAATTTATTTAAAAAAGTAATACATTAATTTAAGCATAAAATTTTTACCACCCGTAGAGCTTGCGTAAGGGGGCGAACGAATTTGCCGAACTGCTTCAGGAAGCGCAACTGATGAGCAATTTTAAGCATGAGAACATTGTGCGCCTCATAGGAGTCTGTTTTGATAGCGAGTCCATTTCACTAATTATGGAACACATGGAGGCCGGTGATTTATTAAGCTACCTGCGAGCAGCGCGTCCCAATTCCGAGGTAAGTCTGTCGCCCATCACAATTCTCGTATAAATTCGATGTCATAGGAATCTATATTGTCCTTCAGCAATCACAGCCCACACTGCAGCTTGGCGAATTACTGGCCATGTGCATTGACGTGGCCACTGGCTGCAGTTATTTGGAGGACATGCACTTCGTGCATCGCGATCTCGCCTGCCGGAACTGTCTCGTATCCTCCGCGGACGCAAGACGTCGTGTGGTCAAGATTGGGGACTTTGGCCTCGCGCGTGACATTTATAAGAGTGATTATTATCGTAAGGAGGGTGAGGGCTTGCTGCCCGTGCGTTGGATGTCACCTGAGAGCTTGGTAGATGGTGTTTTTACCACACAGTCCGACGTTTGGGCCTTTGGTGTGCTCTGCTGGGAGATTCTTACGCTCGGCCAGCAACCCTATGCGGCTCGCAATAATTTTGAGGTGCTGGCCCATGTCAAAGACGGTGGTCGGCTGCAGCAGCCCGAGCAGTGCCCCGACAAGCTGTAAGTATACACTTTAGCAAATGGGACACTTTATCTCAATCCTTATTCTAACAGCTATGCACTGCTTTTGAAATGCTGGCAAACCGAACCGGAGGAGAGGCCCAGCTTTAGGCGCTGCGTCAATACTCTACACACCATTGCCACGGACTTGCGACGCACTCAAATGCCCGGGTGCAGTGGAGGCGCGGATGGAGTTACTATTAGTGATGCCACGCCCAGCATCAGAACGGAACTGAAGGTGCGCTTCGATGAGGCGAAGGATGAGCAACAACAGCAGTTGCCTCTGCACAATGTTCAGGCACCACCTCCTGATGACGAGCCCGATTTTAAGCTGTACGCAAATGAAGGGATCTCACGATTATGAATGTGGGCAGCCTCGTTTCTCACTTCGAAATAACGAGTGATTCTCTGTACAGGCATAATTTCAAACTACATACCTACATACATACATATCTTAATATTCATGATTAACGGGAGTGACGGGCATGCAATGTGCTTGCAGGAGGCAGGCATGTCACAAACCTATGTATGAATCAAGTAACCAGATCTTAAGCTCATTTGTCACAAGCCAAATATCGTACGTGTAGGTCTGCATATTATGTGAAAACTTTTAATTAAGTTTAGTTTACTATATACATACATACATACACACATAGGGTATTTTTGTGGTACATATTTATTTAGACTTAGTATTTTTTTGTTGTTTTTTTTTTCCCATTTAAAAAGGTACTGAAAACTCAATAAAGACAGGCACAAACGTTTATATAGTATACTCGTATGTATAATTGACAATTGATAAGATTTCGTGTTTTTATTTGATCTGGTCGGTGAGACGAGAATCGCCGCACTTGGTAACACTTGGATAGCATTATTTGGTATGAAAAATGTAACCGTTCTTTTGGTTAAAAGGGACACAATCGCCTTTGAGTCAACTGTCACTTGTGTCTTGATGTCCTCCTCCTCGCTTCTCATATCAACTACCTAGGAAATCAGTTTCTGGAGATGAAAAGCTACGTTTTTTTTCAATTTATTTTTTTCCATTAATATTTTTGAATTTATTTTTTTCCATTAATATTTTTAAAATCTATTTTTGTTTTTTTATTAATATAATATTTTTTTGTATTTTTTGTATGTTGGTTGAAAGGCTTTTTCTTGGGTTGTAACGTTTCGCTGAGAATAACTCAATCATTCCTCGCTCTTCGATTGAATACTTTCACCTTTTGGAAACAAAGGCACTAAATTATTTTTTTTTAAATTTTAATTTAATATTTTTCTTTTGTTATTTAGGGATAGATCAGTTCACTCACGAAGTATTTATGCATTGATTTTTAATCATTATAGTATTTTATTTTCTTTGCACCTGACTACTTACATTTTTAGTTTAATTGTGGAATATCGTTTTCCACTATTTAAGTCTGAGGAGTTATTGGTTCTCGGGTTCTAACGCTTCATACAGTAGTTATACATCGAAAGAAGTCACTGGGCTCATTCAGCCGAAAATTTTGATTTTGAAAATTATGATAGCCAATTCAAGCGAAAAAGTTAGTAATTTGAAAATTTGACAATCGTGAAAAAAGCATTTCAACAGATTAGAGTTCTGACAGCTAACAATTTAATTAATTTAGCAGAGACTAATCAGTAATCACAAATCGTAACACAGTCATAATAGCTAAGCGCAGTGGTTGCAGATTTTGAGAGCTAATATTTGTTGATTTGTTGATGTATAATATTCGAGGTACGTGTGTTACATTTCTAAATGAAATTAGTCTTATTTGTTCGCACATTTTTCAAGAGGGCCACACTTAGCTTTGCTTCTTCATTTTAAAATCGAAAAGAAATAAATCCGTTTAACTGAAGTGCTGTTCAATTAAATGGAATACCCAATGTGAATATATGAGGGTTACTTTTCCAATCATTGGACAAACATTGGCAGATTTGCTAGAACAGCAATTAAGCACAAATTGGAGGAAGCGTGCCAGTGTTTTATTGGCTGGCCCAAAAGTTTGGTCATTAAAATGGGGCAAAAAAGTGAAAATTGTAGCTAAAAATCAATATAATGGTATCAATTAGACCAAAGGCCAATGTCCTGCCATGCATATACCTAGCTTACCCCCCAAAACTTTCGTTTAAGGCTTAGTGGCGGGGAACACGCGCCGCGTCTTAAGGCGGCAACTTAACGCGACAAGGAGGAGGACAGAAATGCCGTCGACATGGACTTATTTTAATTTCATAAAAATTTCTGCCTTAATTTTATTGGATGTGACAAAGTTTTATTTTCGTGTTCGCGGACAGCCCGGAAAAACTTTTAGCTTACGCTTATAGCGACAAACATATGTATGTATGTATGTAGGTGTGTAGGTATGTATAGCTACCAATTCTTTTTGTTTTCGCCTACAATCAAATTAAATGCAACTTTGTGCAAAGTTTTCTTTTTGGTTTTAGAGCAAGCAGCTTTGTGTCGCCTTCGCTGCGACCATTTCTTGGCGTGGATTTTAAAGAGCACGCAACTTTAAATATAATTGGCAGAGGAAGCCAACACCCCCTATATATACATATATATTAATATATGTATGTATATACAAGTATGTGTGCACGTTTGCCACACAAACAACACACATATGTACAAGTATGTACATGCCGATGCCGCCCAATCCACTGAGGAGTGTTCAGCCATTTTTGCAAATAATTTGCTTGAGTTTTGGCGTATGCTTTATATCGCATTTCAAAAAGCTTGGAAATTGTGAGCCGGATTGTGCCGATGCCGTGCAGAGAGCGGGGAGGTGGACTGTTTCAAAACCAAATTGTAAATAGGAGCGCATAAATCGATTACGAGGGTTTCTTGTTACCTAGGGAGCAGCAAGCTGTCGAGCAGACGAGTACGAGACCGCGGGCCGACACCACCCGCAATCATAACAACAACAACAACAACCAGGGTAACAACACCACCATCTCCATAACCACCACGACGACCAAATGCTGCCTTCATTGCCTCCATCGTCGTCCTTGTGTAATACAAATAAACCATTTTTAATATGCGCGTAAGCAGTTTTTTCCCCTCTTTCTTTTTTTTTTTTGCCTTGCTTATTTTTCTGTATAGTATTTCCTTTATGTATCGCTAGCGTTTGGTTCGCGGAAAGTGAGCGCGTTTTTTTTTTTAAAGTGGAGATGGGGAACTGGCATTGCGTCAAGGTGACTTACCATTGATTTTGCTTGTTGGGCTTTGTTGATTTTTCGGTACTTTGAGCTTTGCAACGCGGCAAGGATTTAATTTTATTACCTTTGTGCGCCTTCTGTTGACTTATTATGTTAAAATGATGAGGTGTTGGCTGCTGACTTCTGGGAACGCCCCTCATAAGATCTTTGCTTGAGCCCTGGCCCCGGGAAATAATTCGATTTATCAGCTTTCAGAAAACTTCGATTCTTATTTACAAGGGAAAATGTTTGAAGGCCGCTTAAAAAACAACATGAAGGCTAACAGACGGTTGATTGGTATTTTGAAAATAATTGATATCTTGATATGTATATTTAATTTGTTTTTTTAATACGTTTTCATAAAATTAAACAAATTTTCCCTAGCAGCATTGTTCATAATAAGTAGAACTAAGGAAGATGTATGTTGGATTTATTTATACACCTAATTCTGTTTTTACACGCTCCTTTTTTACTCGGTTTTGATTTAACACGGTTTGAAAATTAAAAATATTATATATGGTTGCACGACTTTATTCCATTTTGCACGATTCAAAATAACATATGATCAATGTCTTTTTTTTACACGACTTTTTCAGGAACCAATCTACCGTGTAAAAACAGAATTAGGTGTACTATGTTCATTAAATGTACTAGCATATGTCGAATAATTTAAATTTGTGATCACATGAGCGATCTGTAGGATGTTTCATCTATTTCCGTTTATCGTTTGCATTAGCCATTCGATATAGGAAACAAATTTTGATAAAAATCTAAAGTATTATCAAAATACGCGTATTCCAATGAAATACGAAATTGAGCCACAAAGATAATCGATTCTAAACTTAGCTTTAAATAGACTTGCTCTGTTGATTTTGATTCTTTTTATTTGTGCTGATTGTAACTTATCTGTGCCCAGAAATCACTTGGAAGAGTACTGTAGTGGGTATCTATCCACCCACTATTGTGAAAGCCACGTGAGGCTGTTATTAAATTTCGTTTTGATTTCATTTAATTTGATTTTCCCAACACTTTGTGAGGGCTTGTGGTATTATATACATATACATATATGTGGTATATAGCTGTATGAGTAGCTGCCTGGCCAACTCTCCATACGCTCCCCACCATGCGCTTGCATCATTCAAACTTTTATATCCAACACGCTTGCACCTTACCAGCTGGGGAAGCACTTAAAATTGTCCTTCTTCTGACACAATTGATTGAAATTAGATGAGCTTTTCATAATACAAGACTTAAGTCGCACTGTGTATGTGTTGGTGTCAGTGTATGTATTCGTATCAGCGTGTGTCTGCCTCTCTCTCTTTCTCACTTCTGTGTGTGTGTGTGTGTGTGTGTGTGTGCGTGTTTTTGTTGTGCGTGAGCGTTTTTCCATTAAGTTAAAGTTGCTAGCCCGCAGGGTTGCCAATGTAGATTCTTTTTCCTTTTTGCAATGTTCGAGGTCAAATAAAGTTACTTAAGCCATTAGCTACAGCAGGGCTAATAACACCTCAAGTTGCGGGCGATATTCTGCAAAATTGGTTATTAAAAGAGTCAACTATAAGATGACATCTAGGGGCATAAATAATGCGAGCAGCTGCCCTGGAGAGCAATGGCTAAAGGCTAATGACTTGGGAGTAGCAATCATTTGTATAAGTTGAAACCTGAGGCAGGATCGAATTGAAGAGCAGGGTTCGTTGCCCGGCTGTTGCAATAAGGCGACTTCGTGTTGGAAATTCCAAAATCGAAGTTTTCCAATTTTAAATGGGTACTTTAGGTACTTCTTCATCATCTATTGTTGTAGTATCTATGTTTATGGTAAGTTCTGACCTAAGCTTCTATAAAATCAGCCGATACATTATTTTATGAAGTGGATTATACTCATTACAAATTTGTATATTACTTGTATGTATTTGTAAAATATTGAGTAGCTTCTCAAAAATGATTTTCAAACCTCCAAACACTTGAAAGACTTACAATATATCGCTAATTTGGTTAGAAGTTATCAATTCGTTTTTCTGTATTTAGAAGATATTCAATGAAGAGGCTCTTAATATTTGATTGAAGTGCTCTCATTTTTCGCTTACCGCTTCCATTGCTGTAAATTTATGAATGAATCGGACACAAGATATTGTTCTATCAGTAAATTAGTTGAACTTCATTTCCAGAATTCGAATGTGATTCAAAAGGGGGGTTGCCTGTCAGATGTAGGGCAACGCAAACTTTTGTAAGATTTTGATTAGTGGATTATAGTAGCAAGTCTATTAAACTTTCATTTTAGATCTATCTATGTCCAATAAATGCTAATAAATTATTCTGAAAATAGAAGTGTATAGTATGTAAGTCAATTTAAAACCAATGGTGTATGAAACAAGTAGAAGAAGCTATCTTGTAAATGCTTTCATTTATACGTGTACTTTGGTAAAGCTGCATGGTACTTAAGAATCAACTAAATGCATTCTTGATTCTCAGTGTTTTGACTAAGCTCATCTGGTAAGTGGGCATTTGTCCTCTGCTTAGTTCACTGCATAAATTGTTGAAGCATTCTTGAATTCCTCTCGAGCCATTTTCAAACTAATTGAGTAATTTGCTAAACTTGATTGCACTGAAGTGCGTTTGGGAAATAAAGACACAGTGCAGTTAAAGCTTGGACACTGCTTCATTTTGAAACCGTCCTTGCCGCCGCCAACCCACCCCCCCCTGCCCCGCCCATCAAATCATGCACCAAGCTGCACCTTTATTATTTCGCACTAATTAACGGTTTGCGACAAAAGGTGCGCTTTATTTTTACAACTGCTGCTGCAGCTGCCGCTCCCTCTCCGGCTCCGGCTCCGGCTGCCGTCTCTGCCACTCACTCCAGGGGGCACTTTCAACAGCGCGTTAATTGCTGTTTATGAGCGGGGTGCCCTCAGTAATTATACAATTTTCTTTGCCAAAGCAAAGGTGTGCACAGCAAGGAGTAGCGGGCGATACGAAGTGGGCGCAAATATGTGTACTTGCCCCTCTCTTTACAAGTAACTACAACTGCAAATGCAAATAGAGTACACTGTGTGCGAGTATGAGAACAAAATTTGTTGTTTATTTACATTTAAATGTATGTATTTGGAATAAAAATAAAAATATATACGAGTATGTATATGCGACAAATAAATTAGCGTAGTGTACGAGTAGAACGTTTGTTTGTTTGTTTTAATTCTCTTCTTTGGTTACATCTAAGAAGGCATCGTTGGCTTTTATTCCTTTATTCCTACTCTGCATTGCTGCTTCTGCTGCTGATGTTGTTGTTGTTGTTGTATATTTTTTCTGCTCATGTTGTTGTTGTTGTGGTGGCCACTACGCAACATTTGCCGCTTTTGTCGGCCCATTGTCCGCGGCGTCGCGCTCAATGTAGTAGGGCGTACCATCCGGTTTTTTGCACTTGTATTTGAGGATGCAGCACTCCGGAAATGGCTTGCCGAGATTTATGCGCTCGCCCCGATTGCAGTTGTCGATGCGCAATTTGCCGCATCTGAAAAGCGAAAACATTGTTTGGAATATACTTAGATACCTACTATATCTATTAATATATTCGTTTTGTCCATGAATTATGGAGTGGCAATTGCTAAATAAACAAGAAAACAATAATACACCCAATTCTGTTTTGACACGGTAGATTGTTTCCAGAAACAACCGTGCATATGATCAAGCAAAAATAGGTGATTGGTTCCTTATCTCTGAAGAAATGTATATGGAATATTTAATTTTCAAACCGTGTTATATCAAAAGCGTTTAAAAAAAAGACCCTGCAAAAACAGAATTAGGTGTATACCATAATTCAACATTTGCTGAGCAAACCTGTCCGTGTAACTAAATGAAACTTAAAAACCATTTAAGATCAAGAATTATGACATCAAAAACGCATAACTATGCAAATTCGATGATTCTTTCTTTTTTATGTTTTTCACTATAACGGAAAAAAACTAAATAAAAAATATGCATATATGTAATTATGCATCTCGTACTTATAATTTTATAAACTTGTCTATCATGCTGACCAAGAATATGTACGTGTAATGTTTGTGAGGTCTGTCTCGGGTACAGGGTATACAAATCTAAGGAGAGGTTAACATAATATGAATATTACTTAAATTAAGTTTTTATGTATATTTAGTTATATGCACGTTTTTAGACATACTATCCAATATGTTGTTCTATTCTTATCGGACTAGGGCTTTGCTTGATCATTCGTTAAAATAACAAACCAAAGACCAAGTTCGTTTTCGAACTTGTTTAAACAAACCCTTTTTTTTAACTTGCTCGTACTATACATTTTCTTATATTGTTGGCCTGAGTTGGTCCTATGTTTTACCACAAAAGCGGGCCGATAGTTCCCGTGACAACATGCTGACATGACTAGAAAGAAGACCGATAGTTTTACAACAGAGAGACCAGATTGCAAATAAATAGAAACACAGAACAAACGCAATATGCCCTTGAAAGGGTATCATGATATAATTAATTGTATATGACCCAACTTTGAAATGAAAAACTATTATTAGCGATCTATAAACTATATGCTAATGAATGCATTAACCTATTTTGAATTTTAATATTTTTTAAAATGATTTTCATTAAATATCAATCATTACTTTTTCATTAATAATAAAATGTTAGGCTTCATAAACAATATGCATTAACCTATTTAGAAATTTCAAAAACAACAGGTCTAGCTACAGCTTTAATTAAGGAAGATAATCTGTAGATGACTGAATATATAAAGACGTCATTAAAATAATCGAAAATTAAACATTCCTTGTCTTTAAAAGTAAAAGTTCCGAGTTTTAAAGTTTTTTTTTAAACAAAGTTGGACACTCAGGAGTAGAGGTCGATGTCATATTAAAATCTGATACTAAGCAATATTGCTTATATTTTATATTATATTATAATATTTGGTATACATTTTAAGCTATATACTTGTAATATATATTTGTTCTATACGAGAGCCTGCATACAATTTGGTGGGATTCTTTTTAATTTCCGCTCATTTTCTCTTAAAGCTAAGTTAGTAAATTGTAAGTTAAGTTATTGAATTACGTTTCAAATTTACAATACTGGGATAAAATTGTGAGAGAATGGTTAGATTGTAACTGGCATTATACTTAGTTTCTCTTTGACTTAATAGTTCTTAGGCGTTTCATTTAGTATTTGTGAATTTCAAAGAGAATGTAGACTGGAAAATCTAAACGCCGCGAAAGTGTTGAGAATAGGGCGTCTTTGGAACTATGCAGTATGTGTTATAAAACCATATAGAATAATACTATAAATTTCTTTACTGGGATTTTCGAAAAACCAGCAGGTTGTGAGATTGTAAAACATATCGCGTATATCTTCCTGTACCCTAACGGTAAAATGACATGAGGAAGCATCCCCGGCCACATAGAAATAGACATTGACCAATCGTACTATGTAGACCCCCCTAATTCCTAGTTAAACGAGTTTTTGACATTCTACCACCAATTATAAAGAACTCGCATTTACTTTGTTGCTATTATTGGTGACCTACAAAAACTGTATATTGGCTCATCTGCTCTACTTACAAGCTATGAAATCGTCATCGCATTATCAACTGCTAAATATCGTTGGTCATTTTTGTGATGCAGAGAAAGAGTAACAGTACTATGCTGATGAGGCTTCAACACTTACCCCTCGATAAGTATGGAGCCGTCTTCATAGCATGTAAGGCGCTGGCATGGGGATATGCCATCGTTAACACCCAACGTTAATAGATCACCACGATAGAAGCATTTTCCCGGATTCGCTGTGAGATTCGTTGGCATTAGTATCAATACTTGTAGATTTTATGGATGGAGTTGATATTACCTGGATCGACTGGTATTAGTCCCGAATAGGCACAAACCACATCGCATAGATAGACGAAGGCGAATAGCCCCAATATATAGCGAAAATTCTCCAGACGATACTTCTGAGACATCGCGACGCGTTCGTGTTCGAAACTGCACTGGCGATCGAGTTGTTGTGGCCAACGGATGTACCTTCGGTTTTTCGTTGATTCGCGCTCAGAGCGCTCGCAGCGTCTCATCTTGTTTAGATTCATCAAGTCGCTTTTTTTGTTTTCGTTGTTTATTGTTATTACTTTTTAATAGAAGCGTCTGTTGTGTTGTCGCCGCATCGTCTCTTCATCGGGTCAACAGTTTATCGTTACACCACGTTGAGCGAACTTATATTTATTGCTCAAAAATTTTGAGGCGCATCAAATTGTTCTGGAATGTTTGCCGTTTTCCTAATTAATAACAATAATACTACACCACACAATATTAAAGAGATACAAACAAACCAACAACAACAATAACAATAACAATAATATCAACTACAATTAAATGCTTTTATGGCGCGTGAGTAATGTGCGTCTTCGTTCCAGGGAGGGAGCCCATAATTCTGCGGCATGCTGGAGAAAAATTTAACTAGTTGTCGATTATTCAAGCGATCGATCGGTAGAAGGCTCTTAGTGTTTTTCATTTTTTGTTATTTAAATCGAGCTTTGGAATAACTTAAATAATTTGAAATACATATTTGGAGAATGTGTTTTTTATTTACAAAATTAGTACGTAATTAATGTATGAGTGGTGTCCACTACTTGTACGCTCTATTTGTTTATTATATTCAATAGCATCTAGCGAACGAGAGTTTTTAAAAGTAAGCCGATTCGTCTTCTTATTATAATATTCGTAAGTTGATTTACTTCTTAGTTTAAAATTTTGTGTGCAGCCCTGAAACCGTTAAACATCTCAAATGCCTGATCAACTGTCACAGAACCAACGTTCGTGAGCGTGTGTGTGCGTGAATGTGTCACTGCTCGCTGCTCTAATCAGTCACAGACCCGGCCTACAATATTAGTGATTTGTGTTGGCATAGAAATGCGTACCGTTCCTTCCTTTATTTTGGGTGCTTGTTACAATTTTTTTTGCCTAAGGTTGGTGAGTTACATAATGATATTTACAGGGCACATCTATGTACCAACAGAATGCTTGATCAGCATGACAACACAGCATATTTCTTGTTTTAGAAATAATAAGTATGATAAGAATAAAGTTGCGCTTAAACATACATTTTTATTGACGACGAATGTTCAGGTTACAGTACCATGGGTTTATACAGCATAAAAAATAAGCTACTCTAGCCATGTCCGTCTTTTGAATGAACACCTGGTTTTCGGAAAGGGCTGAACTCACATTAACTATGCTTGGTAAGTAGCCTTTCCTAGTCCCACGGCAACACGAGTTTATTTTTAAGTTTTTACATATAAAATGCGGTGAAAGCTGCCATTCTTTCTCGTTTATCTTGAGTTGGATCGATTTATTAAAATCCCATCACTAAAACTGTTTGTGATCAATTATTTAGAAGAAGATTTAGAAGAGCTAATTTTTAGAAATTAAATGAAAAGTTATATTCAAAAAAGTAAAATAAACTCGTTTGGTTTGGTAAAAAGTTTGGTTAATGTGCATTCAACCGTTTCCGAAATCTAGGGGTTCATCCAGTCGGACGGACAGGCGGACTGACGGACATGTCTAGATCGATTTCTCCCGTCATGCTGATTCAGAATACATATACAGGGTGCGCCATCTTTTATGTCGGTATGTAAACATTGAATATCTTTGAAAATAAACAACCGATTTTCAAGTATGAGATATTTTTATTTAATTTGGTTCTGTACAATTTCTTCAGACTAATTTTTCAACACTGGTCTACTCAAGTCAATCGGTTCACTAATGACAAAGTTATTCAATATTTACATACCGACATAAAAGATGGCGCACCCTGTACTTTATGGGGTCGGAGATGCTTCCTTCTGTATGTTACATACTTTGCACAAACCTAATATACCCTTTTTACCCTACGGGTACAGGGTATAAAAATGAAACTAGTTCTTTAGTTGGGGTGCTACTTTATATGTCCACCACTGTTGTTAATTGAGTCACGCGCGACTTGGCTTGCGTGCCAGTTTCTGGATATATGCGTACATTTGTATGCCTATTCATGTATGTACATGTATGTATCTAGATGACGGCGTATATCTGCTGATCTACTCAGAGTATAATAAAAGTGTAGCATACATTTTTTTATTACGCTGACATAATTGCGTTAAGTTGTTTTGAACGATTGATATACGAGCACGAGAGCAACCATAGATCGGTTAATATGGCTATGCCATAGCCATAGCCTTGGAGTAATTAAAGTCGAATGAAAACTATGTATTCGATTGGCTTAATGCTGCACCACAGTAGTTGGTAAGCGGTTGGGCAGATTGTTAAATGGTTAAATTTGACAAAGTTTTGAAAACCGCATTGCCCACAACCAGCAGCTGGAAGTTGGCTCACTGCCTGACATATATATGTACATGTACGAGTGTATATATACATACTCGTATGTACATATGCTCCATATGGTTGACTATTAAATTTTTAATCAACTTAAAGTGTTGTCAAACACTTCATTTTCCAAACCACTTTGTACACGGCAATTGCAAGTCAGTCAGTCAGTCAGTAACAGAGTGCAGCTGGGAAGCTTCAACTTCAACACTAGGTATGTATGTATGTGTGTATGTAACGTATATATAGAAAGCAATGTCTACAACGTCGTGTTAGTTATGCATTCATTCATTCATGCAGCCATTCATTCATTCAGCGACATTCATTTCATTTCATTGCTTTTCTTACAACTTGCCTTTGCATATGCCACATAACCACATTATATCATGCAATGCAACACCCAGTTGGCCCACACGGCAACCAACTGGCACTTGTTATACTGACGGGCACAAGTTAAGCCTTTCACTCCATCTCCCTCTACCCTAGCACCATTCCTCCTTGTCCCTCTCTCTTTTGTGGTAAATTAAATGCAAATAAATTGTCAACTGCAGTTAAATAAATTTTTAATTTATAACTGTTTGACTGGGCTGCGTATGCAAGCAAATCCTGTTGGCTTGAGTTTTGCCGTCGTTCGTTTGTGGGTCCGCCCCTTCTTCGCCTGCGCTTGAGTAGCATTCAAATTGTATCTGTGGAGTGCGCATAAAGTTGTCGCCCTTCATATGGCACATAAAGTTTCATTTCTTTGAGATGAGTTCAAGTTGCCAGCTACTGCACCACTACAAGTAGTTTGCTAAAAAGTTCTGTCAAGCTGACAAACCATTAAGCCACAACTTAAATCATAAAATTGAGGCAACGATGACGCCAAGGGAGTGGCAAATGCGTTTCATCGATGAGAATTCAAAATCTTATACATGACTTTAACTAACTTGTAAAGCCAGTACTTCTTTTAGCTGTTTTTATTTTAATACATTTTTTAAGAGGTAAGTAAGAGTTGTGAATAATTTATAAACTAATATTATTATAATATGGTATATCACTCCGGATTGAAATTAACCAGCTGCTAGTACTTGTATGATAAAGTGGTCTGATCAAACCTAACATCTATTTGCCATTCGCAAAATATTCTTAGCTATGATGGATGATATAGTGGATCTTTTTTAGAGACTATAAGCTGACATATGTATGCATGCTTTAAAATTTAAAAATATTTGTATGCTTCACTGAAATTTAAGTGTAAATTGTTTCTCATAATTTTTATTTTGTAACATCCATAAAGAAAAATGACGGGATCAACACGACAAGATGAACCCAAAACACCATATCCATGTCTGCTTTTTTATTCACTACTAGTTAATGTAAGATTAAAAGCTCGTTTCTAACTAAAAGTTAAATAGGAGCAAAAGAACATTACTTCTTAGCTCATTTTATTTAATTTTTAGAAGTGGTTTGGGGAAGATAACTTAATTTTTAAGTAAATAAGAAATCTATGTTCAATAAGCATTTACCAGGAGAAACCGCCTGTCTAGTTAAGTGATGCATTGCTTTAAATTTGGAAAGCTTCTTTTAATTTTACATTGAGAAAACCTAAAAATGGATCCGCACCTATCGGATCTACCTATCGGATTTACAACTATTGAAAATAAGGAAATTGAAGTTGTATTTATTAGAATGCCTGTAAATAAATAAATATATATACAAAATATTGAAAGAAAACCATTCAGGGATGCGTTTAGATTTAATTGAAAACATTTAAAATCAAACAACTTTTGAGTTATTTAAAGTATTGTTAAAAATAATTAAGATTATTATATAATTGTTTTCTGTTGTCAATAACACACCTTTTGAGAATTCGTATTGTGTTAAGTATTTTGATATATCGAAATCTGTAATGAAGAGTTTTAGCAATGCAGGGAGGGTAGGACCAATCTTTACAGGGTTTGACTAAGCCTATCAATGTCCTTTAGAGACTTAAGACGTTATAAAAAAACCTTCAATCATTGTCTCATTAAAAAAAATTGGTTTCTAATTTTTGGAAAATATTTCCAAAATAGGGTTATTCGAACTCAGTTCAAGCCAGTGCGGGATCATAGATAATTTACAGATGTTAGTTTGCTGAGCTTTTATTACTAAAAGGTATCAAAGATCTATTGATAAATGGTAAGCTTTTCAATTCAATCATGCACAACGAACAAAGGCTGCCAATGAACGAGCGACGTAGACTGGAGGATGGGAGATTGTGAGGCGCAGACTTTCAAGTCCGTTGGCCCGTTCAAGTTGTTACCCTCTGGCGGACTAACAGACGAACACACAAACACCAACTGTTAAGCTAATTCGCGCTTTGATTAGCTAAATTAGCAAAATGAGTGACAGACCAAACGCAGCAGAAATCCACACTCAAATTGAATACAAGCTCGAAAAGAGCCAAAATGCCCAACTAACCGCACATAGCCGTGCAGATTTGAAACGTGAGCTCTGCAGTATACAGAAAAAAGGAAAAAAACCAACAGCACACAGTTCAAAAACAAAAAAAAGAGCAAATAAATAAATAACAAGAAAAAAAAAACAAATCAGAGACAGAAAAAAGCAAATGTGTGCGCGCTGTGTACAGAGCCGGAGCGCAGCAAAACAAATTCACTTTTTCAGAAAATGTATTCAGTGCAGGGGCGACATTCGCAGCGGCAACGAAGGCGGCAGCCATAGCAAACACGCCGCCAAACGAGAAGTCTCATCTCGGCAAGAACAAGTGAGAAGTGCAAAGTGCATTTAACAGGCGACCACCCAAAACGACATAAAAAGAGGAAGAACAAATACGAAAAAAAACAGCACAGAACCAGAAGCAGAAACACCAAAAAGAGGGAAAGCCAACAACGCGTGGTGTCAGTGCCAAAAGTTGTGAAAGTGCAGCAGCTGCCACAGCCGAGCCGAGCAGAGCAGAGCAGAGCAGAGCACAGCCCCAGCCTCAGCCCGAGCTCAGTTGTAGCCTGAATCTCAGTTTCAGTCTCGTAGTAGTACTCTCCCTGCTCCCCTCTCCTACTCCTACCCCATACTTATAATTCTACCTCTGTCCCGACGTCGACGTTCAGTGTCAGAGCGTCAACGACAACGACAACAACAACGGCAACAAGAACCAGCACCAGAACAAGAACAAGAACGAGCATAGGAAATGGCCAAATTAGTGACTTATATCTTCATCGTTAGCTCGCTGATACTCTGGTATCTGCTGCTGTTCGGTACGGGTGGTGGAGGGTCTAGCAGTGGCGGTGGTCTGGGCATCAGCAGTCTTGGCGTTGAGGCCACCAATGGTCATGGTAGTCAACTGGAAGGACGTGATTTTCATCACCATGGCGGCAGTCATCACATAAGGCGTAAGTGTTGATATATCTCGCGCGCACACACACACACACACACACACGCACACACATACATACTATATGTGCAAAGAAAAAAATGTACTATATTATACGCCTCCTCCCCCTCCCGCGTATTGCGCCAACTCTGGCATGCCCACAGGCAACATCAATCACTGCTGGCGCCGCTACGATGGCTACAATCTGCAGAACACGATTGTCAATAAGAAGGAGCAGCTGAAGAAACCGTATGGAATTTTGTGCAACTTCAAGTGCACTTGGTTCTTTACAATAAGGTATGGCACTTGTCGAGCTGTGATTTTTCCTTTGCCACGCCATTCGAGCGTAATTCTCGATAATTTCATTTCTCTTTCAACACTCATATACCCGTTTCCCCACCCCCCACCCCCCACCAGTCACCACTCACCACTCACCCATCATCCCCCACATTTTCGCTCTGATTCTCATTCGCTGTGTCTGTCTCTTCTCCCAACATTGCAGTTTTCCCACGTGCGAGTTCATCTACGATTATAAGTTGTCCTGCGTGCTGTTCACTTCACTGCCCGATTGCACGAACGTCAAGTGCACGCTGTTGAACTATTTTAGCTAGAGTTTAATTTATTTATTTGTATTGTATTTATTATGTATTGTATTTAACGCTATTTCGATATAAGCTCTCTCTTATTGTACTCGTAAGTGCGTTTTTTTGTGTGCATTTTTTTTCATAGCATTAAGTACACTTTAAGTTGATTATCACTAGATTTTATATGAAAATATATATATAATATGTGGAGAATATGAATATGATGAGTTGTAATAAAATTGATTTTGCTTATTGAACAATTGTGAAACCATTATGAGCATGCAATTTTTAGGTACTTATTAAAACTTGAAACCGCATTTTGCAAGTTTCTTTCCATACTTTTCCTATGCGAACTCTGTAACTCCAATTGGATTCACTACGAGTGAATAGTTTGAAGTACAAGGATGATAAAAGACTTTTAGGAGAGCGAACGAAAAACTTGACAGATAATTATAAAAATCTATTGGGTATAGTTGAATACTTTTATTTGAGAAGTCCTAAACACAGAGCAAACATAAAATTACTTTTAAGAATTTAAAATCAGAATCCATAAAAATCTTTACAAGTTTTTAAATGTTCATTTTAAATATGCGAATATATGTATCTCTGCTGTATGGATCACAGCCAAAAATTATATATATTCCGCATTAGTTACTATAGTTAGCGGATATATCTGTAGTTTGCCTAATCATTATGTGCGGAGGAGCTGAGAGCATTGGTATTTGAAGAATAAAGATAATTAGTATTAGAAATTCATCTGTGTTCATCTATTCTAAAGAGCATTATGAATGGCTCGTAACTTGAGTTCCAAAATATTCCGTATTACTCACTTATGTAAAAGATCAAATAACTTTCAAAAAAATTTCCCATTTTTTATTACAAGTACGGATTGAAAAGAAGTCTCTTTTATGTGTTTCAATAGACTTATAGTAACTTAATATTCAATGTTTGCCAGTCTGACCATAGCTGTTAAAAGTTTTGCACAGAATTCTATTTGATTTGGAAAAGTCGCCCATCAGTTTACAGGCTTTTAAAACTGTTGAGGGAACTTTATACTTGTTAGTACAATATATTCGTAGCATAAAGGTAGGCGTTTCTTGTTTCTCGTATCAGCTTTCATCTTCCATGTCAATAACTCAACAGCTTACTAGTTGTTGTTGTTATGTATTTAATTATATTTGTTCGATTGCTGCCAATTACAGTTTATTCTGGCAGCGAATCGAAAACCTCAAAAGTTATCAATGTGCTGACATCCCCCCTGGCCCCACCCCTCCTCTAGGCTTCTGTGATCCAGGTGCATGCTGATGCCGTCCCTCCTCCCCTTCGATCATTTCCAGCCATATTCAAAGAGCAGCTCACAGGTATGCCTGTGCCAAAAGCAATTCACTTTTGCAGTAAACAAATTTGAAACACTTTGTTATGCACGTTTTTTCTCCCTGCTAGTTGTTGTTGTTATTATTGTTGGATGGCTTAAGCCGATATATGTTGGAAAGTATATCTGTGTTCCGGCCAACGCATGTTGGCGGAAACTTCTCGCCGCTAACAGCCGCAAATAAATCGTTCGACATTTATAAGCCAGTCAAAGTTATGCTGAAGCATAGCACTTTATCGGTAGGGGGTGGCGGGGGCGACGGTGGTGGAGAGCGGAAGTTGGCCAACCTAAAAATAAGATAAATTGTGTGGCTGTAGTCAATGGAGCTGTTAACTTGCACACCTGAGACTGTGAATTGAGACCTTGGGCAAGGGTTGTTGCGGTTGCTGCGTCATGGACCACACGAAGCACTTCTGCTTTCGTTGGAGTACCCCTGGACCTCCCCACCCCGACCACTAACTCTTTCCATTTCATTTTTATGCCACCTCCGATACACGATAGTGTAGTGCTGGCTCTCCTTCTCATGCCTGGGCGAGCATTTTATTTATTTCATTTTAGTCATTTTGGGGTCACACTTTAATGAAATCAAACGAAATGACATTGATCGCTGAAGGCCAGCGGCCCCCCAGAAGATCAACAACAACCATAGTCATAACAAAAAAAAAAAAAATACAAAATAAAACAACACCACCACCGGCAACAACAATAACCACAACAACAACAACTGCGCACATTTGGCACATTGCAGTTACGGTCGCCAGAACGCAGGCAAAGGCAATCATCGGCAGCCACCGTTGGCCAGTTCGGGTGCGTTGAATGGAATTATGGATACGGATTTGGGTCGTGGTCGTTGTGCGATGTGTTTGTTATGTGTTATGAGTTGTGTGTTGTGTTGTGCGTAGTGCGTTGTCGTCGTTGTTGCTGTCGTCATCATCGTTGATTGTGTTGTTAGAGTTTCTGTTACTGTCCGCGCATTGCGTTCGTCTCTGTTTCAATTTTGATTGGCAAATTACGGCAATTTTTGCACGGAATTAGATTATTTCGAAATACAAATTAATTGTTCATTAAATCGTAATGCACCCCCAACAACAACAACAACAACAACAACAACAATTTGTTGAGTGTGGAAAATGCAGCTGGGAAATTCGCAGTCCTATGAATATTAAAAAGAATATGAAGTACTTTGCAAATCAATTAGTTTTGATAGGAAATAAACGAAATACTACCATATTAATGATTATTTTAATAAATCATGAGCGCACTAAACATATAAACAAAAAGCAACTAAGTAGTAGCTATAGAAGAACTACACCCATAGTGTTGGAATGGGGCAACGAATAATGTACATAAAATGTAATAAAACCTGTTGTGAATGAGAACTATAACCATCAAAAAGTCAGCTTGCATTTAAACGAAAAAGTTAAATTTTTGTTTACCATTTTCTTTATTTTTTTATTAACGCCCATGCTTATTTTGAGATTGAATATGTTAAGAAGTTCATGAGAACAGGACAACAAATTGCAAAGGTGTCTATGAATGATATATAAATAAAATTTAATTTAATGTAAATATAAACAATTTTCTGCCATTTAGATGAATTTTGCTTTCACAAGACTCTCCAATAGTTTGTACACTGGATGGATTTGTATGTATACTTCAATCGGTCTGTCCCTCCGTCCGTTTGAAGATCAAGAACTCTTGAACAATAATAGCTTGGGATACTAAGCATGGCATGTTGACTTATCTAATCCATGTTTGTACGAAGTTTTTAACAAACCATTTGAGTGTAAGTCGAAATAGTCGGATGATTTATTTTTTTAAGTTTTCTGAATAAATAGATAGCTAAGTGGCTGGCACAATTAATTACCTTTATAATAGCGTAGCTAGCAAATACAAATTAATTTGAGTAAATAAACAGGATTATCTTACTTATTTGTTGTTGTGCACAAGGAATACGAGTATGTAAATACATTTCTTTAGTTCTATTAATGTAATAAACAAGAATATATACTGTTTTAATCAATTATGATTTAAGCCATTGAAAGCTTATGTATGCTAGACACAAACAAAACAAGTAGTAAAGGCTTGAAAAATGTTAAATTTAATTTTGTATGGCATAGACTGTTTATAGACTTTAAAAGGCCTTAAGCTGCAAATTTCAATCTGCATTTCAACGTTAAGCTTCCAGACATTTTCAGCATGCGGACTAGAAAGCAAACACACACACATTAATATATAAATATATATATATATATATAGATAGAGAGAGAGAGAAATGAGCAAAATGCTGTTAAAAATAGCACAATAAAACTTGCTACAAATTATGAGTTACCGCCCCTAAAGCTATATCGCTGTGGATGGGCACGTCGAGAGGCGAATGGTCGGTTGGAGAGACGAACAAACTGTCAAACAGGCAGACGAACATTCAGACGAACATTCAGATGAACATTCAGATGAACATTCAGACGAAAGACATAAAGACATGGAGACAGACAGGCACACAGACAGTCAAACAAATACATAAAATAGAGGTGCTGGTGGTGGCGGTGATGCCCACCCCCAGCTGACTGTGGTGGTGTCAGAATGACTGCCTGACTGATTGACTAACGCAAAATATGAAAAAGCGGACTGCCTTTCAGAGCAGCGACATAAAAGGTGTCAACAGTTCCCATCCAAGTGAGGTGAAGTGAGACTAAGGCAAGCGATACACCAGTATAAGCTCCGACTGTGGGCTCTGAGGTGGGCCACTATTGCCCGCCTGGGGTTACTTGTAATCGCATTAAAGCTCACCCACACGCCATACAAGCACACACACACACACATAGAACAGAGACACACACGCACACCCACACCAATACACCCACCAATACATTAAAGTGATATAATTTATCAATTGGCATCAATTTAGGTAAACAACTCAACTTTCGCAGTAGGGGTCTACGGGAAAAAAGTAACTTGTATCATTTCTTTGGTGTTTTTCATTTCGATTTGCTGCTGTCTTAATGCTGCGTATGCCGCACGCTCCTTTATCATTGTCAAATACATATGCATTTATAAATTTGTATGTTTTTATTTTTTTATTTTTTTACGCGTAATTGTCATACGGGTAGCGACCACAGCTGCGGCAGCGACTGCGACTCACGCGAGGTTTCGTTAGACGTTTGGTTTGACTTGTGGGCCACAGTTAAAAAGCGCGACGGCACCAAAAAAACCACAGCAGCAATGGCGACCTGTAGCAGTTTTCATGATTGTTATGCAACGGCCAAATCGATATCAACAAAAGCAACCATAATTACAGCAAGAACACCAATTATAACAGCAATAAATACGCGGAAAAGCACAACAACGATTGCATTTATTTTGTTATTAATTTTATGCTGTTTATGTGATTACAATAATGGAAGTACGTGCCGAGCGCGCAAACAATCGAACTAGCGCCAATTAATAGTTTTATATATCGTGTATCTGTATCTGTATATGTATTTGTTTTCAATTTATTTATTTATTTCCCCGAAATACAATATCAAGTGTGTGTTCATAGGTGTGTGTTGGCATGAGCAAATGCAATCAAAATTAGCAAGCAAGCAAATTTCATTTAAATATCATTTGTGTACGCGTCCATAGTGCGTATGCGTGTTATTCTTGTGCCATTTCATCAATATAAGTAGTAGTTCTACCTAGCGATTAGTAAGTAGTAATCGTGAGGTTCATAATCAATTTGCAATGGAAACACCGTTTGCGTGAACAATTTGGACTGTTTTTTTTTTTTTTAAGTTTTTTGAACAAAAGGTTTCCCTCGCTATATATGTTTTTTTTTTTTTAGTTTTTAATTGTATGTGAAAATAATACATTGTATATTTATATATACTTGTACCGTTTCTTTTTTTTTTGTTGGCCATAGAAAAAATGTGTGCACAGCTGCAGGACATCGGTTTTATATGCAATTGCGTAGCAATCACAAAAACTAGAAAACATGTGCTTATCAAATTTGCATATAATTGCAATGCAACAAATACTTTATGTTTTAAAAATTGCGTATACGCCGTGCTGCGACTTTATGCCACATTTTATGGCACGCCTACAAGTAACCGATATTTTTTAAGCAGAGTCTGTGAAGTGAAAATATGCATTAAATATCCATATTGATGTGCGCAGAAAATATCGTTATATAACTGCTGGAAATTTGTAACAATATGTTTTTCTTTGTACCATCAACCGTAATTGCATTTATAAATCAATTTTGCAACTCGTTAAAGCTAAAAAAAACATAAAAATATATATGTAAACACACACACACACACACACACACACTGCACATGGCAGAAATTGTTGTTGCAATCAACATTTTTAAATTTGTTGATTTAGTTCGTTGATATGCCACAGGGGGAGAAATCCTCATCCTCGTGGCCTCTCCCTTTACGAGTATTATTGATTGGCATATGGTTTAGCTTTAAGACTTGAGTCCTTCTATGCCATATTCTGCTCCACTAATTCTCATACCATTCGATTTACAGGCTGGGCCTCACAGTGCTGGAAAAAACACAACTCCGGTTCGATACAGACGCCAGACGGTGAATTTAAGCGCCCGTTTGGCATACTCTGCACATATCGTTGCTTTCTCTGGTTTCCGCCAATGTAAGTTATGCGAAGCATTTCAGTCGGTCACTCACTCCTACACGCAGCCAAACACACAGCCATACAAACAGCCATACACACACCCTACACACACCCTACATATAATTTGCAATTTATGCATGCCTCTGTTATTTTCTAGTGTGAATTGCATTTTAAAATAAACTTGAGTCCGCCTTTGTTTTTATATTTATTTTCATTTTCATTTTTATTTGTATTTTCTTTGTTCCTTTGCTGCACTGTGCTCGGGACTGGCATTTGAATTGCATAACAATTAAAATGGCTGCCAGCATTGTTTGTGGTCTGGTGCGAGAGTTGCCACTGCTGATGCTGTCGAAATAAATATTTCAACAATGTTTTGTTTTGTGTGCTTCCTTTTTATTTCTGGTGTTCGTTCGGTGCTCTTGATTTCTATTTTTTGCTTATACCAACTATCCCTTTATGTGTTTGCTTTTTGCTTGCAGTTATCCGTACTGTGAATTCATATTCGATTTGCGTTTATCGAGGCACTTCACATCGTTTCCGGACTGCTATGAGATACGATGCAATGAGACGTTTTCATTTTTCGGAGGAGAGCAAAATCTCTAATACTTTTTCTAAACTTAAATGTATTTTTTTTAATATCTGTATATTTATGTGAATATTTGTATGCCTAAATAAATCGGTGTGTGGAAAATATATTTACTTACTTTAAAGAAACTATATATTTCGAAGTTAAGCTAATTCGGTGCCAGATTTGAGATACTATTTATTTTTTTGGTTGTTGAAAGAGTAAGTACGACACTTAAATTTCAATATTGCACAATATACAAGTAGAATATAAAATAAAAGCTAATAAAACATGACCACTGTTTACAGTTATAAAGTGTGTATATTTTGACTTAACGTAAATGAACAATATTATTGTGAAGTGTACAATATTATTGTTCTTTGGCTAAACAAATACGAAATATTCGTGTTTCTCAAAATATATAGTTCTTAGGACTATTCTATGATGTTTTTTGTTTTCTGAAGCACTCCAATATTTGATGCATCTTATTAACAAGTGCAGTTGAAAGGCAAATACTTGTAAGTATTTATTGCGCGAAACCTTTTGAAATATAAAAATGTAGGCATTTGGTTGATTACATCCATTTTAAAAATTGTTCAGTATTAATATTTGAATAATTGGAAACACTATTTAATGAAGTCAAAATCCGCTAATAATTAGCAACAATCAATATATCTTGACCTATTTACGTTTGGAAGAATACAAGTTCATGAAATATATTGGAAGCCATAAATTTGCTAGTTCCATTTTGAAATCTGGCTTAGAACCATATTAAAGTACGACGTAATATTTTATTATAAATGAACAAGGTTTTCGATATGCGCAGTTTGTGAAAAAGTCACTCAGAGACATATTTCCGATGTTAAAATATATAAATTTGTGCTATCAGTATTCAAAATAGGTTTTACAATGGTAAACAAATTATTTATTATCTATTAACTTCTTCGAGCTATAGCTTGATTTTATTAAATTGAGAAAAATACTTCTGCATTTTCAACAGTTTTTTGCAGGGACTGCAATCATTATGTGTTATTAAAAAAATTACAAAATAATGATTATTTTTTAATTTTATTAATTCGCTCACAGTTTAATGATTAGTTTTGAGTTTTACTTTAAAAATTAACCAATAATCATTATTGATGAGCAAAAAAATAAAACTGATAAATTAATGATTATTCTTTGAGTTTTATTTTTGATCAAAAAAAGCTCAAATTTTGTCTGTTTCATAAGGATTAAGGACAAAATTTATATATATCCTTTATCAGTGAGTCAAGGCGAACATTTTTAATTAATTAATTTTTTTTAATTCACAAAAAAATTTAATTTTTTCAAATTTTATTTTTATTTCATTAAATATTATCTTTAACTATTAATTATTTAATTTTACAATTTAGTCCTAGCTTTGGAGCTGTAAACTTGTCTTATTGGGCCATGCTATACTATTTTTTAATGATCCTATTTCTATCCTATATCTATGCCTTTTTTAGCTATGCGTCCATAGTTTTGCATTGAAAGCAGCAGCTTGCTGGCTTATCTAGTTGAATTTTTGCAGGTAGTCTCCAGCCAAATTCTAAAGACGCAGCTTTCATCAGAACATTTATGTTTGCTATCTTTTTCTGCCGACTGCCCTCTGCCAATAGCTTTCTTGTGCCTGTGTATTGAAGTGTTCATTAATTTGTGCCAACCTGCTGGCAATTTCCTTTTGAGCACCTTTAGTTTATTTCCGCTAACTGGTCCTGGCGGCAGGCTACCTATGTATGTATGCATGTATTATAATTAAGCACAACGAGGCGCAAACAAACAAATAAACACAGGGACGGACAAAGCTCAAGGCGCACAAAAACAAAAACAATGCAAAGGCTGGCAGCTGCTTCAAACACCCACAAATATTTGCATACAAATTAGCATTCTAATTGACTTGAGCTGTCGTGCCCAAAAATAAAGTAACCAACCAGCGAACCAGGCGGCTAGCCAGCCAACAACCAGAGAACAGACCAGCCTCAATATCTAAGCATTTATATAACACTATGGTGTGCTTGTACAAGCATGGGAGTGAGAGCCTATGTTTGTATGTGTATGTGTATGTGTTGGTGGTTATTAAACAAAACGCTTTGTTGCACCCAACAGGCGTCCATTGTCTCAAAAACACAAGCAACCCCACCCCTCGCCACACCGCCCCTTTTGCAGTGCCTAGGCGTCGAGTTAATTGTTTGTTTAGTGTCATAAAAATACAGTTTACGCCTTTCACAACATCTCCACCAACCAAGCAATCAAAGAAAAGCGAACTGTGCCCGAAACGTTGACTATGGGATACCTTTTTTCTCCCACGATCTGTTATAAAAAGAGCTTACAATTTTCAAGTGGACCCCTATTGTTTTCGGCCAGACGGTTTTAGAATTTGCAAACACGCGCTTTATATACAAATTGTGGTTAATGCTTAAATGATTTCCATTTCTGAAAATCATTTGTTTTTTCTATGGCTAAGCAAGAAATGGTCCGATTTTTCCTAATGTCGATAAAGCAAATATTTTACATCAAAATATATAAATAATTTTAGTGAATAAACATTTTCTATTCTATCTATCTTGTCACATATAGTACAAGAGATCTCGAAATAATAAGTTAATTTTGTATCTTAATTTAAAAAAGAAATAATATAATTCTAACTGAAAAACAAACTGGTTACCAAAAGTACTAACAGTGTTTGGATACAATTATTAAAAACAAAAATTTTAATATTTAAGAGTTATTTGTTTTCGAATTTTTGTAGTTCTTCAACCAGTTTAGAAGCATAATTCTTTATATTTGGGTCTCAAATAGCTCTTCTATGTTTTTGGTATGTTTTTTTTGGTAAAACATAGCCTGTCACCTACAACCTGAGCGAAACAATATGTCCTTTAATCATTTGTGTGCTGGGTGTGGAAGCTGAATCACCTGCACGTGCATTGGCCGCCTGTCTTTTGGCAGCGCTGCGGCGTAGCCACAATTACAGATACGGTCACGGTCGCGTCTATAGTGGTGGCTCAAGCGACAAAAGCCACCTGCAAACAAAGAGCCGTCGCAGACAATGTTTGTCGTTGCAAAGTTTTAACTTTTACAAACTTAATTGTAGGGTAGTTGGTCGCAAGCTCGAAGGGGCGGCACGCACAGTCTGAGCTAAATTTAACGCAATGTGGCAGGTGGACCGATGGTGACAGCGACGAACGGATGGCTGGACGGACGATTTGACTGCGGCTGCTTTCAATTTAACGCGCATTGTCCTTTGCAGATAGCTTTGATGCCAGTTGCCCAAAATAGGATTCATTAAGGTGCGGATGGCGAAAGTTCAATTTTTAGACGCTAAGCTACTGATTCAATTGTATATTTCAAAGACATTTCGTTAAAACTACCAAGAAGTTGCCCTTACCCAGTTGTCCTAAGATGCCTTAATGTGTGTTATCTTTGAATTCAAAAACTAAAATACTTACATTTGGATTTGGAGTTTACTGCAAACACCTAAATTTAATAACTACCAGCAGAGTGTATTACGAGCCATGAATGTATCGGTTTCAAGTACTAACCGAATTCACTTCCTTTGGAATTCTGGAATTTTAAAATTTCCAATTCACTCTACAAAAAAACGCAAATTACTAAATTAATATTCAAAAAGGAGTCTTTAAATACAAGTCTAGTGTGGTAGTCTTCAAGTCCGAATTTAAAATTAAAAGCGTAAATGGTGAGGTCCATCGAGTCTGCATTTATTAATCTGCCAATTTGTGCCCGGGATATATGTGCATTACAACCACAAGAACCTCATATCAAGCTAAGTTATAAGCAGCTGGGCGAGTACTTCAACTGCTACGGCAAATAAATATTCAAAATGCAATTACGCATGGAATTTGCCAGTACTTATCGTAACGTTCGCCCACTTGGTCTTTCTTGTTGTTGCTGTTGGCTCTGCAAACTTATTTAACTTTTTACGATGTCATTTGCGAAAGTTTGTAATCATTTTCGTAAGTCGAGTCGACATTTCTTGCGCATACTTCAAAATACGTAGGTACGTACATATGAAAGAAGAAAAAAAGAGGAATTTATTTATATGATTTTTAGAACGTCGCAACTTTGGCGCTCTGCATGTTGCCACGTAAGGCGTCGTGTGCTCATGCCTCTATAAATAAAGCGAGGCTATGGCTGGCGCAGTTACTTCAAAGTTAAGTTCAAAGTACACGGACCAGATCGCACTACACTCTACCTCTCTACTCAGTTAAAGCCAAATTATCAGTTGAAGGACTAGTTCATTCCGTAGGACGAGGACAAAATGAAACTTTTAGTCCTGCCACTCATAGCTCTAATTGCTTATACAAGCATAGCTCAGGCTGCAAGTAAGTATGCTACGTATTTGCGAAACTTGAAATTTATCCACTACTTCCTTCCTTTCTAGAGTCTAAGCCTCAATCATTTTACTGTAAGCGTTTTCAAGCTAGTGGTAAGTTTTTGTTTCTAACAATGCAGTGTCTTTTTCATAACCAGTCTCGATTCTTTTTTTCAGTTGACAATACGGAGCACTTTTGTGAACAGCATTTAGTATTTACTCATAAAAAATGTCAATTTAATTGCTCCGACAACAACTTTCTAAAGTAAGAGTGCACTGGGTGAAGTTTTTGAATAACTAACTTTTAAATTATATATTTAATAGCATCACTAATTGCGATTGGAAATGGACTGGAAAGGACACGTACCCATTATGCAAAGATCTCTACTGCGAGAAATCCCCAACAGGTACAACAACAGTTAGGACGACAAAGAAAACAAAACCAACGAGAACAACAAAAACTACGAGAAAAACTACTGTAAAGACAACCCCAAGACTACCAACAACTACAACTAAACTGACAACTAGTACTGGGACAACATCATCATCAACTACTCATCCGCCGTCAACTGGATACTCTACATTAAGTTCCAGTGTAAGCACTGAGTCATCGCCTGCTTTCAGTGGCTCCACAATAAACGGATCAACAGTTATTCAAAGTTCAACGGCGACTATCTCATCAACAACTGCTCCAACTCAGCCCATGTCTACATCTAGTGAACATACGCCTCAAGATTCTACTTCAACAAGTACTCACACTTCACATATCCCCACTGAGTTGTCATCTTCGAGTTCTAGCCTAAGCACTGAGTCTTCATCCACTCCTAGTAGGCCAACACCAAATGAATCAACCAAAGCCACAAGCTTACCTTCAGAAATCCCCAATGAGTTGTCATCTTCGAGTTCCAGCCTAAGCACTGAGTCTTCACTCATTCCCCGTTGGTCAACACCAAATGGATCAACCACAGCCACAAGCTTACCTTCAGAAATCCCTACTGAGTTGTCATCTTCGAGTTCCAACCTAAGCACTGAGTCTTCACCCATTCCCCGTTGGTCAACACCAAATGGATCAACCACAGCCACAAGCTTACCTTCAGAAATCCCCACTGAGCTGTCATCTTCGAGTTCCAGCCTAAGCACTGAGTCTTCACCCATTCCCCGTTGGTCAACACCAAATGGATCAACCACAGCCACAAGCTTATCTTCAGAAATCCCTACTGAGTTGTCATCTTCGAGTTCCAACCTAAGCACTGAGTCTTCACCCATTCCCCGTTGGTCAACACCAAATGGATCAACCACAGCCACAAGCTTACCTTCAGAAATCCCCACTGAGCTGTCATCTTCGAGTTCCAGCCTAAGCACTGAGTCTTCACCCATTCCCCGTTGGTCAACACCAAATGGATCAACCACAGCCACAAGCTTATCTTCAGAAATCCCTACTGAGTTGTCATCTTCGAGTTCCAACCTAAGCACTGAGTCTTCACCCATTCCCCGTTGGTCAACACCAAATGGATCAACCACAGTCACAAGCTTACCTTCAGAAATCCCCACTGAGTTGTCATCTTCGAGTTCCAGCCTAAGCACTGAATCTTCACCCATTCCCCGTTGGTCAACACCAAATGAATCAACCACAGCCACAAGCTTACCTTCAGAAATCCCCACTGAGTTGTCATCTTCGAGTTCTAGCCTAAGCACTGAGTCTTCATCCACTCCTAGTAGACCAACACCAAATGAATCAACCAAAGCCACAAGCTTACCTTCAGAAATCCCCAATGAGTTGTCATCTTCGAGTTCCAGCCTAAGCACTGAGTCTTCACCCATTCCCCGTTGGTCAACACCAAATGGATCAACCACAGCCACAAGCTTACCTTCAGAAATCCCCACTGAGCTGTCATCTTCGAGTTCCAACCTAAGCACTGAGTCTTCACCCATTCCCCGTTGGTCAACACCAAATGGATCAACCACAGCCACAAGCTTACCTTCAGAAATCCCTACTGAGTTGTCATCTTCGAGTTCCAACCTAAGCACTGAGTCTTCACCCATTCCCCGTTGGTCAACACCAAATGGATCAACCACAGCCACAAGCTTACCTTCAGAAATCCCCACTGAGCTGTCATCTTCGAGTTCCAGCCTAAGCACTGAGTCTTCACCCATTCCCCGTTGGTCAACACCAAATGGATCAACTACAGTCACAAGCTTACCTTCAGAAATCCCTACTGAGTTGTCATCTTCGAGTTCCAACCTAAGCACTGAGTCTTCACCCATTCCCCGTTGGTCAACACCAAATGGATCAACCACAGCCACAAGCTTACCTTCAGAAATCCCCACTGAGCTGTCCTCTTCGAGTTCCAGCCTAAGCACTGAGTCTTCACCCATTCCCCGTTGGTCAACACCAAATGGATCAACCACAGCCACAAGCTTACCTTCAGAAATCCCTACTGAGTTGTCATCTTCGAGTTCCAACCTAAGCACGGAGTCTTCACCCATTCCCAGTGGATCAACTCCAAATGGATCACGCCCGGCCACTAGCATATCTTCAGAAATCCCTACCGAGCTGTCATCTTCCAGTCCCAGATTGAACACTGAGTCTTCACCCACTCCTAGTAGGCCAACACCAGATGGATCAACCACAGTCACAAGCTTATCTTCAGAAATCTCTACTAAGCTCTCATCTTTGAGTTCCAGCTTAAGCACTGAGCCGTCATTTACTTCCATTGGCTCTACAGGTAGATGTACCAATAAATCACCTGTGACCTCAGGGGTGACAGAGGCTTCTAGCGAGACAACTGCCGCAACAACTGATGGTACATCTTCTCATTGGACTGATTGGACAAAAACAGATACGAACTTACCGATTATATCAACTACTTATTCCACAACCACAAATTGTAGAATTGTGTGTGAATAAATTTAGCTTAGGTCTAATTTTCGGTTTTAATTTTTACAGGCCCAATACCTGACTTGACATCCGAAGAAGACGAAGTAGTATGATACGATTAGCATTGGTCTGTTTTAATTAGGTATTCAAGATATGTGGGGATTTGGGATAGGTAGAGTTAAGTAGTTGTAATCTTTTGAAACAATATAAATAATAATATTGAAAAAAGTACATTTCCTTTGTTTCTTCCATTCGATGGCGCATAAGTAAATGACTTGCGTCGGGGTATGGTTGGTCTTGACACTATTTACTTACACTATTTGGGGGCAGCTATCACGTGAACCATTGTACTCGCACCACATATCCGTACGTATTATGGTGGTGTGTGATTAATCATTGTTTTTACTGTCTCTACTGTTGGTACTGGCTCATGTAAAACGCAAAATTTTGCATTGCAATTTTTTTCTTGATTTAATCAAACGCCACAACGCTAATTTAACTACACATAGCCACCCACCCATACACATAGTATACTCGAACACAATCCCAATCCCATGCGATGTTAAATTTAAACAAATGAACTTGCAAGACACACAGCGAAATAACAGCGGCAACGACAAGCTCTAAAACGCAATACATTGCGTATACGTAATGTTGTACATTTTCATGTGGCTGTGATGAAGGAATGGAAAGAAAAGGGAAGAGATCGGGCGGAATGGGGAGCATTGTGCACAACGATTTGTTCGCTTGCTGGGAATTGTGGTGTGAGTTTAGCGCGTAGTTCATACGCGCCAGCCGCCTCAACAAAATGTACAAGCTACACTCGGTGCTTTGGGTATGCCTGTGCCTGGCTAGCTGCCTGGGCTTTGGCCAGTTCCATATGAAGCACTATCAGCTGCAACGAAACTATAATACTCCCGATGATTCCGGCGAGGATGACAATAGCGTATTACGTAAGTAGTTTTGAAAGGTTCGACCACCCGTGGTGCCTAATGCTGCTCAAAAAATATATTTTCACAGGCACCTATCGTCGCTGCATGTGGGAGCAGTCGAAGTTTTTGCCACGTCGCCTCGTCCTGCTTAGCCTGTGCTCGAATCTGTTCTGTGAGAACAACCAAATCATGCCGCGTTCCAGGTCTATTTTCGTAGTGGAAAAAATGTCTAGACCGAATGAGTAGTGCACACTTTTTAGTAGATCTTTTTATTACCTCATGACATTGAACCTACTAATTTGCCACGTTCTGGCTTCTCTGTCTCTTCTCTTCCCATCTTCTTTTTTGTTTGTGTGTGTGTGTGTATTCATTGCAGCTGCCTGGACATCTTGCCCGAGCAGTGCGAACAAGGCGATGAGGAGGAGCTGATGTACAAGCCTTTTCCCGACTGTTGTCCGGTCTACTGCAATCTGAAGCGCCGCATGCAACGTCTGCGCACCATGCACTTCCGGCATCGCATGCTGCGCAACATGCAGCAACAGCAGAAGGGCAGCGATGAGAGTGTGGGCAGCGCTCTGCTGAGTGAATTTGGCATCAACCACTACTAGACGTAGGCGTTATGTTAAGCCTTATTTTTTTTTGTTCCATGTTATGTTTTATGTACAAGTACTATAAGTCATATTTTTTATGGTATACGAGTGCTCGTATGTGTCCGGAATGTAAAGTTTTTCAAGGCGAGAATTATATTCGAACTTATTGTTTGAGGCAGCATATAACAAGGTGTACGTATAAGGAACACGAGTCCCTTATTGCTAAGTGGCACGCCTGCTTCTGTCTAGACGCTGCACAAATACTTGACAAACTAACTTGATAATGTTTGGCAAATTTGCTGCTGCAATTTCTTGGCCCAGCTCCGCAAAAATTTCATTCAAGCAGTGCAAGGATTGCGCCGTTGCCTTTGGGCTTTCATGGCAGCCGCAAAACTTTTCTGACTGCCTGCACTTGGGCGACAGTTGGCCACGGACGACAGTTCGCAGTTGGACTCTTGTCTGTGGGGGGGGGCATTGGGCGATGGGGTGCCAAGTGGCGTCAAGTGGCCGTGTCTGGTCGCCGTCAAGTTATTGCCGCTCAGGCTTACAAAATTGAGTGGCAATCCGTGCATATACGTATAGTCTTAGCTGCTCATTAGAAATGGGCGAGTCAATGGCTGGCCTGCTGGTGGTTGTGTCCTGTTTTCAATTATCCCCACGCTATTTGCATTTTTACCTTGGCTTTTTGCCTTTTAATTGCATATAGCTTTTGTCTTGGTGCCTTGCTTTATCATTTCCGGTCTACGCTTTAAACACACGCCACACCATCATCATTTTTTATATTTTATGCTATCGTCGCTTATCTTTTTAACACTTTTACGTGCCCAGGCAGCGCAACGCTTGCTGCCTGCGTCTGTCTTCATTTTTATCTGAAAACAAGCAATAAATTTTATTTTAATAAGCAACACTTTTGATAGCGTTGCACCACAGCCAGCGCCAAGCTGTGCAATGCTTCGCCCATTGTTGTTGCTGCTGTCGCACTGGGCCACTAGCTCTTCGCGTTGCAGCCTTATCCTTCCACCGCTGGATGTGCTGCTGCATGTGGCGCAGAAGTAAATACAAAAGATACTCAGCGTCATCAACGTAGCGGGCTCTACTGCCATAACATTGTGCCATGCCCAGTGGCGTCTCGGGGCGGGATACACCGACATTTCTGTGCAGCAGGGGTAGAAAGAAGCTGTAATCGCGAGAAAGAGTTGCCTACTTTCAGGCTGCGAAATAATCTTATGCCGATGGGGTGATGTGATATACATACTATATAGAAGTCTATAGATTCGATTCACTTAAAATTTGCGTTATTGTTTCCTTATTTCAGTGATTACTTAATTTGCGTAAAGTAAGCTTTTTACACTCAGTTGTTGCTCCATAAATGTTTAAATAATGCACATTGTTTAGATAAAGTACAAATAGCTTTAAATGAATGGGACCCAAATGATAAGGGAAAAGTAATCATGCTTATATACTAATTGCAGTCCACATACTCGTACGTATTAGGCTTATACATATAAGGCTGGTGACATTTCATTAACAAGATAAAGTTCTTTACATAAGCTCTGTGACGAATAGTGGATATTTGTATAACAAGGCTGCCAGTTCCCATTATAGGCACGCCAATGTCTCTGGCTGTGTGTCGCTGCCTAAAACCCCCAACCCTTTCATAAGCCCCCAACACAACTTACCAGCCGTCCTGCCTGCTTCGTTTACTTTGTGCGGCTATATCCTGCCGTTGCACTTCCTCTTGTTTCTTGAAGGTCTCTCTTATTTTTTTGTGTGTATTGTAAGCGCAGCATAAAGGCAGCTAGCTCATTGTGTTGATGTTGATGTTGGTGCCGTTGTTGTTGTTGTTGTTATGGTGGTGTGGCGCCTTGCCGGGCTGCCGGCCTGGCTGCGTTGTCCTGGTCGACAGAGCTGTCCTGGTCGTTGTTGTTGTTGTTTTTACTTTGTTGCACTTTGAAGATTATTGCACAATGCAATTTATATTTATCGTTCACTTTTAGTTGTTGCTGTTCCCTGTTCCCTGTTGTTTTTGTTTCATTTATGCTCGTACATATACATACATATGTTCGTGTGGGTGTGCGGCAAAGCGGGCTAAGGGGGTGTATGCGTGTATGTATGTATAAGTGTAGAGCTCCTGCCACTATCGTTGAGCGCTTATAGTTATGGCCCATCGTACAAACGTGCACATGTTGCTGCCTCTGGCATTGCTGGTTCTGGACTCTGGAGTCTAGACTGCAGCCCGCAACTTGTAACTGCCAACGAGCCATACGACTACCTATATACAAAGCCCATGGACATACATACATACATACATACATACATAGATATATGTATGGAAGCTTGCTGGTCCTTTATCTCTGCCTGTTTATGTTTTTCTTCTATTTTTCTACAGACAATGATTATGAAATGAAGAAATTCAATGCATTCTTAATAATGTTTGCGTTTTTATAACCATATATATATAAACAGACACCAATATGTATATGGGTATGCATACGTATAGTAAATATCTGTTTTATTTAAGCAGCTCTGAATGGATGTGTACGAGTATTTGTGTCAGTGTGTGTGTGTGTGTGTGTGTGTATTTATATAGTCTGTCTTTTTGATAGCGTGTAAATGTTTAAATTGCCAACAGTGATGTGTAAAGTGGCCGGACAATGATACTTGTTGAACAAACGTTGTGGTCGAGCAACTAAATGATATATTATGATAGCCATTAAATTCATTTTCCATTAGTTATTACTCGTGCGGTATACATTTTTTATGAAGAGCAATTGTTTACGTAATAAAGAGCTAGATTTCACATTAAATATGAGTGTGCTTTTATGATTTTTATGAGGCGTTGTCTTAGCCAATTATACGAGCTTATTTTACATCAGCCACTACAATTATTGCGGTATCAACTGGTACATAATTATCGTATGTTATGAGCATTGGAGCTTGCATTATTATTTAAAGGAGTTGGGTTAGTAAATTCCTAAGGTGATATTATAATTCATGTCACATACAACATTACAACTATTTAGAAACTCATTATCATTGTGTATTGCCATAGGAGCGGTATTTGCTGTCATAGCAGGGTTTATTTATTTATACCCGCTATTAAAAGGGTTAACATTAACTTTAAAATGATGTAGCAATTTATTTGATATTTATTGGAATAAATTTAACATTTTTCATTTATCTGGACGGTACTATTTTAGTCCCTCATTTAAGAATTTTACTTTTATTAAAAAAATGTATGCTTACATGAGCTAATATTCGAGTAGGTCTTCAGAATATCGTTCTTCTCCTTTAATAGAACAATTCGATTTTATTATGATATTTTTTATTTTTATGTTTTGGTAATAAATATTGTATATCAATAGTAGATTTATATCTACATTTGAAATAATTACCTACAAATGACAAATGAAATGAAAAATAATTGATTGATCTGAAGTATGTATTTACAAACTTTTGCTTTGTCATATCAGTTAACAATATTTAGCTCTCATTATGCTTCATTACTGCTTAATAAAAACACATAATGAAAAAGTTGAAATTGATTTAATTTAAATAATATATCTTGCACATCCACTAAAGAACAAATAGGGATTCACAATATAAATAGCCATGAAGACCGAGCCTTAAGCGTGTAACATTTAAATGAACGTTTTTTAAGCAAATTTAAATATAAATTTGAACAATGTTTTAATTTCAATTTTTAAATGGGTACTTTTTGATGGGATTTGGCTTTGCAGTTAATTATTAGACTAAATTTCGTTTTTATGCAATTATAATGGCAATTATAATGGCAGCAAAATGAACATTATTATGGAAAACCCAATGAAGAGAAAACGAGTTTTTTTGAAGAGCTTAACTTTGTTGGAGACATGGAACTCATTTAGTCACTTAAAGAATTCCTTCAGCGCATTGCTAGACATTTAAAAGTTGAAAACGAAAATTGAGTTCAAATGCAACAGCAACAACAATGACAACACAAGGCACAAAAGCAATACACAAAAGTAATATTAGAAGTTGTGTATGCTTTGCTGGTGGACATAGTGCGGACATAGTGGCACAATATTAATTAATTAACATTTTGACATCATCGCTCATTGCTGCACGTCAGCAGAGGAAACTGCAACTGCTGCATCGGCTTGGATTTTGACTTGGATCCGGAACGTCTAGGATTTTACGAGCATTGTTCGCTGCCAGCGTTCCGTTTCAGCGCGCAATTACATTGTTGGAATCTCAGTTGCAGAGATGATGATGGGGACATAAAGCTGCAATCTGTATTTAGCAGAAATCTGTACTTCATTTCGACGTTTTAGCTTTACGTGTTTATAACATGAGAGTATAACAAGCAAAGCAAAATGTTGACTAATTAAAAATTTTGTTCTTGCCTGTTGCAATTTTACGATTTTACTTAAGTTTTATTGTTATTGCACTTTATTGTTGTAGAAGCTCTGTGATTGCAGATGCCACTCTTAATGAATAGGATTTGGATTCGAGCCGAAGCTGGAGCTACGCAAGTCTGTGGCATTAGTTCAAGATTTTCATTGAACTGTTGCGATAGTAAAGAATTGCTTTTTAATTCCTAGCAGTTGTTACATTGCATATACTTACTATATACGAGTATTTTAATCACTGTAATTTGAGTTTGTTCATTTTTAATTGAACATATTCACAATTTTTGTATAAATAAATTGAATACAAATAATAAAACTATTGAATGAGTTTTACCCGAAGGGTACAGGTATACCAGAAGATGATTCGATAAAGACGTGTCTGTGCCTGTCTGCTCGTTCGTTCGGACGAACTGCGAAGCTTATGAACTAGCATAGAAAGGGGGCTGGCCCAACTTTAATGGTATATTCGTTAAAATTGAATGTTTTATTCCAAGAAAACACTGCTTAATTTAATTTTAAAGATCAAATTTATTTTATCATTAAAAAAAGAAACAACTTGTTTTGGTTTACAAATAGGACGAATATAAATAAATATGAATATGAATAAAAATTGAAATCGATGTTCAATTGCAAAAACTAAGTGGGAAAAAGTTAAAAATATTCTAACTTAATAATTGTAGTTACTAAAAATCTATCGAACAATAAGCTTAATTTTCCCCGCCAAAATAGTTAGTTTTCGTTCTTTACAGAACTTTTCAAAGCCACGCGCTCATAAAGACTTTTTAGCTTTATCGGCCCGTTGAAATAAGGTTACGTCGTAGATTTGTTGTCATTTGGCTAAGAACCAGTTCAGTGTAGCTATATTATTATTTTAAAAACACTTAAGCATGGTTTGTATTTGCTGTCCGATTTGGACACTCAAAAAAAAATTAAATAAAAAATAACAAACTCGATTAAAGGCAGGAATAACACACAAAGTTTATTAGAGATCTCGCTTTTTAAGCTCAACAGCCCATTTTAGTGAGCGCATCCGCTGCTGCTAGCCCCATTTCATGCTCGCTGGAACCCTCAGGCTCCAATAAAAGGATATCACGACTTTCGCGCAGCATTTTGACGACTTCCTTGAGTTTGCGTTGAAAATCTTGACGTTGTATTTGGCCATTTTGTATTGCATGTTGGGCGAGCACCATAATCGGCGCATGCAACTCGTACATAATGAGACCTGAAATCATATTATTAATAGATGTTGTAGTTCTATTATTATTAAAGGTCGGTTTCACGACTCACCGCGCAATCGCGTCAGTCCGGGTTCAAGCACATCGATTACCTCAAGAAACTCGCGACAATAGCGCTCCTTGCGCTCAATATCCTCCAAGGACATTTGAGGCAGTAAGTAACCCTCGATACGACCATAGATTTGGCATAGGGAGTATTTTGCAGAAAGCAAAAGATAATGATTTGGCCGCAAGATTTCACGGTAGCTGTGCGCAGTAGGTGGGGAGTGTGATTTGGTTGAGGAATAGTGTTTGGTTAGCATTAAATACTATACTTATAAGGTATGCTGAGACATTTTATGCAAATATCATACCTACCGCATACAATTTTAAATTGGTTTTGAACATTGTGAGATTGTTACAACGTCAAAGATATCTGCAAAAACGTCGTTTATATATACTATTATTCCTTATTTATTCATTCGAATGTTCAATTAGGAATTTTAGTATTGGAAAGAAAATGGTAAGGAATGTGCTTCCATAAACATTTGGTCATCACTAGCTACAAATTATATATAAAATCCATTCGAGTCTGGTTTATGGATTTTAAAAGATGTTATTTTTCAGGAGAAGCAATTTCAGATTTTAAGATTTTAATTTTAAGAGTTCAAACTGGTTTTCTTTTTGCCCATGTATAATGAATTTTTAGTAAATCATTTCATATCAGAAATAAAGCTAGCTTCAACTGAACGTGTAAATGTTTTGTTCGTGTTAATATTATAGACTCTTTATGGTTATTTTAATTATGGGGCGGCTATAAATAGTTCAATCTATTTTTTAAAATGCACAATGGCATTACTTTTTTGGTTATATTGTTTTACTACACCTCCAATTTTTTTCTATCGCCCAATCTCACAAAGTTGCCAATTTGTTGTTTTTTTTGTTGTTTTATTCATACAAACCGTTTCAGAAAGTTCTCGAGCCCCGGAATATCATGTACATCGATTGACTCCAGATCATTGTTGATGCGATCTAGCAAACGCACCAGCTGAGTCGCGCTTAAGCGATAATCGCAGCGATCGCAACTAAGCAGGGAGGTTTCATTAGATCAGTTCCTGCCACAGATATAGTCCCGATATGTATTATATACTCGCACATATCTATACTTACGTCCAATCCGCGTCCTGATCGAGGGGCTTTGCCGCCCTCACAGTACCCGCCTTGCAGCCCCCACATATCAGGGCACTACAATCGGTGCCCAACTCCCGAGGATCGGCACAGCGCTGACACTGACACCAAAACAATTTGCCATCGTGCATAAAGTCGCGTCGCTTCAGTGTGCCCTGTAGCGTATACGCATAGCTGAGCGTGAGGGCCTCGTGCTCGCGCACGCGCCTCGAAGTGCGCAAATAGATGGCGAACGATCGGGGATCGTCCGTGTGCGCCGTGTTCGGGCTACAGTCGTGCGCGAGCAGGAAAGCGCTCGGATATAGCGTACGCGCCTTTGCGCCATTCTGGCCAATCTCGAAGCAGTTGACATCTAGGATGCCGCAGATCTGGTGCAGCTCATCAGCGCTGATCGTTTCGCTCAGTTGCCAGCTCTCGCGCAATCGATGCACCACCTTCTCTTCGTAATGCTGCCACAGTACGGCATTGTGACGACGTTCCTCCGTGTGCGACTCCATGCGCTCGATCAGCACGTACTGCGCCGGCGCATGCGTCCGCAGCAGCAAAATGCGAACGATCACTACCAGTTCATAGAGATCCCTGATGTCAATGGGTGCAGCTCTTTGATGTAACTGATCGGCAGCCTGGGGGCGTCGTTTGGTATATAATGCACACTCCTCGGTACTGTGACCATTACTCTGTCCCAGCCCCACACAACTGGGTCCGCACAAGGGCCAAGCACAGCTTGGACAACGATATTGTGCAGCTGACAATGTCACCGGCTTGTAGCAACCCAGACAAACAGGATCGGCAGAGACGCAGGGACCAATCACTAGTGGTGGCTCCGTGATGAGAAGTTCGCCAGGTTTCAGCTCCCGATTGGCCACCAGATAACGGCCATAGATGTCCGAGTGAGCAATGCGGTAGGCAGGTGGTGTCGTCTCCTCATCCTGTGACTGCGGCAGTTCCTGCTCCTGTGGTTGCTTCTGATGCAGCTGGTGCTGCGGCTGTTGGTGGTGTTTCTTCTTGGCTTTGTGCTGCCCGAGAAAAACAAGAATCTCATTAGTGATGCTGCCCTGCTAATTGTATTCTAATTGCTGCCCAGCAGACGCTTGCGACCTCATCTCATTAATCACACGAGGCTATGGCCCCAGCTTCGGCTTGGTCCTGGCCTGTCAACTGCTCCACGACTCGTTTGGCTGTTGACAATTAAAAAGCGTTTAACATAGCTGCCTGTCGCTGCCTGGGCTACCCATCAACAGGTGGCGTTTAAGAGTCCCCCACTCTAGATACGTGCACATACTCGTATATTCTTTTCTAAATCTTAGCCCACTCGTTACTGCTAGTCTCCTGCAATTTGGCAAACAAGCGTTTGGCATTTGGACGTTTTAAATGCCTTTTAAGCAAGAAACATCGTTTTTATGTTCGAGCAAAATAAAAAATAAAACATCAAGAAAAGCATGCATATAGCTATAATTTTATTTATAAATCTTTGTGGACATGGTTCTCTCATCTACTTGAAATCTGTTTCTCACACGTTCGTTGTTATAAATAAAACACATCAATGCTGCTGCCGCCGCCCATCCAACTGCACAGTGGGGAATATTCTCACTGCTCTTATTGGAAATTTATTTTGCTTTTGAAAAAAGTATTGGACAAATACAGAAGCGTTAAATTTATGGCTAAACAGCAGCTGTTTTTTTAATATTTATCCCTGTTTGTGTGGGTATGCTTTATATGTAAAATAAACGAAAATGCTTGAAACTATTTGATTGGCTATTTGTTATTGTCGGAACAATAAAATAAAGCCGAAAATGTTCAGCTTGTTAGAACATGTTTAATAACAATATGTGGTTTGGAAATACATTCTGGCTACCACAGAAATAATATTTTTTATTCTTGAATGGATAATTTGGAAACGACGAATATTACTAAATAGATATACTTAGTTTACTACTAACATAATAGGGTCTAGTTCAATCGTTTTCCGTTTTAATTTTTAGTGGTAAAATAATTATTTAAAACACTTAGTGCATTGATTTTCTGACATAATTTATAAGTAAGCTGATGAATAGCTTTTGTATTCTACATACTAGCATGTCTTCCAACTGTTGATATTTTTGTAGATTTAAACTATTTGCTTGCGAAAACTTAATACTAATAAGTATAAAGATATTTTATTTCAGTTAGCAAGTCATGTCAGTTTTAAATGCAATTCATGGTAATTGTAATATCAAGAATAGGACCACTGTTCAATGCTTGACTGTCTGCCGCCTGACTGACTAAAAGCAAAATCTGTGGTAACAAAAACAAAACAACCGAAAGCCAAGATAGCCGTCCGTCGACAGCCGGCGGCCAAAATAGCCCAGAAGAGCAACTGGGGCGACGGCAGTGAGTGTGGCTACTGCGGCCATTGTGGCAGTGTCTCCCATAATGCCCCCCACGACTTGATTGCGAGCCACCGTCCAACTGGTGGTTGTGTGGCATTTTTATACGTTTTCATGAGTTTAATTGCACAAAATTTACGCATTTTAATGAGCCACGCAAGCAACATTTGCTGGCAGGCTGACCGCCCCCGACCCGCCATAGCTTTACTTTGTTTTCATTTTAATTTTATATAAATTTTATATTTTGTGCTCTGCATTTTATTTGTCATGTAATTAAATGCAGTCCTTTACAGGTATTTACATTTTTTGTATAAATTAATTTTTAATTATATTGCCAAAAGCACCAACACGACCGCCATTGCGCCGGCCAACAACAAGCATCAACCCAAAGACCGCTGTACATATCCCATTCCTGCACCAATGCCCAAGCCCAAGCCCATTACAATACCCACGCTCATGCCCATGCCCATGCCCATGCCCAAGCCCACGCCCAGTTGATTTCCATGTGGCTCGCTTGTCGCTGGTGTTTACATTTTTTCTTGCGGGCATTTTTCCGATGTCGTTGGCGGCAATTGATTTTTTAATTGATAACTTTATACACGGTGCATGGATAATTTAAAGCTCATTTAATAGTTTTTCATTAACAGCTTGCGTTCAAACGCTTATTTAATTGTGCTTGTAATTAATAAAAAATGATTAAATCACGCGTATTCAGCGGCCGCGTGTCACGCGCTGTTCAGGCCCCGACGCACAGATTGCAACTGTCTCGGTTTTTGTCGTCGCTGGCGTCATTGGCGCGTGCTCAACGGAGACCTATGTATGGGACGCACGTTCCCCTACACATACTTGTATATACATACTTACATAAATAAATACACACATGCAATACGTTCTTGTACGCACACAAACACACACACTCACATGCAGAGACTCTGTAGACACACGCCCAAGTGAATGTTGGCAAGTGATTTCGACATATTTATAAATTTATAATATCAAAAACAATTTGGCAACCAAAAACTTTGTAAACATTTCTGATGATGACGATCTGATGCGCTTGAGGTCGAGGCTTTTGCGATAGCGCTGTCAATGCCATCGACAAAAGTTTGGCTATGGCCAACACTGTGGGATAGGTGTGGAAAGGCTGTGCAACAAAGGGAAGAAAGGATGTCAACATTGTGAGACTATTTCCTTCATTATAGGAATTGAGACTGAGACTGCACTCGATGTGTAAACTGTACACTGAGCGTTTAAAACAGAGCATTAGAAAGTTTAAAAGAGTGTGTAGTTTGAAATTGTTGTTTATAAAATTAAATAGTTCCGGCATTCGATGTGTAAGAAATTGCCATTGTAATTCGATTTAATTTATTTGAAAAAATGCAGGCTAGATGATGGGAACTAGTAAATATTTTTTCATATTTTTTGTGACCAGAATAGGATGTTTTTCAAAGTAGTGTCACAAGCTTTAATAAAATTAATTATTTAAGTTTCCTTCAATGACTTAAAAACTACTTTACTGCCTCGTTGTCCAGAAACTAATAATTTGTTAACATTTTTAACATCTACGACTAATTGTTGCATGATGATGTACGTGGAAATATAGCATAATCGTTAATCGTTTCGTTGTTAAAATATATTCAATTAATTTCTGCTGGTTTTGTGCTACTACACAGGCAGAAATGATACATAGCAATTAAAATTGTCTCCATTTATATATGTGTGTACAAGTATATTGCTTGCGCACAAGTTTGAACATATTTTATGCACAATTCCATTTTGTGACATGTCAAAAATTGTAAGCAGCGGCATAGCATTGTCATTCTGCTCAACATGTGCGAGCATTTGCGAACGAGCATTTCAATTAGTAGTCAAATGCTCGCGGCTATATTGTTAGCTGGTTGCAGTTGTCGTGTCTCTCCCGACGTGTAGTGCAGTTTTAATTGTTGGCATTACAATTGCCCGCGGGTAACAACCACAGCAACACCAACAAAACTTTGTCAGCAGTCAGTCAGATCGGCACCCACACTCACAGCAGCATTCGTAGCCGCGCCCGCACCCGCACCCGCCATTCAGGGCGAGCAACAAAGAAGCAACGCATTTGGGTGTCGCTTTTGATGATTTCACGCGCGCGCTGCCTAAAAGTATGCAGTGAAAGCTGCTCGCAAGCAGTGCCATAGGCAACAAGAGAGGGGCAGAACACAACGCAACAAAACACACACATATCCACACACTCGCAAACAAACACACACACCATTTGCACAACTCGCGCTTTGTTTATTATCTAGAGCGGAAACTATGAGTTATTTTTTTTTTTTCTTTAGCACGTCTACAATGTGAACGCCTAGAGACGGACAAAGTGCCGCGCAACAATTTTGCACGCTGGGCAAGGCTTGGGGTCACATTGGCAGTTGCCCGACACCAGCCCGACACCAGTTCCAGCAGCACCAGCTGCATGCAACTACAACTATAGCTCGTAGCTGTGTAGCACCGGGCCGCGAGCAATGGCCACGCCAGAAGTTGGTGTATCCGACAAATATTTGCAAGTCAAGTTACCATTGGCGTAGAAGTGCGCCAGCGATGGCATCAGCAGGAGCAGGCAACGCGTCTGATGCGCCAACGCACAGTGGCCCTAAATTAAGTGCAGATAAAAAGTTAATCACACACATTTCTTCGAAAGAGTGAAATGCTTTAATATACATTAATAGGAAGAGAAACAAACCAAGCTAAGTTGTAATCGTGTGCGTTCATTAGGGCCCGCAAACTTAGTTCCCTACTAAAGTGTTTTCATTCGAAAGCATTTAATACATATTTTGGATTTTCTTACCAATGGTCACCAAACGGCATATGTTTATATACAAAATAAGGTTAAGCACTTTGGGGTTTTCATGTACTAGTTAGCAGGGGTTGACCGATTGAACGAAATGTTTATTTGTATTATTAAAAAAATAAAAACTATAAACGAAAAATTTTTGATTAAATATGAAAAATCTGATAAGCAGTTTCTTCATGTAATGAACTCTTTTTGTGTGGGCCCAGTGCATTCAGTTGGTCTTTTTTAAAATGCAGTATCTGGCATCTACTTATTTTCAGTTTCACGTTTTTCAAATAGTGCTTCATAGGTAGTTGGTACATCGATAGTCTGTAAAATAGATGAAGAAGCTAAGTTGCATTCATCAATGGGAAATCGGCTCAAACCACCTTCTCAGAACTCTCGTCAGTTTCAAAAATCATTTCAGCCTCAACATCCCCAATACGAAGGCGTACCACACCATCCTCATTTGCATCTCTTTGCGTTAATTCCTGTACTCTCACCTCACGCCCATTCACAAAAATACGACCCATTAAGGTCACAACATCTACTTCGCCATTGCGTACACAATGGATAACGGCGTGATCCTGCTCGATGCTCTGCCAAACTTAGATCGGTGCATTAATGTGAACACAAATAATTTGAACTCTTACCTCATGCTGTAGACAGAATTCGTAGTGTTGACGAGTTCCTATATAGTATTTGTTGTATGTCTGCAGCTCCACTGCTGGTAGACCATTTATGCTAAAGCGTACACGTACTACCATGGCGGATCGTGACTAAAATTAAATGCGAGTCTTTAGAGTCTTACTTAGTAACGCTGAATATGTAAGCTCTACTTACATGCGTGACTTTTTCTCAACTGTGTAATTTAAAAAGGCAAGTGCCAGGTCGAAATATTTGTCAAAGCACACTAGGTTGCCCAGAAATGTATTTTTTTGGTACTAACAATAATAATTAACATCAACAATTCCAGACATCATCTCCTTTATCACACATACACATATTTTATTGTATGACTAGTTAATAGCTACTGTTTCTTTATATAGTTCAGTGTACATTTCCTTGGCAGATATACTCGTACAGAAATGTTCGAATTCGTTGCGAGTTTAAATGTGACATTATTAATTTCCTTTAACTTCAGGCAACTTGTCTTCGTCCACTGTGCGATGTCTGCTGACGTTGTTGATGAGTTTCGATGTCAGCATAAACGTCACTCAGCGTGTCTACCCCTCTGCCCATTGTCTGTCTGTCCACCCGTCTGCGCCTGGAATATATGCAACTGTGTCAACGTGTGATTGCTGCAGACGTCGCTACTGCCGCTGCCTTTAGACATTTTTTTAATGGGGACACCCGCCCATATACACACCCACACACAGCACACATGCACTGAGCTGAACGGTGGAATGTTGGAAGTCCAAGCACCTTGCATGGCAATTGTAAGCCAGTCAGTTGGCAAGAATTTAGCGTTGCACGAGACGGCTGATGTGCCGCCTATTGCTTAGTTTCCCTTCTATAAATGTATTATGCAAGCAGCAGCTGGAATTGCTGCTCAACATTAACTTGGCTTAATTGCTTATTGGCCTCAGGTAATGTGCCACAATTTACACACAGACACAGACACTATATACTTGTATATGGTGGATGTGCTGCTTATTTACTGAGCCGTTTCGCTTTGCTCAAAAAGAGTAAAAGTTCGCTTAATTGCATTGGCCTGGAAGCAGCAACATGTTGTGCTCAATAATTTAGCATACATTGGGGCGTCTCTCATGGGCTGTCATTCGGTAACCAAAATCAACGTCAACATCACCATCGCTATCGCCATATGTCATGAATGTGCACAACCCTAATGCTCGGAGATTTGAGTAAAAGGCAACTAATTTCATGTGTATATTTATTGAAGTTAGTTGATTTCCATGCATTTACGATTCGTATGTATGTAAATATATTGTGTGTACATAGTTAAATTAAGGAAATGAGATTTCAGCAACGCGATCCAGCACGCCAAAAATAGGCTCATTATATTCCGCAACACAGCGAGGTACCATCGTTGAAATCTTTCCCACAATGCCACGCTGAAAACATAGCCACCTTTCCAGTCTGAGACCAGATATGCTCGGTTGACGCTGTGCATATAGAGTGTATATATATAATTCACTTAGGGTTATGCCTCCTACTTATAGAGAACAGCGAATTGTCTTCGTATTAAAAATTTAATAATGTTGCTGTGCATTTTGTATTTTTGGGTAGCTTTTTCATTGCATCGCAAATAATATAGATTGTCGGCTGTGGATGAGATGAAAAATTACCATTATAATATTAATATACAGGATACAGATACAGGAGCAAAATTTAGGAGAACAATATTTACCTATATTTAAAATGTTCGCCAACATTAGTGTGTATTTATTAAATAGTGATATATATCTATATGATGCTTTGGTCATTAAGACGCTTCCGATGATATCGAACTGGTTACCTGAGCATTATATTGATTGATGGTTCTTAAATTTATAGTGTTGTTTTGGCTTGAGAATTACGACACATTAATTATATGGGAAGTTCTGCATAATATTGGGACTCACCAGCGGCCCATTAACCGATTTATCAAATTGATTTCCTTGTATAGAGTGTGCTTATTAAAGGTGTTGATCTTTGTTTTTAGACTTGTGTATTATACGTATACTATATTTCATTGCTGTGTGATCTGAAAATGGGGTTAAATGTCGCTGATAAGTAGGTAAGGGATTTTTTATGCATACTGAAATAAAATCCTACCATCTGCCTACTAACCAGTTAATAAAAATATAGTTTTTATAGTCCTTGTTCTTGCTCTTGTGATTTCTGCGTGTTCTTAGATTTATATATAAATTAATTATAACACCGTTTGATCTGAAAAGGAACAGGGTTAAATAGTCAATGAAATATTTCGTTTAAGCAACTTACCATCTGCCCAATAACCCGTACTTTAATTCGGTATTTCTGTACAATTAATTCTGTTTCTATGTTATTTTTACCATTAATTAATGCATCTGTAGATGATATAGAGATGATATATTGTTTATCAAAAATACAAATTAATCATTTTTCGAGATAAGCTTACCAGTTCGTTATGCCATTTGTCATGATGGTATTCTATTTTTGTAGATGTGTTGTTCTTGTTCTGCTCAGTATAAAGGTTTGTAGTTTCTTTTCGCAACTTGCATTTGCTCGTAGTGGCTGCGATGAGATTGGAAAATTATATTAATTACCTGCTTAAGATTGAATATTTACACACTTATTGTATTCAATTTTTAGGTGCTCTTTCTTTTTTTATGGAACTGTGTCTTGATTATTTTTATGTACTCCTCATTTTTGTACATATGCCATGCAAAAGTGGCTATGGATGATATATATATAAATGTATAAATATAATTATACATGGTATCTATTAATAATAATAATAATATACCGACATATATTTCTGTGTTCTTATGGATCTATAAGTATCTTTACTTCCGTTGCAAAGGATGCTAGAGAAAATTGTGATATAATTAAATTCGTAAAGAATAAAGCTTAGTATTTACATGAACAAGATTTTCTAAGAATAAATACATAAAATTATGGTGACGTTTGGCAAGGAACGGCTTAAGATTCTACAAGTATGTATTAAGAAATATTTGGTGAATCTTCTGTTAATGGTTGGAGTTATAAATAAAATACACTTACAAGATTCCCAAAGAATAATTACCTATTCTTTAATTTGAAGTAAAAATATGTATATGTTGTGTCTTCTTTTCATTTGCCATCATACACTTAGAAATTAAATAGGCACCGGTAGGTATGTTTTACAGCGGATGGCATTGTCATGATTATTTTAAATTCTGTTTTATTTGTCATATGTATCATTAAATTGGACTAAAGCTGAAATAAAGAATTTGCGTTGTAAAAAATCTGTTAAGCCTTGATTTATGAAACTTACCAGTTGATTGCTTTCCATTTAAAATGATTTGGAAAAGCATTTCCTTTTCTTTGCTGAATGTATGTACTAGTATTGTGTTGTCTGTTTTGAGATTAAATTTAAATAATGACAAATTTAGTATTGGCACGAAATAGGAGCACTTTCCAGATAGGGTTTGTCTAATTTGAATTTAACTTACCGTGTTTGTATGTTTAGCTTTTGAAATGTTATCCGTGGCTGTATCTCACTCATTGTGTTGTGTTGATATATTTGCAATGCACCAAAACTTTTTTTTTTTTTTTTTTTAGCTGCAGCTCGGATTTCGAGTGGAGAATAGATTCCAAAATGTATTTCGATCTAACCAGTGGTTTCTTCGTCAACTGCAAAAGAGAATTGACCATTTTTATTTTGAAGAGTTAAATACTTCCAGCCCGACTCTTTTTCCCGCTACAGTAAACCAATCATTTCTATTTCAGTTATGTAAGTTTGGCAGCTATATACAAAAGTAAAGCTATATAGAATATGGCATGCCAAAAATGAACTCTGCCTATGGATAAGACAAGCTTGGTTTCCCCAGACAGACATGTCCATATCGTTTCGTCTTGCTATCATAAATCGACATACATATAACATGGGGTCTCCCACGCCTCTTTCTGTCTGTGAAAAGCATGTGGCGTTCAGACTTCGTAGCATACCCTTTAATTGTCGGGTACTTGGAATAAAGATTTAGATTCGCATTAGTTCGCCCACAGCGTTGACAGATTTAAATGTCATTTACAAATGACTTTTAAATGACATGACATTACATTTTTTCGACCGGACAGTTTTATGGTTCAATTGTTTCACAGTTTTAAAAACATTGTGAAAATTGAAGAAGAAAAGATTAACCGGAAGAATATTATCTTAAAATCTACACTTGTTACGTTAGCCATATTATTAACTTTTATGCTTTTATGAAAACCGAGAAAGTTATAGACACTGATCAGCAGGTAAAATAAGACAGATTATCTGAACAGGAAGTGCACTCATGTTTTGGAAACTTACCGGATAATTGCGTCACAAAATTGTATCACTTGTTCACCTTCCGAAAGAAACTACTTTACTGGAATTTTTGCTTTAATAAAACGTATAACTTTTCTACTTTTAAATTTTTTTTCACTAAATAATTTTTTTGCTCCGTTCAGCTGGAGCTCCGGGGGCAGACTGAAATTTTTACTAGGTGACGTACTCGTATATATGTGTTTTACAGCGCCTACTGCTTTACAAAATATTGTTTTACACAGCCTACTACTTTGGAATGTTTTCAGATTTCGTTTGAAAAAGAAGCCAGACCTATTTACACAAACTCCGCACAACACGTAAAATTTTGTGGTTTTTATTTCAATATTTAATTCACTTGAAAATTTGTTCTTCGTTTAGCTCGAGCTCCGACTGTAGACTGAATTCTGAAATCATATTTTTAGGATCCTTTTGTTTTTTAACGCCTACTGCGCTCTTGTATGTTATAAAATCTGTAAGAACTGGCAAAAACATTTGATTGAAATGTGTAGATGGCAACGATAAAAGCGTTATCGGTACCATGCAAATGGAACAAGGAACAATGGAACAATTTTAAATTGATTAAGAACCTTATTGAGCTCCTTATGTTGCTTATCGACTGCATCTCTCCTAAGAAAATGGTGGACAATTTTCGTTAAGCTGTTCGTTTTCAAAATATGGATGTAATTTCCATAAGTTTCTGACATAGACAATTCGAATATAGAAAATGGTTATGTCTGGTATCGGTTAGATTTTGTGCAGTTCCTCTTGAAAAAACCACATTAAAACCCTTCTGTGTTTTTGGAAACAAAGGTATCAGCTGCTGCTGAGTAAAAAAAGTAAAGGTATTCCAGAAATTGCAGACAAAACTGGAACTAAAACTGGAAATTATTTTGATTCCGCACTTCGAACAGCTTATACAACTCTACATAATTATTGGTCACATTGCTCACTGTTCTCTGTATCGTTTTCATAGATATTTATTGCAAAAGGAATGGGTCTATCATGAATTTTAGTTTATCTTGCAAGGAAAATTGTATGTGTCTAAGCAGTGTTGAAGTCATTTTAAATTATACGTATTGTAATCTTGATGCGCAGCTTGTCAAAAAGGAAATCGACAACACGAATTCGATTACCATCTCCTCCACATGTTGAAATAAAATAAGTGGAATATTTCAAGGCACATTGATAAGCTAACTAGAAGTGAAGAATTATCGATGGAACAATCTATGCTTGGGCGAACTGTCTATAGAACAGTCATCGAGCTCCCCTGCGCTATCGATAATTTTGCAAAGTCATCAAGGTAAGGGAGATGGGTAGTCACATTAATCGTGGCAGCGCCATCACATTTCTAAAACGACGGAGTCCAGCATCTGCAAAACATAATTGTATTACAAGATGAAACGTTGATGCATCGATTTCAGCTCTAGTATGAAAGTAAAGGGCTTTTTGGTTTCGACATCATTTGCATTGGATTGCAGGGCTAGGGAGCCCCAAAGAAACTCACCATAGTTGCATGCCACAAGCCGCGTGTGGACATGTTGACAGACTCCAACCGGCTTTTGTGCGTCAAGCTAAAAGGAAATCCCGCTGAAAACAAACAGCACAATGCATTGCACGTGCCACTCACACACACACACTCAATGGCACATACACTCTCACACACTCAAAGCCACATACACTTACTTACACACATGTGAAGCTGCTCACAGCGAGCATACACGAGACAAAAACGAAGTTGTCGACGACGACAATGTCGATGACGATGGCAGCCTTTCGGCCCCCTGCCAGTGTTGGCAATTCATGAGCGTTGCAAAAAGCTAGATGAGCAATTGAAACAAGCTAGAAATGCTAAATAAAATCCAGGCCAGTCAGAGAAGTTGACTTTTAGGAACTTCAAAGGTATTGTTATAAGTTGAAAGATTTTCAAGCAAGCATTTCGTTCCAAAGACTGCTGTATGATATATTGGCCTGGTGAAGTCAGTCGGCATAGGCTGGGTAGCTATAGAGGGTCCTTTTTAAAATATTTTATTAGTTTAATTAATATAATTTAATTAATGTAAATTTAAACAAATGTGGCAAAAAAAAGGCCTGGTCATAGTTGTTTTACTATTTAATTTAATTTAAGTTATCTAGATAAATATATGTAGTACCATAGAAAGCAGAAGGCTTGAAATTGTTTTCTATATTATTCTATTATACTATTATTAAATTTTTCCGTTGTCAGCATTGGGCAACTCTAGAGCTAGCGGGAAAAAGGCTGCACTGGCAACGCTGCTGACTGGCGCGGCCTTTGGGCACTTGGACTCTTGGCGCTTTATAAACTCACCACACGACCAGCAGCTGGCACAGTCGTCGACCGGCTTTCGCAGCGAGCGGACTTGTCGCGGAGTGTAAACGGGAGCGTAAGCGAACCAAAAACAGCGTAAATAGTGAAATAACGTAAGCAAAAGTTGCCAAACAGCACGTGCAGCCGTGTCCTCCTGTGGATGTTGGCGTCAGACGTTTTCGCGGTTATTGGATTTTACTTTTTTTGTTTTTGGTTTAGGGCGGAGGCGGCCAGTTGTTTATTTACTTTTTTTGAAATTTTTTTAAAGTGAAACTGAAACCGCTTTTGGCTTTGGCGCTAAATCGTGTGCCAGCGTGTGCGAAAAAGAGTGAAAAGAGTTATTAATCATTAAAGGACATTTATGTCGCATGGTGTCGCATTCCAGCACATCACACACACACCAAGGCACACACCCACACATATGCACAATGGCCGCTTGTCAGTTGTAAATTTAGTTACGAGTATTTCTTGTGTGTTTTTTTTTTTTTTTTGGGTAACCTCAGGCTTATGGGACGCTCAAAAACCCACAGAATAATTTATTTACATTTATGTGACAGCCAGCGTTGTGCATTATTCTTGTTATTTAAAGACATATAGTGGTATATTCACAATTTGGATGCAAATTGTTGCGTGCCACAAAAAATAGGCATTGAAGTCGCGAAAATATCGAGGACAATTGTCAAACGGTGTTCTTTGTTCTGTCTCAGGCCAGAGTAGTGCATCATAATTCGTTTAATCAGCGAATATTTAATGATAGTGAGTTTATAAGTAATTTAGAGTGATTTCTTTAATATTGTGATTCAACAATACTGACTATTCGTACATTTTTGAAACATATGTATCAACAATTTGCTAATAATAACATTGCAAAATTGACGTTTGCAACTCGAACATACACTTTTTTGACATTATACATTTGAGATTACAAATTGTCAGATTCTAATAATATTGCGTTCTTAAACTTAAATAAAAAATGCCAATTGAAGCGATAAAATAGTACTTTTAAGTGTTACCCCTTCGCTTCCTGTGAAAAACTACTTAACTTCTTAAAATATGCCCTTCTTTTTCCAACCTTAATAGAATATTGAAACAAAATTGAAACAAATAATGGAATCTTATTTTATTAGGTAAATTTATTAATTTTGTTAACAACAATTTTTAAAACTAATGCAGTGTACACATCAAATTTTCAGCTCTAAAGTTTTTAGCTTTCAGATTTGTTCTATAATCTTCATAAAATTGATATTATTTTTTTGCGCTTATGACTTTGTTTTAGCTACAATAACCGAAATTTACTTTGCACATTAACACGCCCTAAATATTAAATTTATGTGGCGTAGGCAAACTTTCTAATTTATTTAGTTGGTGCTGGTCATCAACTGATAATTGGCAACACCAACTAAATTAAACTGTAAATATTATTACAGAAATTATTCATTATGTATTTATAAGAGTTGTAGACTTGTCTTAAAGTTTCCAGGAGTTTTGCATTTGCGCATTCATGGTTACATTTACTTGTTAAATAACGAAGTAATTTTCAAAACTTATTCACTTGGATTGCGCATTCACTTGACTGTCACCTCATATTCAATATTGGCCTCGTTTATTCAAGTTTATTAAGCATCAAGTGAGTAAGTGACTGCCACTTTGAGCCTTAAGTCTTGTACTGCTACTGTTCCTGCTGCTTCCACTTCTTGCTCCCCATCATGGGAGCTAGCCCGCCGACCGCTTTCAGTTCGTTTTGTATTAGGAACCATGCTCAGCCCTTTGGCGTCGCTGTTAATAATGATTTCCACCGTCTTGCGATTCGATTCGGTCGGCCTTTCTGTGGGACGTCGACGTCTCGGCGCTATTCGCGACGATTTATGAAAATTGAAGTCTTTGTTTTATGCGCTTGACGATGGCAACGTGACGATGGCACTGTGTGGGGCACTTGTTCAATATTTTATGCAAAGCAGCCAGCAACGGATTCATCGCAGCTAACCCGCCCAAGTCACTTCCACTTCTTTTCGTTTTTGCAACCTTACTACCGCACAGGTGGAAATGTTGGCAGTGCCATTGATTCACAGTCGACCCGTTGCTCCGCTCACTTTGTCGCAGTCGCAGTCGTAGTCGCATTCTCAGTCTCAGGTCCCGGCCAAATGCCATACGACCTACTTTGATTTCGTTTGCCATGTTTAGAGTTCATATTTTTGCCTCGATTTTTATGTGTTTGCACAAATGCCTTTGTTGGCTTCGATTTGCAGCAGAGAGTCCTCCAACCATGCTGCCATCAGTTTTGGAGTTAGCACCGCAGGCGAGGCAGGCACACAATTGCCATAATTCAATTTTAGTTTTAATTTCCGCTCTTTGGCGTAAATTACATTCGCTTGCAATATATTCAATGCTTGTGTGTGTGTGTGTATAGGATTGTGTCTGTATGTGTGTGTGTGTGCAAATCTGGTTTGCAAAGCGGTTTTGGTTTAATCTTTTGTAAACCAAATCTATTTGTGGAGCATCCAATAATATTAAGTTGTGATCGCAGCTAACCAAACTTTAACAAAACCTTAAAATAAAGGAAAATGTCCGCTTTGAAAATGTCGCGTTCAAAACCAACGAAAACCCAATCCATATACTTTTATCTACATGCCGGACTACTCGTGCTCATTGGCTGCCTCGATCAGTTGCCAAGAGTTGCGGCAGGATCGTGCCGCGAGGCTCAACTCTGTTGCAATGGGCGTGACTCCTCATGCGTTGTGCAGAAGGCGCCCATTAATGCCATTATTGAGGATCTGAGTGACAAGCCATGCTATTGCGATCATGCTTGCCTCAAGCTCGGTGACTGCTGCGAAGACTTCAAGGATCATTGTGGAGGTAAGACAAATTAATATGATGTTACTATACATATTGCAGAAATCATAAAAAATCATTAAAATTGAATCCTGTCATTTACTTTTAAACTCAATAATGCCGATTATTTTCCAAATGATTCTTATTCAACTGTTGCCCAAATGTTTTTAAATCAGTTGAGACCGTGTAAATGTTTTCTATTTGAAAATAAATTACTTTTTTTCGTGAAGCCATAATTTTTTTGTAAATAATGAAAAATGTTAATATTATCAGATGTTTTTGCTTTTGTGTACATTTTTTTTTAATCAATATTCCTGTATTGATTCGAAGGAAGGAAATAAGGAAATATTCTTCAAAAAATATGTTTTTAGCTTTAAATGAGTTTTATTTATTTATACCCTAATAAGCCCAGCTGATATAAACAGCAAAATGCACATTTATAAGGTAATTCTGGTTTTTCATTCTCTCAGCTCTTATATGCCAATGACAGTGTCTCATAAAGGATCTAAATAGGTTACGAACTCCGTTATTTTTAAAGTGAAAAAAAAAAAAAACTCAATTTACTGAATGATGTACATAGCAACGTTTAATTGGTCAATAATTATTTCTTATTAAAAAAAACTCAAATAACTGGCTCGTTGTAGCCATTTGAAAAGCTTTCAAAATCGCTTACGCTTTTCCACACAAGCCTACTCGGAAGCTGCGATGATGCGTGCTCGATAAATATCCATATACATTTACATACGGGTACACGGTGAACTGTCAAATTTGTAAATGGTTCTAAAAGCCGATTTGTGTTGTTGCCCAGTTCAGTGTCGGATTGTAGAAACGTGTACATATGCACATATGTGCAAATACAATAATAGGACATAACAATATTTTTGTTGGCAATCTGCCGCAATATTTGAGCCTCGCATAATTTTATGATTGATAAAATGTTCAATTTGCGCGCTGAAAGCTCAAAATCGGAGCGAAAATCGAAAATCCAAGCATTCAATCATGCATCAAAAACCACACACAGACAAATGTACCGTTGCCTGTCGATAGCCAAAATGGCGGCTGCTGTCAACGAGCCTGTCAGACTGAAAGCTCAGCGTTTCGTTGGTTGGGCCTCCGGTCGTTGATACTTTGGCGGACATGTTGATGGTTGGAGGGATGCGGTGGCTTCGGTACGGCTTTATTCCCTGCGGTCGCAGTTGCATGTGCAACCAATAACAATGTAAAAATTTGTCTACAATTAAATAAATCAGCTTATTTGCAATTGGAACTGTCGAAATTAATGGGCTTATGAATTGGCAAGGCTATCAAATAGAATTAAATATAGCTATTTATTTTACTTGCTATGTTATGCAATTAGTTTGCCAGCTTGTGGTCGCTTTTGAGAGCGCTAACAATATTTTAGGCTTATAGTACATCTTGTGGTTTTATTCAACCGCCATCGAACTGTGAGTACATTGTGCATTTTAAAGGCCTCCACAATGTATATATGACAATCGTTAAACCAATTGAAAAACACAGCGCAAAGTCTTCACATTTTATTATCTTCTATTCAACGTTAGGCTGTCCTTGCTAATGCAGCGATGTTGCTGATGTCGTCCTTCTTCTTAATTTTCATATTTATCAAATTTTAAATGAATGTTTTGATCATAGTAAAACCCTTATGTATATATGCTATTTATATGTAATTATTAAAAAAAAATGTTAAACTGTAGTATATCAATAATTAAGACGGGCGAGATTTTTGTACATTCCCTATTGTACAAATGTGCGTAGTTTTTCTAATCATTTATTCAGGATGCATATATTTTAAGTATTTAGAACACATAGCTTTACCAATTTTAGAAGCGATAAGTAAGTACATATGTACCGATTAAGTCAGCAAGGAGCTCATAAAAGTTTAGCTAACAACGTGCTATATGCTAAACAATGCATAGAATCTTTCTCTGAAATTATTGTTTTCTTTGAATGTTTTTGGCATATTTATTTAGTATATAGTATAATATATAATATATTTAGTCGCTATAATTATATCCATATCTGCTTTTAAGAGTATATTTTCTTCGTGGTGTCGAGAACGGTATTCTCCTTTAAATTTTTTTTATTGTTCAAACCAGCCAGAGCCAACGCTTCAGCCATAGACGCATGTAACTAGGACTATAAAAAGCCAACTTAATGGCTACATTCATGGCTCGTTGGGCCGTTTGCTTCGTAAAATTTGTTCTTGGTTTTCGCTTGTTGCGAATTTCTTTCGTACATTTTTTTTTAGAAAGTACAATAGCTAAAGGGCTTTAATTTTATTACAAACCAAATAAAGTCCACGGACATGCTGTGGAGTTGGGCAAATTAAATAAGACTGAAGCAAAAGTTGAATTCTTGTGCCAGCTGTGGCTACAAGTTGAAAACTACAATACAAACAGCCGCAGACGACGTAACCGACATAACAGACGCGACCAGGACAAGCGCCATTACTAGGACGAGTATCAGTACCAGCACCAGGACGAGCAGAAGTTTATTTAATTCTGCATTAAATTTGATTTTATTTTTATTGCTGTTGTTGTCGTGTGTTGTTGAGCAAGTGAGATTTACGATTTCAACTGGACGCATCAATTATATTGCGTTGACAGGCGAATGAACAACGGTTTGGACAGACAGATAGGTAGACAGGCAGACCAATCGGCCAACGCACCGACTGAATGATCGACCGACCGACCGACCGAGTGACAGACACACTTGCGGCATATCAGAACCGGCGCTGATGCTGATGATAATAACGATGGAGCGTAGCAGAAAATTATGGCCGAACGCTGTCTAACCTCGAATAAAGCGGTTAATATGCAACACCTGATCAGATATCGATGGATTTATCAATAAAACAGGCTGCTATATAACATCGGCTCGCAACTACTTATAACTGTTACAGATCACAATTATGTGCTTATGAATTACAAAATGTAGAATTGAACTAAATACATACATTGCAGTTCACCCAAAGTTTCCATTAAAAATGAAGAAGAGAATGAAGAACTGCGTATATTTCATACATTTATTATATTTTAAATCATTAACTCATGGTCCGAAAACTTTTCGAGCAATCTTTTGCACGTTAGTCACCCAGATAATAAGTATTATTATTAAAGACTTCGTCTCTTATATAAATCATTGCGTTTCGTGAAAAATAAACTGTATTTTATCAATACTGGTTTAATTCAATTAATTTTGACTTTAGTACATATGTAGAGAGTTCATCTCTATCATCATCTCCAGCTCATCAACGTGAACTACAACAACAAGAACACACATATGAAATATGTTGACTGGCAAGCTAATAGACAAGTGAGTTCCAATCAGCTTAAGCCAGCTTTAATCCAGGTGTGTCCCAGTCCCAATGGAGGCGGCATTATGCATTTCAATCTGTGAACATAATGCCTGCCACTAGATCATCGAAATTCATGCGTGAAAAATATGCATTAAAGCCCAAATGAAAAGGGTTGCTTAACGGGCTTTTCATTCAAAACCGTTTAAGAATTCATTGGAATTTATTTTTATGTTTAAGTTTCCCATGAACTTGAGTTTGTATAATTATGTTTTAAATACATAGAATATATTTTTATATGCAAATAGGTTAACTTGCGTACTTATAACGACTTTTTTTTTAATCTGTTAAGGAGACTTTGATTTGAATTTGAGCTCAATAATATTTAATAATGATTTTTCTCTATCAATGTCATACAAATTTATTCTATTGCCATTAAAGAATTGGACGTTTTTGTTCGCTTTTATGTATACATTTGGGTCGAAGTAAGAACAGAACTTAGGCAATTAAGAGTAGTTACTAAACATGAAGTTGCAGCGTCTTAGTGAAATGATCTTGTTGGCGAACGATTTAAAAATTGAAGGTCTCTTTGTGGTCTTGGTCCGGCGACACACAAATCGGAAATATACTCGTATTAAACCATATTTGGTAACCGCGCCTCACGAAGTACTGCTTTTATAAGCGTTGCTAACCGATTATTTAATAGCTTTCCCTAAAATTGTTTAGTGCAGATACATATTTTCATGCTAAAAGACATTAAAAACAATTTGTTTAAAATTATTGTAATTAATTTGTGGGTGCTTTTTTTTGTGATTGATTTGATTTGTCCAGGTGAGACTTGCTTTTGGATTTGACTTTTCGTTTATTTATTAGACATATTTTTATACCCTGTACCCAAAGGGTAAAAGGGTATATTAGTTTTGTGCGAGCCTACATGTAACACACAGAAGAAGGCGTGGCAGACCCCACAAAGTATATATATTCTTGATCAGGATGACAACCCGAGTCGATATAGCCATGTCCATCTGTCAGTCTGTCTGTCTGTCCGTCTGTCTGTCTGTATGAACGCAAGGATCTCAGAAAATATAAGAGCTAGAAGAACCAAACTTGGTATCTAGATTCTCCTGAGCCCGAGAAAGGACGAATTTGTTCATTTTTTCTGATCCACCCCCCACTCCCCCCTATTCACGATTTTCTATAACTACCGTAATTCTTGAAATTTTGAGCTAAAATTTGGTAGTCACATTAAGTTAGTGATTATATATCCGTATACCATTATGATAAGTTATTCAGAAAGAAAGTTATAGCCATGTCCAATGCACACATACATACATATGTACAAGTACAAAAACACGCATAGACACGATTCTGGTGTATGTAAATGTAAATGTATGTATGCATGTATGGAATATTTTATATTTAATTTAGTTAATTAATTAAATTAATTTAATTAATTAATTAAACTAATTAAATTTCTTTTTTGTGGGGTGGTACAGGGTATTTAAGAGTTGAGCTTCTGCTCGACTTTAGCATTCCTTTCTTGTTAATAAAGATATCATTTGTTTTGGAGGTGTTTTGGTTAAGCTTGCTTATCAAATAACTGCTATCGCTATTAAAACATACATTGCTGCTCAATTTAAATAGTTTATTAATTTACCACATCTGGCTGGGCGATTCATCTTCATTCGATTCGATTCATAATCGATGTAAC